AATTAGTGAAAGGGAAAATAAAAATTATTTGTGTATTATACAATTATACTTTATTATCAAAAATTTACATATCTAGAGAACTATCATCACTGTCGACTTCCTCTGTTTGGACATTAAGCCATTTACACGATCCGAAAATTTTCACTGAATAATACAATTCGTTTTTTCACGATAACTTTTTAAATTTTTAATATTTTTCATCGCTCCAAAAAGCAATTTGCAGGGAACTGCAGAAGCTACAAATCAACATATAGTTGAAGGGTCTGGAACTCTTCGTTATCGAGATTTTTAGGTTTTAAGGGCTCAAAGAAGGTGGTACTTATACGCAAATGCAAACTAAAAAACGTAATAACTCAGTTAATTTTTGCTCTACAGAAAAACTGAAAGAGAACAAAATATTATAAAAAAAGACCTTTAATTTTGAACACTTGCATTTTTCACGTATCTTGTTTAGTTTTTGAGTTATTTCTAAAAAAAGGATTTTTTAAATTAGAAAAAAATTCTTTTATTATTTCAAACTTTTTTTTAAATTTAGGCATTCTAAACCGGTTAAACTTGCAGAGCCTATTATTAGTACCTAAATAAAGTCAACTGCACATGGATTACGCTCAGTTTCTATTTTTATGGTTCAGCCATAGATTTTATTGTTGATTTTTTTCTCCAAAAAAATGAGATGACCATTTTATTTTCATCATAACTCCGCGAGTTTTTGAGCTACGAAATTTTTTCAAAAAGCATTTTAAAGGTCTTTCCAAGCACTTTAAAAAAGATAATATTCGTTTTCTTCGAAAAATTAGTTTTTTCGCCATTATTTTAAGGTAAAATGTTCGATTTTACTTTCCGAAAAATAAACAATCACTTTTAGAGAGTGATCACTCGGTTATTATTACATTTACGGTAATCAACAAAAAACGAATCGATTCGTTATTTCAAAAGCTTTATTTTTGCTAGATGTAGGTTTTTCGATAAAACGCAAGGTTTTAGAGTTATTTATCGAAAATGGTTGAAAAACATGCACTTTTTAGATGAAAAATCAACATTTTCAATCGCAAATATCTCGGAAAATATAAATTTTTGGAAAAAACGTCATAGAACATTTGCAATTAAAATGGATGACTTCGTTGCCACCCCCGAGAAGGGGTGGCACTCACCCCCAGGGTGAAAGCACACATCGGCACTATGTAACTTTTGTTTCTTGAGTAATTTTCTACTTACTGTTAAAATTTCACGTCAATCGGTGCATGTCAAGAATTTAGACCTAAAAACCGTCTTATACTGGAGCTAATGAAATATGTAGTGGATGAAATGGTCAAAACTGGAGGTGTTAATTCATTTACTTATGCCACGCTGCACCTCTTCCTTTTGAGAACGATTTATTATTCGTACCGAATTTCGTACATACGTATCTGGAGATTTATTTCCAAGAAAGTCACGTACCAGCTAGATAAGTCATACTCGTCTGAAACTATATTTCAAGCTCTAAACTGTAAAAATAAGTAATCCCTAGACGAAGACGGATGTAACAAAAACAAATCGAAGTAAAATACTTTACGTCTTTAAATCGATAAAAACAATATTAGCAAATACATTTTAATATAATTATAGTACATTTTCCATTTAAGTTAATTTTTCAATGTTAGCTTAGACAGGGATCGAAACAACAGGTCATTAGTTGTAATGTCATAAGGCATATAATTCCAAACTTTGTGGAAAATTAGACTAGAACAAATTACTAGAATTTCTTTTAAAAGGTCATTTTCATAAGTACAATTCAATGGAAAAATAAAATAATATTAAAGTAAGGGAATGACTTCACGATTAGAACCATATTTTATTATGTTGTTAAGTTGGCAATACCAACAACAGCCAATAACATCATTTAATAAGCATTGTATAAGTAGGTGTTCTTGTAATTAAAACCATTAATTTAAAAAGTAAAGTAAAATCTCCGTCATCAACGAGTAAAATAAGTATAATATTTCTGCAGATTTTATTTAAATGCAACATATGAAAGCTGAAAGTTACGAATGGGCTGTCCCTCGGGAAGTCAGGAATTAGATTCACCCCAAGATAGGTTTTCCAAAGAAATTTATTCCGATCAAATCCCTATTATTTACCCACTTTATTCTACGTGTTTGGTCTCTATATTTTGCTGAAGCCTGTATCTTAACCACAAATTGAATGTTGAGCCTTGTTATTTCCCAATAACCCCTGGCTTAGCGAAAAAAAGGCACAAAGTTGAAATTTATAATCAATTTCGGTATAAATCTAGTTAGCCTCAATATCAAGGGCATAGATAAATACAAGCGTTGTTGAAATATAATTAGACAGTCTGTGAAACTTAGGAATGAAAGTATAAATGGCGACTCTCTCATAAAATCTCTGTCATCCTTGTTTATACCATGAACGAGTGTAACAGGTTTGACCGGTTGCCCAACTAACTATACAAGTTTATTTGTATTTGGATACCCTGAGGATTATCTCTGTCTTTGTTACTCTTATGATTTTAAAGAGATAGTTGTTACCATCAGTAAATTTTTATCTACCTTTTATATTAGACATAGAAATAATTAATTACCTAACTAAGACCTCAGGTATATAAAACACTATTATACAGATTTATTCAGAAATGTTTGTCAAATCTTGCAAATAATTTTTTTATGTATTTTTTATATATATATTAAAAGAAAATAAACCAGGTAGGCCCTTAAGTAAAAATGTAATTTTTTTTGTTATAAATTAAAAAAATCATATAGGGGACGTTCTTTGTCAAACGGAACAAAGATCTGCCCAAAATTTGAGCAAATGGATTTTAATGATCTTGGGCTTAAAATGGTCGTTATTGAACCCTCTTCATGGGCCAGTGTGGCCTTTTCAAAAAATTCAAAATGGCGGCTCAATATGGCTGCCGGAAATCAGGGAAATTCAAGGATTTGAAGTAAAGCGTTAGCTAAGAATAAAAAATGCCTCAGAATTCAGTGGGTTATAGGTGCAAAATGTTTGTTATTAACAGGCCTAAAAAGTTGAATAGGTAGGTAGGCGAAATCCAACATGGCGGATCCAAGATGGCGTCTGAAACTGAAAAACCATCGAAGATTGATAATCAAGACCAAAACTTATGATTTTACCGTTTAAACTCCTTATTCTGATCTCAAATGCTATAAATTCAGTACATATTTCACGTACAGATTTTTAGAAATGGACAATCCAATATGGCGGTTCCAAACGATCTCCAAATGTAATAAAAACGGTGAAAAACTGTGAAATTCAAGTGAAAACAATCTCAGACGATCATATTCACCGTTTACAAGTCGTCAAATGTTTGTTTTATACTACATCAGGAAATTACATATCATAAATCCAACATGGCGGATCCAAGATGGCGGCTAAACCCCAAAAATCGTCGAAAATTGATAAAATCAAATGCTTAAATTCGATTACTCATTTTACATTCAGATTTCATGAATAAAATTTCAACATTACAGGTCCAATTAAATAAAAACTGTTGTAAAAGCGATAATAAATTGTTATTTATCTTGTCTGGCAATATATTTTTTTGTAAACATCAAATCATTTTTTAAATCTGAAAATCAGTTTTCGTGCATTTCAAGTGGATTTTGAATAAAATTTTACATTTATTTAAACGTAAACAGCGTAGTTCGTTTATCAACCGCTAGGTGGCTATTTCTTATATCCGCTATTGATTATTGACATTAGCATGGTTATATTCAGGAGAATGTAGAGTCGGATTTCTTAATTTATTTTCTCTCATACGGCGTGAGTTGGCTCTTGGGTACAGCATAATCTATCGTCTCTTAATTGAAATAAAATAAAAAAAGTAAAAATAAAAAACTAAAAAAAAGAATATAAAAAAAGTAATGCGGGCTTCACAACGAAGACAGTCTCAACCCTTTTAAACGCAGAGAGCTTTTTTAAGCTCTAGTTAACGCAAAATTCGAGCCATTTTCGACAAACCAGAGTTTCGCTTTACATGAATTTTAGACAATTTTTGTATTTTAGGCGCCATCTTTACAAAACAAACTTTATGCGATCTGCAAACGGTTAATAGAACTGTCAAAGACGATTGTCACCAGTTTCACACAGTTTGTAATGTATTATGGGGTCCATTGGAACCGCTAATTTGGATTTGCCACTTCTGTAAACATACATATGAAGCATGCGATCGAATTGTAGCATTTTAGATCAATATAAAAAGTGTAAATATCATAATCTTAAATCAGAGTCTTGATTGCCGACAATTTTCGACGATTTTTGGGTTTTAGCCGCCATCTTGGATCCGCCATGTTGGATTTATGATATGTAATTTCCTGATGTAGTATAAAACAAACATTTGGATGACTTGTATATAATTTTAGTTTTTCACCGTTTTTATTACATTTGAAGATCGTTTGGAACCGCCATATTGGATTGTCCATTTCTAAAAATCCGTACGTGAAATATGTACTGAAATTATAGCATTTGAGATCAGAATAAGGAGTTTAAACGGTAAAATCATAAGTTTTGGTCTTGGTTTTAATCAATTTTCGATGTCCGCCATGTTGGATTTCGCCTACCTACCTATTCAACTTTTTAGGCCTGTTAATAACAAACATTTTGCACCTATAACCCACTGAATTCTGAGGCATTTTTTATTTTTAGCTAACGCTTTACTTCAAAACCTTGAATTTTCCCTGATTTCCGGCAGCCATATTGAGCCGCCATTTTGAATTTTTTGAAAAGGCCACACTGGCCCATGAAGAGGGTTCAATAACGACCATTTTAAGCCCAAGATCATTAAAATCCATTTGCTCAAATTTTGGGCAGAGCTTCGTTCCGTTTGACAAAGAACGTCCCATAGATATTCCTGAAGCTTCTTGTCGTTAACCAGAAATATTCCTGTTTGTGATGAAATGGTTACATATTGAACTCGGCAAACTCATTACACACAATTTATGGTTCTCCGTTTCAATTTTTTTTTTTAACAATTTTGGTTGTTGCAGACGTTCTGCGTAGTGTCGAAGAGGTTTCGGAAAAACTACATCCATCGATTCACCGCCACGAATTCGTTCTTCTACTTTAGCCCATTCAGTCGCATCCGGAAAGCATGTATATATTTATGCACAAACCAGTACTTCGATTATTTGGTTATGGCCACCATATTGCTCAACTGCGTCTTCCTCGCCATGGCCGAAACAATTGAAGAAGCCGAGTAAGTAACACTACACACTACTTTGTTACATGACAGATTGAGGTTAAAACCAGTGAAGGCTTTCCATTTAACTGACCCTTACGTGATCGGGTCAGTAAAATGGGAGGCTCCTCTAATGATTCTCTCTTGTTGCAGGTATATTTTTTTAGCAATTTATACCCTCGAAATGATAATAAAAACCATCGCAAAAGGTTTTATATTAAACAAGTACACGTACCTGCGAAATCCGTGGAACTGGTTGGATTTCGTGGTGATCACCAGCGGCTATGCCACCATAGGCATGGAGGTGGGAAATCTGGCTGGCTTGAGGACGTTTCGGGTGCTGAGGGCCTTAAAGACCATTTCCATATTACCAGGTGAGAGAGTGTTATATTAAGCCGTGTTCTTTTATTCGTCGTTTTAAGGCACTGGATTCCAATAACGTATTGTTATTGGTCGGCTTTAGAAATTTTAATATCGCGTTTACCCTTATACGTTTTAATTCTCATTTTTTGCGAAAAAAGAAGGAAATAAGGCGTTCAAGGATTTTCATCACATGACTTGTTCGAAGGGTCATTAAAAATGAAAAAACCGCGGGGTGCTATTAAATTAGAGGGTTGAAATTGAAAATAGGGGCGAAAATGCACGTTTGCAGTTTTTTAAATATAGCACGAAAACGAAGCAAAATTTCGGAATAGTTCATAGGGAACATTTTGTAGAGAATTGAATTTCTCATCGAAATGGCTTATTTAAAAAATGTAAAAGGAAAATTTTAAGCAAAAAATCGTTAATAAACAATTTTAAAGAAAGCAAAAAATAAGATTTTTTTGATTTGTTTAAAAAACTCTTGTTTTTGACTTGACCATCGAAAAAATGAGACTGTCATACAAACATCTTATATTAGATATACGGGGTGCTCATAAATTAAAGAAACACGAAAATACTCAAGAGAGAAGTAAAATTATTTATTATTTTACACAACATTTTTATAAAATAAATCTGTTTATAACCTCAAATAATGTCCTAATACAAATTTTAAAATAAAAATTTCATATCTAACTTTTACTCTATATGTATAGATACTTCCCATCTCAAAAATTAAAATTTTGATTTTAAAATTTGTATTAAGACATTATTTGAGGTTATAAACAGATTTGTTCTATAAAAATGTTGGGTAAAATAATAAACAATGGTACTTCTCTCTTGAGTATTTTCGTGTTTTTTTTATTTATGAGCATCCTGTTCATCTAATCTAAGATGTTTGTATGATAGTCTCATTTTTTCTAGGGGCAGAACTTTTTATAAAGAGTGACATTCTTCGATAAAGTTAAAAACAAAAGAGTTTCTGCTGTTATCAACTCCATCCGTGGACACACTATATATAACGAGCGTTCAAATAAAAACGTGGTCGAAGTTGGCTCTGACACATTGGACGTAGGTAGTAGCTTATAGCGATCAACTCAACCTCATTTCTCAACGAGCTGTATAGCAGCTGTCAGTTTCAATAACGTTAATGACTATATAACTTTATTTTAAAGAATAATCGTGATAACAAAAGTGTCCCCCTCCTTGTTATAACAATAAATTAAAGCAGCTGCTGAAAGTGTCCCCCTCCTTGTTCCAAGCACTTTTCACACCTGTTCTTCAAAGAATTAAAGACATTTTCTAAGATGCTCGGGGTATTGTTAATTTCACGAATCTTGTCTATAAGTCGAGCCTGCAGATGGTTTAAATCAGGAATAGGCAGTTCAAAAATAGTGTTTTTAAGGTAAGGCTACAAAAAGAAATCACACGGCGTAATATCACATAACCTCGGTGGAAATTCATGAGACTTATTAGTCGATTTTGGAAAACTTCCCTCAACATATTCATCGTCTCGCCTGCCGTATGTGCCCTTGCGCCATCTTGTTGAAAGTAAAAGTTTGTAATTTCGTTTTCTTCCAGCTGGTTAACAAAAGGAGCGATAATTTCTTCTCTATACCTTTGCGCAGTAAGAGTACCATTAAAAAAAAATAGGTTCATAAATCCTACTTCGATTGAGAGCACACCAAACTCCAATTTTTTGAGCGTGTAGAGGGCTCTCGACAAAAAAGTTATCTGGTTTTTCAGAAGGCCACATTCTCATATTCTGTGAGTTTACGTAACCACTTAAATGAAACCAGGCTTCATCAGAAAAAAAGGTGATATTATGAAGTTCACCGTAGTAGTTTAAAAACCATTCATAAAATACAGCCCGTCGCGGAAAATCAACTTCATGAAGTTCTTGCTGACAAGTTAAACGATAGGAGAACAAACGCAAATCTTTTTTTAACACTGTGTGGCAGGTACCGACTGATACTCCCACCATTTGTGATAAAACACGTACAGAAGTTCTTGGCGCATTTTCCATTATTTGTTGGACATTTTCTTTTAATTCTTCAGTCCGCTTTTTAGGTCGGCCGCTTCCTTCTTTTCTTGTTACACTGCCCGTTTCACGAAAAACATTAACACAACGCTGAACTGCACTTTGAAAAATTTTGTACTCAACAACGCCGGGAAATTGATTTTGAAATTCTATGAAACATTCCTCAATAGAATACTTCCATATTCCATCAATCTTGCGTCCATTTCTAAAGTAGGACTCTATGATTAACACTTTTTGTTCTTGAGAAAACACCATTTTAAACGCTTTTTAAAACGAAAATATTCAAATTGACAGCGGCGATATAGCGCTTTGACATTGACGTTTAAGTTCATTTGCTATACGCTACGCCCTACGTCCAAATTTTCAGAACCAACTTGACCACGTTTTTATTTGAACGCTCGTTACATTACTAGTAAACTTTATTGTGCATAAATTTTCAAGTTTTTACTAAATTAGGTATTTTATTAAAAAAGTAAAAAAATTAAAAAATCTTTTTTTTGGCTTTCTTTAAAATTGTTTATTAACGATTTTTTGCTTAAAATTTTCCTTTCACATTTTTTAAATAAGCCATTTCGATGGGAAATTCAATTCTCTACAAAATGTTTCCTATGAACTATTCCGAAATTTTGCTTCGATTTCGTACTATATTTAAAAAACTGCAAAAGTGTTATTTCACACCTATCTTCAATTTCAACCCTCTAATTTAATAGCACTCCGCGGTTTTTTCATCTAAAATGACCCTTCGAACAAGTCACGTGATGAAAATCCTCGAATGTCTTATTTTCTTCCATTTTTGCAAAAAATGAGAATTAAAACGTATAAGGGTAAACGCGACGAAAATCGAAAAATTGGTTGAGTTTGAGCGGCCATATATCAGTCAGTTTTCATCCAAAAATACAATATTTTGTTTTGAAGAAAATTTTTTTTCAACTCAAAAAAACTACTCAAAAAAAACTAGAGGCAAGAAAGTAAAAAAAAATCAGAAAATCGCTATTTTTCAAATTGTTTATTAGCGATTATTTTGCTTGAAATTTTCCTTTTAAATTTTAATAAGCCATTTTGATGGGAAATTCAATTCTCTAAATAATTTTGTCTATGAACTATAACGAAATTTTGCTTCGTTTTCGAGCTACAATTAAAAAACTGAAAGGGGTGCATTTTCACCCCTATCTTCAATTTCCACCCTCTAATTTAAAAGCACTCCGCGGTTTTTTCATTCTAAATTCATGCAATAAAAACCCATCAACGTTGTAGTTCCATACCATATGACAATCAATAGCCTATTCTGTGAATTAAACTAAATCTCTATATATCTTGCACCTTTTGCATAACTTAAAACAGAACGCGCCTTCGTGCGTTTACTTTAAAGCTAGAGTCTATTCAACAGATGGAAAATTCACTTATCTTTATCCGAAAGTTCCACACTTGAAACCGCTTACAAAGGAAAATGTTGATTTAGTCACCACACACCTTTCACATCAGTAAAGAGTAAGATCAGAGTGATGGTGTTGTTCGTACGAATACTTTAATTTCATTTCGGCAACAGTAAATTTAGTTTGTAATTAGTTTGCGCAAACTACATTAATATCCTAAATAATAGATTAATAAATTTAATGGGTAGAAAACCCCAGAGATCCGATTACAAAACAGTTACTGACCATATAATATCCATCCTGAGCCTCATATATTATTTGTTATCATAATCGGTGGTCGCAGTATCTCACAAATATCGGCTATGTAATAAATTAATCACCAGTTCGTAACTCTGCTGTAATATTCTCGCAACATACAGGGTGTCCCAAAAAGACCCGAACCAGAGTATTGGTTGATATCTTACAACTTTTATCTAAAACTTTTTTTGATAATACTCAATTCTGAATAGTTATCTTAGGGAGGGGGTCCTTTTTGGGGCAACCTAGCTATCATAAATAATAGCAGAAGATTAAAAATAAATGTAACAACCTCACTCTAAATTCAAGACAAAAGTAGATTCACATGCAAGCAGTGTTGATACTGATTAATACTATTTTAGTGATATCGATTCTATTAGGCGAGCGGTTCACCCCTAAATAGATGCTTCTAAATGAAGGTAACCGACTAAATTTTTAAAACAAAAAACAGTCTACAAATAGTGAAATTGTAACTCTAGATCCATTGACACATGGAATGAAAATCGAAAATGGTTGTTTGGATTTTTAATTATTTCGAAGGAAAAACTCCTTTAGATATGCTTCAAAAATATTTTTATTCATGTAGTGGAAAATGTTCTACGAAAAATTGTAACTGTTTATCATCGAACCTGGAATGCTGTGCAGTCTGTGCGTTCTCAGGTGAATGTCATAATGGTCCATCCGAAATTGGTGATGAAACGCTTATTTGAACTCAAGAACTTGTCGAAAATAACGAAAATCTTATTTAAAAATTAAATAAAAATGAAATTAATATACTTTTATTGATCTTACAATTAATATTTTTGTAAAATACAAATAAAATAGTTATCCTATACAATAAATTATACAATAACTTTTTTATTTTTCGAGACCGCTAGGTCAATTATTATTATTAGGTTAATTTTACGATTTAAAAAGCTTATTTAGTTTAGTTTTGGTATAACTTTGAAGTCAATTTTAGCCATTTATAAAACCAAAAATCGAATATTTAAATTTTACTAATTACTTGCAAAAACCTTACTCCGGCTACAAAACCAAACAAAATGATCTTTTGAACATTTGTACTGTTAACATATATCGATTAAAAAAAAACATAATAATGTTTATTGTAAATATAATCTAGTCCAAGATATTGTAAAAAGAAAATTTAAATTTGAAGTGTTATCATAATTTTCTTTAAAATACTTTTTAGACCTTCAATAAAATTATTGACCCATGCCAAAAAAATATACTATCTTAAAGTAGAAAATCTGCAGATTATTATGATATTTTTAGAATTAAAATCTGTTCAGTAGTTTTTAAGAAAAAAAATCCGAAAGTTAGTTGATTTCGTCACTTTTTTCACATTAAATCGTAAATATCTCGAAAACGAAACGTTTTTCGAATTTTTGTCAAAGAACAAAGAGTACTTACTTTGGTCCATTTTACAAAACAAAACTGTTTTCAAAGCCATTCGGCGAGTAATTTTTTTGACTGACCACGCCGAAAAAATATAAAAAAAAATATGTAAATTATCACAAAAATACACTTTATAAAATAAAAAGTTTCATGCTGTAGATTGTTGTTTTAAAAATTTAGTCGGTTAATGCCTTTTTTAGGGGTGAACCGCTCGCCTATATTTGTATTGACACATTTATCCCAAAAACGACACCTTATATATTATTTTCATGGGCGTCATTTTCGTCACAGGTTTGAAGACCATCATCAACGCGCTGCTGCACTCATTCAAGCAACTGGCCGAGGTCATGACGCTGACCATCTTCTGCCTGATGGTGTTCGCCTTATTCGCTCTTCAGGTCTACAAAGGGGAGCTCCGCAATAAATGCGTCCTAAAGATGGACGACCACAACGCATCGTACGAAACGTGGTTCAAGTAAGTTTCCTTCGTTTTCGTAACATTCACCGACGTTTTAACGTCTAGCGGATTATATTGATGTGTCGTGAAAGACATTCTATCCATCGTTCGTGCGACGCCTAGGAGCGAAAATATAACGCGCACTCTCAAATTCAATCAACTTAAAGTAACATACGTCTCTATAAAGTGGATAAACTAATAACGTTTTACGGTTCCTCCTCGAAAAGTGGTGCTCCTACTTTCTGCAGTTACTGGGCGTCGATGCAAATTGAAAATTAAATATTCAAAGGCGTATATCGGGATGTGGAAGTTTGGGGCTATTAGAGTACCTACATTTAGATAAATATTTCAGGTGGACTAGAATGAGGTGCTTTTAGCTTTAAGTTCGGTCCACTGCCCGGTAGAGGGGCTGTATTAGAAAAAAAAGCTAGCTGGTGCAGCAAAATGCGACAACTAGAGTGTTTATTATAAATAATAAGACAGAAAGGGCCCCTTTTTAAGATACCGAAGAAAAATAAAAGTCCAGAGTAAAGTATTTTATTATATTTTCGAGAATCGAGAAATTCGAGATCTTCGTGTGAGGCAGGCCAACAGGAATAACAACTAACTCTGTGAGCTGCTTTACCATTAATACACCAATAGCGTCACTTTAGCTTAAATTCTATATAAAATACAGGGTGTTTCCGAAATAGGTGCGTTCCTTGAAAAGGGTGATAGACGGCATGAAAATGAGCAACTTTTATTAAGCAACTGATGGTAAATTTTAGAAGATTATTCAAATCTCGTTTAAAAGTAACACAAAAATTAAACAAATCAACGAATTACCTACCAGTAGACACTGTGCTCCACAAACATTGTTCGGGGTTGTTTTTATGTGTTAATAAACATGCTTCCAAACCTTCGATCAATAGTCTGTCGCCAAAATCACCACACTCACACATTCACTGAAAACCCTTGCTGGAACAGAAATCTCTATATGTATAACTTGAGGATGTGCATCACACCAATAAACATTTTATACGCCGTATACTGTAACACATGACGCACGTGCACAAGATGCACAGGGTCCGCTTCCATTCATGGTCAATTTCCTTCATTAATTTTCTCAATTTAATATTAAATATGGAAAAACTACAACGTACTGTATTAGCAGACGTAAAATTGGGAATTAAAAATTTTTATTTTAAGCTGTTTAACATGTACAAGATAGTAGATGATTTTATTTTTAAAACATAATACACTATGGTAACTAGTTAAAAAATCACATGAACCAATTCATTTCCAACATTTAATATGTGCAGGATGTGTCCAAGTGGTCTTGATCACTGGTGTCGATAACAAAAAATATTTGAGTTGAAAACCAATTTAGTTTAACTAAAAAGTAATTGTTTTGAAATAATTATTTCTATGTAGGCATTTTCGTATAAGATATTGTAAAAATTGTATTAGGAAAAGCTATTCACAATTAATATTTATATTCGTATACCAAATTTTAAAATGATTAGCTTACTTTGATATATTTTTATTAGAAAAATCATTGCAAAACTATAAAAATGATCTGAGTCATAAATTTGAATTCTAAATTCGAATGTTCTTAATTCCTTACAAACAAGGAAATTTTATCTACAGAATATCCAGAAATTAAAAAATAAATAAATTATACCAGTTAATTTAAAATTTGGAATATGGGAATAAATCTTAATTCTAAACTAGTGAAATTTTTAATATTTTATAGGAAAAAGACACTTTACCTGCACAAAACATATGTTTCCCCTGACACTACTTGCTTTTTGAAATAAAAATGTTGCAAATTACTTTATAACCAAAGGGAATCGATTCCCAAAATGGCGATTTCGTTTTTTTTATTTACTTCAGCTCAAAATTTTTTGTTGATACCCGAAGTTAAAACCATCTCTAGAGGCATATCCCATGCATATCGAACGTTGGAAAGTATTGGTTACTTATGTGTATCTTAATTGTTATTACTAACACTTTAATTTGGACGACCAAGTAAATTAAATACCGCTTAAACTCTTTCGGAATACGAAATAGAAAATAAATAAAATAAAATGTAAGTAAGTTTAATTATCATATTGCGTAGGATGTAGAGTGTGTAGAGGTTAGAGATATTAAATTGGCAAAAAAATGAAAAAAATGGGAAAAATCCTTTTTCTAAAGTAAAAAGTTGGAAAAAACTCGTAACAAAGTTCCAATTATATTTTCCTGTAATTAAAGTCAACGAATAAAAATATTTACCCATTTTAACATAATTTTTGTATTCTGGATGGCTTCAAATCTCAAATTAGTTGAGCTTAAAATCAATTTCACCAAATTATTCATAAGTAAACAACGAGAAGAAACAAAATATCAGTTCTCTATAACTTAAAAAACAATAATCAAAGTATATTTTAACTTGAGCTTTAACCAGATTTCAAAATAAAAGCAAACTCAAAGTGGGTTCAGTAAAAAACTTCACGCATCACGCTCTTGGTCCTCCTGAACGTACTCAAAATATGTATTTTTTTCTAAAAGCGGAGATGATTTGTTTATTAAAATAGTTATTTTTATTAAATATATAACAACATTTATATTGGCAGACAAAGTGACTAGAGCTCTTTATATCCGGGATTGTAATAAAAGTTCAATTTTTCTTCGGAAATTTTAGACCACCAAAACAGTCCCCTTAGTGTGTCGAGCACCCCACAATCCGCGGATCAACGGGTCTAGCCAGTTCGACTAATCTACCACCCTCTGTCCAAAAACAAACACACACAGCGTATATCTAGTTCTGCGAAGATTACATTTGAATATATTGGTACGTAATTAGTTGAGATGACGCTCAACGTGTTGTTAATACCCTCGGAAACCTTACCATGGATGAAGGAAAATACACTAGGGAGATTTTGCATCTTTAGAAATGTAGACGGTGGAATAACAGGGACTTATTGGCAATCCCTCGCTGCTTCAGTTTGATGAAACACTGTATTACACCAGAGAGGTATCGGGTTATTGCAAATTTAATAAATAAAACAGTGTTTTACAACAATACGATGTATCCTGATGGTGAATTGTTGAATTCCTTTATATTTATGAAACACTAAGCGGTTGCTTACAGATAATTTAACTATGTGCCATCGTTATATTTTTTTTAAAGAAATTTGTTATTCAAAGTCTCCTCTAGTGCGTGGTATATTTAGGGTGCTTTTTGAGTTGGCGTTTTTCTTTTACACGTAATATAAAACATTTATACAAGAGTAAGAACATTCAGGAAGAGAACGGAATGAAAATTCAAATGAAGCTTGAATCAGTTTTTAATAAAACCCTTTAATATCTACATTTGTTTACAAATATTTTCTAAAATCTTTTGCTGTTTCTTATTAAATAGAAAAGTTAAAGAGATCAGGGAAGTAGAAGGTTATGTGTACTCGTACAGCAAGTTCTGTTTCTGAATAGACGTAGTAAACTCTGCCCCTCAGGTGCGGGCAACATAATTTCCCATGAGCTGCCGATTTAAAATTATAAATTTATTGAAGGTACGAGTATTCGGGTAGGTACTATATATGTCACTTCTGACACCTGACTTACATAAATCGTTGTTCCCAAAATTTCACACATGCACGTAGTTTGCAAACTACGCCCAACAAAGGTCGAGTTTAAGTGAATACCATTTGGCCAAAAAAACCTCTCCTCTATAAATCATAACCAAACATTACGGGATATTTCCAGCTCAATTGGGATTGTGATTTTCAGAGCCATCTATGACTATAAACTACCAAACTACAATAAATATGGTCCTCTTCCATGGGCGCCGTTAAGTTAGGTTAGAAATTCAGGGAAGATGGTGCAAATCTAAAACATCAGAATACGAAATCTCCTTTTAGGAGTAACAAAACATTTAGTTTTAGCTAGACCATTGAACAATGACCTGGTAATGCCATATATATCACGGAACCGAGATTTATTCTGTATGTACTGTTGTGCCTGTATTTAACTATTACAGAATTAGGGGCGGCAACCGATATCCATCTAACACAATACGCAATTACGTACTAACTGGTCTATTCGCAGCTTTACGAGCACTTAGAGTTGGCCAGTAAACCCAATTTTACTGTTGCAGTTGGACGCAGGACCCCAGCAACTGGCTGAGGCGGAACGCGACGGGAGATGCGTTCCTCTGCGGCAACGTCACCGGGTCCAGACACTGCCCCCTCACCCACACGTGCCTCTGCACCGGAGGCAACCCCAACCACGGATACACCAGCTTCGATAATTTCCTCTGGTCGATGCTGACCACGTTCCAGCTCATTACGCTCGACTACTGGGAGAACGTCTACAATATGGTTTGTTTTATTTAATTCCCCTCGCCCGGGCTTTTATCGTTCTGTTTTTCTCGACCGTGCCGCGCGATTAGAGTCGTAAACAATGATGTCCTTTTTAAAACCGCCTTTTCGCTTATCGCCTGTGGGAACTGTTAATTTATTTGGTTAGGTTCGGAACACCATTGTGGAATTGTTCCGTAGTCATTATTTGAAAGAAAGTAAAAGCAAATACCTTTTGTGTTTAAAAATCATTGAAGGTTTTAAATATCAGTAATTTAATTTTTAAATCCTCCTCAGGGCCATAAATAATAACCCAAGTGATAAAAATGTTGAACATACAACATCAAAAAACATTTGAAAAGTATTTTACCTGTTCCCACTATAGCAAATAGACTATTAATACATTGTTTTTAAAGAGGTAAGTGGATTTTACCGTAGAAGTAGAAGTTGCTATGGGCATTCAATTTATTTCTAAATTATATGACACACTTTTGCCCGCACTAAAGTCACACTAGTGCGATTTCGCACCGATCGGACTTTTCACTCTATAGTTTGACCAACAATAACAGACATGAACCCATGGGCGTAGATAGAATTTTTGCTTGGGGTGGGTCCACGGGTGCAAGCTCTATGAAGCCTCTAAAAAAAGGAACCTTTCGCAATCAGCAAGTTGCCGAATAAATTTTCAAAAACCTGAACACGTTTTGATTTAATTCTAAAAAAAAAGTCAGCGACTGCAACCGACATGCCGATATGATAGACGATAATATTAGATATTTTTTCTGGGATGGGCCGTACACACCCCTGCTCCCTCTTAGCTACGCCTATGATATAATCAATATAGGGTCAAATCTAAAAAGTATTAATTCCACAAAATCTAATTCGTATGAATTTAAATGTTTTATAGCCATTATACTATCTTTCTACAGAGTGTTTCAGTTTACATTTCGATTATTCCTTCATGGAATTTTTTAGTATTGATATTTGAAAAAACATATTTTATAAATTCCGATATTGATGAAATTTTATTTAACGATTTGTCTGATTAAAATTAAACATTTACTAAATTTGACTGTAAAGTCACTCCTTATAACTCATTGTGGTGATTCTAAGAAAAAAAAATCCTATTTTGTTCTAAAAAGGACCATTTTTGACATATTTTTTGCTTTTTTAACTTACATTAAGTCAGCCACCAAGCACCGGAGATTTTCCACAAAATCTAATTCATATAAATGTTCTAAAAAAAAGGTTACGCAGTCAGTGACTTACCAATATGCCACTATGATAGACGGTAATATTAGACCTTTTTTTCTGGGGTGGAGACCGGGATTTCTGGAGTCGTGTACACTCTGCTCCCCCTAACTACGCCCATGCTGAAACTAACTCTTGTGCGACTCGACTGTTTGGGCTATTGGGAAGGAATCATGCTGGAGGAACCCTCGACCTGAGAAATCTCAACTGTTCAAAAAAAAACGGTGGTGCGAATTAGCACTAGTGTGACCTTTGAGAGTTAAAAATACATTTTAACAAAAAATTACAAGATAACCTTTGCTTAGTGATTAGACGATGTATATTTAAAAATATGTATGTGAGTTTGAAAAATGTAATGATTGTCTTATTTTGCAGGTACTGTCAGCTTGCGGACCCATAAGTGTCTCTTTTTTTACTGTAGTAGTGTTTTTTGGTTCGTTTTACCTTATCAACCTAATGTTGGCTGTGGTAGCACTTAGTTACGAAGAAGAAGCAGAGATCACACAAGAGGTAGGTGTACATTTGAACTATTTTAGTATAATATTGCTTTGGACTAGTATTATTCCAGATTTTAGAAGATATTTTATTTGAAACTTGAATATTATTCTCAATAGTCTTCAATCTACGTTTCCACTACAAAAATAGACCTCCAACCCCCTTGTTTTTTGGGGGAGGTAATATCAGCGTCTAAAAGATGGCTCGTATGGTCTTTCGGATGTGGCAATTTCAAATATGCAGCGATTTTATTTGGCCATCTTTTTATTTTATTAATAGCAACTATTTGTTTGACACATTCTTTATTAGCTTTATCTAATAAGAAATCTACAATTATTAGTAAACTTAGGTCATAAGGCAGAGTAATGTCAATGCAATGAATATGAAACACATCTACAATGACAAATATCCTCTCAGCATGTGTCTTGCTGACAAAAATTGTTAACGATAACCGCATCAATTTGTCTGTCCGTCAATGATCTTCTCTTCTATAAGCCCCGTGAACGCCCATTATTAAAATAACCAAAAAAAACTCGGTAATTAGAAAAATTAATACATCCTAATATAAAGTAACGTCAATTGCATTCATTAATACGTGCATAAACAGCATAAAAACCAATGTCCACTTCACGAAATTCGAATTCCTCTCACGAATAGAAGTTTCTCGCACGTAACCATCGCCGAAATGTTTGAGAACTGTTTTATATTCTCGGCGAAGGAACGTATTGATCTGTGCAGCCTCTGTTACCTCTCATAATCCCTCATTGTTCCAACATTACGGAGAGCCTGCAACAGGTCAGGTCTGTATGGGAATGGGCCGCAAAAACTCCATCGCCTCTCCATGAACAAAACCCCAGAAGTTAATTATCGGATGACCTCCAGGGAACGCTTTTTATTGTACTCTGACGAAGGGGTACGGGCGTTAATTGAGACAGTATGTGTTTTTTGCGCGCCCAGAATTGAAAATTGAATATAATTGACTGTCTGCTACTATACACGGTGATCCAAATTCCACCGCATCGCTCTTAATACACTAATAAAAAACCCTGTGGACTCAAATCGGGTAGCCTCTCTGGCAGTAGCGATACAGTCTCTGGTGTTTTTTCTAGGAGAGAAAAAAAGAACTCGTGGACCACCGTGAGGACTCCACATTCAGTTTCGACCCCACCAACTTGAACGTGAAGAAGCTGTCGAAGCAGAAGATCAAGAAAATCGACGCGAGGAAGGGGGTCCTTCTGTCGTCCTACACGCGGAAGAAGACGAGGCGCAGAAAACGGAACAGAAGCTCAACGAACCAGACCAAATCAGAGAACAATGGCAATAAGCAAGAGACCAAAGACTCAAGCTCCAATAAGTCGTCTCCGAAAAGAAGTAGTCGAAGGTAAGAGTCATTGTTTTAGATCTGGTACTGTTATAACTTGAGCTCGACATTTGCGTGCGAATTCAGTAGCGTCACAAAAGGATAAGTGGGTTAAATATATTAAATTAAGCTTACAGTGTCTCATGTTGTCAAATTGAAATGTCTGTTACACATACATCGGAATATATTACACACTAAACACAAAAAAATTAGGTAATATAAAAATACCCAGTGCGCCAACTGTAACAGTTCATTTCTTTGTATGCGTTTAGTCCAGTCGGTATCTGCTTTAAAAGTAGGTTGTATGGATGTTTCATATAGTAACGCTAATTTTTGTTGGAAATAGTTCTAAATATTATGTAAAATGATAACTGCGATATGCACCACCTGAAAAAATTAAAAAGGGCGCATTTTTCTCCCTTCTTTCATGTGTAACTCGGAGAATATCGACATTAGAGAAAATAGTCAAAGGAACAAAGTTTCGTTTTGAGATTCTCTTCAAAATAAAAGTGGTTCGAAATTTGTGTGTGCATTATTGTTGCTGTAATACAGTTTAGGCCGAAAAAAAAATCGTGAAAAAAGATGTTTTTTCATCACTTTATTTCGGACTTTGACTTTAGAACAGCCATATAAAAAATATGGTTCGTAGTACTTTATGACATGGTAGTATTGCAGAAATTTTTTCATCGAAATGGGTCGGGTACATTTCGCACAATTCAATTGTTAATTAAGGAAATACAGAATTATTAGTTATTTTTCAATTCTCTCTCACGGTAAAACCAATGATTATTTTAAGTTTCCAATTTTTATACATACCCTTTGGAGTCTCAACTATCAATTTCCATTTCAACTTCAAAATTTTACAATGTCGATTCAAAAAAATCTTTCAATTTAAATTTATATGCAAAATAAAGAACAATAAAGTAGATAATATACGGTATAATGTATAGAAAATCCAGCTACGAAAACTTTTATTGATATTTCACAAAAATTAAAATAGACTTGTTAAAATAAAAAGAAATTTACTACTTATAGAGAGTAGAAAAATATAATAACATTTTCTTGCATTATAAAGTCATATTTACCTTTATATCACGAATATGCTCCTGCAGCAATTGAAATCTCAATAAGTAACGAACACAAACTACTGTCAAGGTAGTTTTACAGCAAAATAATAGCGACTAGATTCGTTATCTGTTGTAGATGCTAACATAGTGGCTGGCATAGTCCCCCCACTCCTCACTATTTGACTCTATTCGATTTCTGTGAAATGTATCATTCTTTTTTGCATCAGAGCAGTTAAAATACTTTTGATTGTTATTGTACAGTACGTTGTTTTGCCGTAAACTCATTTCAACTTTGAGCTTCCATATCTCGATGACGATTCATCGTATCCACAAGATCAAAAGTGGATTTTGTTCGTCAATCATTCCTCTATTTGATCCTATAATTACATTTGCAGAATACGCAAATATGGTGGCTCCAGCTCTAAATGTTTATAAGTATTGTTTCGAAGAAATTTTAAAAACATTCTAATTGTTGGTAAATGTATCCATTTTACCAACAATTAGAAATCGAAAATGTTTATATGGGGAGTGATAGTTGAGACTCCAAAGGGTATGCATAAAAGTTGGGAGCTCAAAATAATCATTGGTTTTACCGTGAGAGAGAATTGAAAAATAAGTATAATTCTGTATTTTCTTAATTAACAATTAAATTGTACGAAATCTATCCGGTCGATTTCGATGAAAAAATTTCTGCAATACTACCATATCATGAAGTACTTAAAACCATACTTTTTATATGGCTGCTCTAGTCAAGGTCCGAAATAAATTCATGAAAAAAACATCTTTTTTCACGAAGTTTTTTCGGGCCACTTTTATTTTGAAGAGAATCTCAAAGCGAAACTTTTTTCCTTTGACTATTTTCTCTAATGTCAATATTCTTCGAGTTATATATGAAAAAAGAGAAAAATTTGCCTTTTTTACATTTTTTTGTGCTAACAATTATGCACAACTTTTTCAGCAGGCGCATATCGCAATTCATTTGCATAATATTTAGAACTATTTACAACAAAAATTAGCGGTATTATATAAAACATCCACTCCGAAACAGATACCGACTGGACTATTTAATGTATCTTTTACACTGATATTAATTTCAGTCAAGCAAATTCATTTCATGGATTCATGATATACAATTTGCAAATCTAGCATAAAATTGTGGTCGTTTTGTGCAAGGTAATTCAGTATTTCTCTAGAAAAACAAAGAATCTTGGCAAAAGGAACTACTAGTGCATTGGTAAATAACAGGAACAAAATCAGCTTAGAGATATCCGTAGAAAGTACGATAGGATGTCTAAGTTCTACTTTCAAGTAAATTACAACTCCTAATGTAATGGCAGGCTACACGCTGGTTCTTCGATAACTGAGTTGTTTGTTATTTTGCAAACTTAGTTTTTACTTTTGCTTACATCCACGTTTTTCGAATACTGATTTATTAACCTAGTTAATCCAATAAAAGCCACAAGCAAGTGAAAACCTAGTACCCAGTGACTTGTATTCCATAAATATACAATTCGTTGGAAAGATTAGTAAAACAATTAAGGTCAATATATCTTTGATTTAGTCTATAAAATAGTTTTCCTTTTTACTCTGCAGGTTGTCAAAGTAGTCAAAGCATGTTGAGCTCTCCCTCTTCTGATCTCGAAAATCCCTCATAAGCTATGCTCCTTTCCTAATGCAACGCCCTGTATCTAACGTTCACTGTTGCAGATCAGTGACACCAAGTCGCAGCCCTAGCCCCAGACATAGCCAACACAGCCAGCATAGCCAGCAGAGTCAGCACAGTCAGCAGAGTCAGCACAGTCAGCAGAGCCAAAACAGTCAGGGGTCCCCCAGACCTCAGGCATTGCCGCTACCTCTACCGCCTCCGAAGCACATCCAGCTCTCGGATCCGAGAAGGCCGGACACCCTTTACCCCCACAACACCCTGGGTAAGTTACTACTACTCAATAAAGGACCTGAATGAGTCCAAAGCAAGTAAATTATTTATTTCAGAAGTTTCTTTTGATTTTTTCAGTACAACTGTGGTAATTCGCGGAATATAAAAATATTTTGGTCTCTTTACATCCACCTGTCCTTCATTTAAATCACTTTTGGTTCATAATACTTCATTATAAGAGACTTTGTCATCTGGATTGATCTAACTCAACAACGCTGAGAGTTATTCAAATCGAGTGTCCTTTAGAGACAAACTTAGCCGGAGACCTGTCGACTTGCTTGAAGGGCATCGTTAATTCGCCTGTTAACTGGCATTTATCCCGACACCAGAAGGATGAAGTGCGACCGACTAGTTAATCCAACCAAACTGAGAGTGTTAACTATACCTGCTTAATACAAATAGCTCGAAGTTTGCCGCTAAATGCTGAATATCGTTAACGTTCCCTGTGAAAGCGTAAATTATGAAAGATGATAGCGCATTTGTTTCTTGGAATACGTCGTAAATTCAGGTTATGCGGCTGAATTGAATGAAAGTGGGAGTGACGGCGGAATTTCTCGACAACAACATGTTGCGTCGGAAGCAAATTATGATTCACTTAAGGCTGAATGTTATTGCTCACATCCTATATCAGTAACTATGAATGAAATTATATTTCAAACTTTGTTCTAGGTCCAAACCGACTGGGTCTGCAAAGCAGGCAGGCCAGTAGCAACAGCGGCGAAGGGAACAACAGGGAATCCTCCCTGGATGATTCCGGGGTGGTGGACGATCATGAACCAGAGGGCGATGCCACGTCTGAAGAAGTAACATCCCATGTTCCCCCTACGCTAAGGGTAAGACTTATTTATTAGTTTAATTTTTATTTAGGTAAAATTTTTGACCTATTTCTAGGAGGCCCTGTACAAGACTAACAGTCTAATTCGACAAACCGACTATTCCCGCGATTCTGAGAACGTTTTGAAGCCTTAAACTTTTCGCCAAGTTTCAGAAAAGTTCAGGGAATCCACGAACACGGCGAGTTAGCGCTACATTTTCTCTGCTTACTAAAAATCTCGGGATGACAGACGGCTTTAGAGGAGATTTATGAAAATTCAGAAGTATATTTTAGGCGAGGAAAAGCCAGCAAAATACTTGAGAAAGAATGCATGCAAGAATTTACATTGATTGGGCCTTTTCTCGAAAATAACTTCGCTTGATCGCTAATATAACCGAAACAATTGATATTGTTCGTTGTTTATCAAAATTAATTATAATTTCCAAGGAAATTGAATGCTTGTGCCTTTTATTAAAATTTTAAAACAACAAAATTAAAAACGGTATAGAAAATATAATAAACCAAGTGGGTAGCAAATATTATTCATCAGTAAAGTTCATTCATAGATTTAAGAGAAATATTGGATGAATCCTGTCTAAAATTAAAAAACTAAGTTTATTTTACAGATTACTACAGTACACAGTTAATAAAACAAAAATATTCTTACGTTCAATAAATAGTTGTGCAGGGTTAGTCACAATAATCTGACAACTTATTGTGAGTTTATTATTGAAATCACAAAAAAAGTCTATAATACAAATGTTTTAGCTTTTTTATGAATTTTTATAATACAGTATTAGAAAAAACAATTGAATAACGGAAATCACTAAATTAAAAAGAAAATTAAACGATATTTCCTATGCCTATATTAGTGCATACTTAGCTTCGTTAAATTTTTCTCTTTTCAAAAATATATAATATGTCACTTTTCGACATATTTCAGTTTGAAACTATTTTTGAAAAAACAGGAGGAAAATTTATGTCTAACGGATCGCATTCACATTATTGTTATTCTTGTAAAATAAACGGATAACTTCAAATTTTTCGTTCTCACTAAACATTATTTCTTTGTTAAAATAGTTTGTTATAAGAAACAAATTAATGATGATAAATAAACTTCTGTCAAAGTCATTTGTTTGTTCCGCGTGCCTCGTCCATAGCCACTGCGATCCGTCAGACATAAATTTGCCTCCTATTTTTTCAAAAATATTTTTTAAACATTTTATTTTATTAGGAATAAACCGACAAAGGAAGCTTTTAACAAACAAAAAACAAAGTTACAGAAGATGTTCAAAGTGCCCTCCGTCCATTTCCAAGCAGGCACGACATCTTCGTCTCAACGATATTCGAACTCTTTCGAAAACGCTCTCCTTGGTTTGGATTTCTTGACACTTTTGATTAATCCGTAGCTGCAGCTCTTCCAGGCTATTTACAGGAGTACCATACACTAATGTCTTCAAATATCCCCAAACAAAGAAATCTAGAGGGTTCAGATCAGGCGATCTTGGAGGCCATAAAACAGGTCCGGCCCTTCCTACCCATCTATGTGGAAAAGTTTGGTGTAAATGCTCTCTAACGGCCATGGAAAAATGAGCTGGAGCACCATCATGCTGGAACCACATTTGTTGCCTCTGATTCAAAGGAATGTCTTCCAAAAACTCATACAGTGTGTTCTGCAGAAAGTTGAGGTAAGCAGCGCCTGTTAATCGGTTTGGTAAAACAACAGGACCTAGAAACCTGTCACCTACAATACCCATCCAAATGTTTAATGAAAAACGTGCCTGATGTCCAGATTCTATTAGAGCATGAGGATTTTCGTCGGCCCAAATATGCGTATTGTGAAAATTAAACACTCCATTTCTTGTGAACCCGGCCTCATCAGTAAAAAGAATGTTTGCAAGAAAACGAGGGTCTTCAGCATCATGACGTAGAAACCAGCGGCAAAAAACCAAACGTGCTTGATGATCATTTATTGGATTTAAGGCCTGTACTCGTTGCACATGGTATGGATAAAGCAGTTGCTCGTGAAGGATTCTCCAAACAAGAGGACCACTAATTCCTACCTCGGCTGATATTCTCCGCACACTCGTACCTGGATTCTGCTCTACCAGTGCTAGAATTTCTTCTTCTGCTCTAGGAGTGGATACCGACCTTGGTCTTCCGGATAAATGGCACTGTTTGCTCAAGGAACCGGTATCACGCAATCTTTGGTGAATTCTTCCAAACATGCGTTGTGAAGGAATCTGGCGATTTGGATAAGCGTCAACATAAAGACGTCGCGCTTCGGTGGCGTTCCCATTAGCACGACCATACATGAAATGCATGTCTGTTAATTCTGCGTTAGAGTAACCAGCCATAGCGAAAGAAAATTTGTGCACTGAGAACAACTGTCAAATACGTACTGTTTATTTCACTAAACATCAACAACCAACTATTATAAGAAAATACACAACGTTTTTGCAAAATAAAAAAGGGGCTAAAAAACATAAAACATTCCATATCTCCGCAACCGTTACTTTGCGGACCCATGTTTATTGTAGACTTTTCTGCTTATTTTGGTTCATACTATTACCTCCTTAAATATTTTACACTCTTTTTTTAACACCCTGTATAGGGTGTTGCATTAAAAAAACAGTTTTCTTTAATTCAGTGATTTGCATTATTCAATTGTTTTTCCTAATACTGTATTAGAAAAATTCATAAAAAAAGCTAAAACTTTTGTATTAAAAACTTTTTTGTAATTTCAATAATAAACTCACAATAAGTTGTCAGATTATAGTGTACATATGATAGTTCTATATATACATATTTTATAGTCTTTTAGCTCTCGAAATAAGTGTCTTTTTTCGACTTTTTGTACTATAGCAGTACCCCCTCCTGCGTTTATAACCAAAACTATCTTCTCAGTTCCTACGAAGTATTAAAATGTCTGGGTTTGCAAGAACCTCACCTGTTCATTATCCCTTTACAAATACTTTACTCGTAAATTGTTCGTTCTCTTAAATCTATGAACGTACTTTACCAAGGGTAAAGGTGAGCATATTTCGCTTTCATTTACCTCTGACTCCTATTTTTGTGAGCCGTTGTTTAACATTCCGGCATCCGTTTCGATACAAGCTACCGAACCCTCTCTCCCGCCTCATTTCAAGTTCGTTCCTTCTCATAAAGCATCCGATAAGCATCCAAGTACGAATGTTACGGAAGCAAACATCAAAACGTAATTAATTTCGCACACAAAACAAGCCGTGAAACATGTATAGTAAATATTCGGCGCGTAAACACCGACAAACAGCGCGGGCCCCTCGCTCGCCCGGCGCCTCCGCCAAAAGATAGAAGGAAACGGCTTGTTTGAAATTACTTGGGGGAAATTGATTGCGATTCCGATCCGCGGCAACTGATATTTCATTTGAATAAGTGCTTCGATGCATACATTTCTGGCGTAGGTACGCTTCGTATTCAGTGGACATTGATCTGTGAACTGAGGGATCAGTATGTGTTTCTGGATGTCAACTTGCCGGTCGAGAATTTCATGTGAAGCATCCGGTACAATTATTATTTTGATTCAAATAGAATTAAAATCTAAACGAGCAACAGAAAATATGGGCGCCATGTTCTGAAGAAGTAGATTAAGAAAGAGTGCAAAACAAATGTTATCCGCAATTACCATACTGATTTGAACTAGAATTATAATTAGTCCACACGGTATCTGTTTCAGAAAGTCAATGTTTGGGTGAATTGTATATCCACGGAGATTTTTGGCTTTTTGGCTTTCAAATATCACTAGAAATGATTTTTTTTCTATGCGCATAAAAAAAACGTGGGCTTAACTTTTGACGGCAAAATATGTTCAAAAAATTCGAAAAATGTCATATTGTTCTTCCTATTTAATTATGTATCTATTCAAGAGTTGATTTTAGGCGAAAATGGAAAAGGAAAAAATGTGTGTAATTAATTTTTTTACAAAATACGACTAGTTACAAATCGAATGAATCATGATTATTATTATTGTAAAAATCGAAGAAATCGCCAAAAATGGGATTAAAAAACATTACTTTTAGGGAATTTTTTGGGGTCTTTAAATTGGGTATAGGACCTTCAAACTTGGCTCAAGAAAACTTCATGTTATGTAGAATCATCACACCAAATTTCATCAAAATCGGTTCTATGGATTTTGCATAATAATTTTGCAATCCAGATTTTGAGAAAAAATTTGCAAATTTTCAAAATTTTGCACAGCAAAGACCAAGGCCCGTAGTTACTTGAAAATTTAATCACATATAGAAGGGCTCTCAAGCTTTCAAACGCTTTTTGAAAAATTCGAATACCTCAATTAGGAGGACTCTGGCGCTTGTTTAAACATTGGTCGAATTTTTTGTACTGTAAACAATTGGAATAACTTTGTTAATATTCAACCAAATTAAATTTTTTTAAATAGTTTTTAAAAGTTCTTGAAAAGACGCTTCTTTAAAAAAAACAGATCAATTGGTCGATTAGTTATCATCATTTCTTTTGTGATTAAAGTATAATTCAAATATTATTTATTGTTTAAAATGAGAAATTAACTAATTATATTACTAATTTTCGACATATTTTGAAAATAATTGTTGTTTAAACAATTTTAGAATATTTAAATAAATCTTGATCTTTGATAAACAGTTGATAATTAAAGGAAGTTTAAAGATAAATAATTATCGGACTGTTGAAAGACCAATAATTATTAACGATAGGCATTTGAACATACGCTAATTGTTTTTTAATCGCGAGACATCGATTTAAAAAAAATCATCAAAATCGGACCTCTAGAGGCTGAGATATTAAAAATTATTAAGCGCGTCGCGGTTTTGAACTCGTATTCAATTTCGAGCGAGCCGAAGCACCCGTGCTCTCTGCTTCCCCCACCACCTCCACCCGTACGATTTTCTTTAATTTCTCGCTTGCATAAATAACTTTAAACACTTTTTAAAGTAGGTTGTCAATGAAGAAAAGTATTGCAAACTTACACCTAGTAAGTACTCGGATTACCAAAGGTATTTTTCGAAAAATTAGCCCGGATGTCCCAGTATATTTAGTGTAAATGACGGTTAACTTTGATCGGCTATAACTACGTAACTAATTGACCAATCGATCTGTTTTTTTTTTAAAGAAGCATCTTTCCAATAACTTTTAAAACCTGCTTTAAAAATTTGATTTCATTGAATATTCACAAAGTTATTCTAATTGTTTATACGTACAAAAATTCAACCAATGTTTAAACAAGCGTCAGAGCTCTCCTAATTGACGGATTCGAATTTTTCAAAAAACGTTTGAAAGCTTGAGAGCCCTTCTATATGTGATTAAATTTTCAAGTATCTACGTACCTTGGTTTTTTCTGTGCAAAATTTTGAAAATTTGCAATTTTTATTTCAAAATCTGGATTTCAAAATTATTATGCAAAATCTATAGAACCGATTTTGATAAAATTTGGTGTGATGATTCTACATAACATGAAGTTTTCTTGAACCAAGTATGTAGGTCCTTGTAAAAAAATCAAATACAAACATTTTTTTCCTCTTCCATTTTCGCCTAAATTCAACTCTTGAATAGATACATACTTAAATAGGAAGAAAAATATGACATTTCTCGAATTTTTTTAACATATTGTGCCGCCAAAAGTTAAGTCCACGTTTTTTTTTGTTCACATAGAAAAATTTTCATTTCTAGTGATACTTGAAAGCCAAAAAGCCAAAAATCTCGGTAGATATACGCATGGGCGTAGCTAGTGGGGGGCAGGGGTGTGCACGGCCCACCCCAGAGAACCCGGTGCCCACCCTAAAAAAAAGAACATCGCGGTCTTTTTTTTAGAATCAAAATCAAAACGTGTTCAAATTTGATATCTTGTTTGCCTGATTGCGAGCGAGGGCTCTTTTTTTTAAACGCCTCCATAGAGCTTACAGCCCTAGCCCACCCCAAGAAAAAATTGTAGCTACGCCCATGGATATACGATTCACCCAAACCAAAACAGATACCGCCTATAGTGCGATCGTATTCGATGCAAAGTAATAAATCATTGCCTGTCAAGGGAATCAGTGCAACACATTTTATAGGGGGTTTTGGAAATTGAATAATTTCTTTATGCATTATGGATTAACAGTTATATATTTATGAAGGACAAAATGAAAAACAAAGGCATCTCCTTCGCACATTGGGCGGCAGGACAACAATACATTTATTACTCCCTTCATTATCCCTCATATGACTTGTATCTTGTGTTTTTTGCGGCGGCACGCGTGCCGGCCTGGCGTGGTCAGTTTCGTTTCGGTTGTATTGGTGCTGCGTGTTTCTCGCTCGCGATATTTGTGAGGTTATAACTGTTATAAGTGCAATTATATTTCTTTCGGGCTATATGTGTGTTTCGCGCTATTATTTGAGAATATGTGAGTGAAATCATATTTCTTGTGCTCCGTAACAAAAGTGTTTTTAGTGTTTTATTTGTGTGCTGTGTGTGTGTTTCGGGCTGTTGTTTGTGAATCGTGAATGCTATTATATTTTCTGTGCTAGTGAAGTGAAGTTTTTTGTATTATTATTGCTCTGTTGTCGTTATATGGATAAATGGAGGCGGTGCCTGGATGTTCGCGAGCCGGATGTACTGCTGTGGGTACAAAAAAATCTATATTAAGTTACAGAGAAAAAATGATAATATTAAATGTCTATAACCCTTTAGAAAAGGATCATCCCATGAAACTGAAGACTGGTTTGGTGGAAATGTGTTCTGGATATACTGGAGTAAGCGAATTATCTGTTTTCAAAATTTTAAGAGAGAAGAAAATTGAAGGAGACGTTAAGAAACCTAAAAAAGGGGGTGCAAAGAAGAAATTAATATTAAATGAAGATGAGAAAAATGCAGTTTGGCGTACAGTACATAAATCATAGAATTTATATTTTGTTTATAATTTGTTAACATTTCTTGTTTGATAGAAAAATAACTTATTTTGTTGAGATTGGTAGAGAATTGTTGTTAGTGTTTTCATTTGATAGAATCATATCATAGGATTTATATTTTGTTTTCATTCTGTAAATATTTATAGTATATCTGTTATACAAGGTTTTTGCTTTGAAACTTCGTTCTCCTTATAAAAAAAAGAATCGTAATGGGGTGCGATGAAGAGATCAGTTCACGTCTGGAACCCTGTTCCTACAAAAATCCCTTTATTCTCATAAACTATTTGTTTTAAATGTAATTTATTATAAATCCAATTCGTTATTTAAATTCCACATATGTACTACATTTCACCTCTGTACGCGCCACTGTTTATTGTTCCCTGCTCTACGATCAAGCTCGCCAGGTTAGTATTTGACGTATAACCGACCACTTCGTACACTCGATGCACCTGGCCGACTACAGCTAGTACCAGGACACAGTGCGTATGCGGCGGTATTTCAGATTTTACATTCAATTTCATTTTAAATTTGAAACGGTTCATCTTACGCCTCCTAAAAATGATGACACGATTTTCCTTTGATAAAAGACCGACAATTTTTTGCTCTACTTTGCATCGTATACGATCGTACTATAGTCTAACTGTGATTTAGAATCACCAAGGGTCAGTTTATCAAATGAATTTTAAATTCTATTAACTAACTCTAATTTGTTTTATTTTGTCTTCTTCCTCAGAAACATCGTGCCTCCCCTGAACGTTGTTCCTAGAGGTGGAAACAAGCTTTTTAAGTCTCATCTCTTTGTTTATATACTTATTTCTGATGATAAAGACAAATAAGAAACTACTGTTGCATCAAACTGAATTAGTATAAACAATAAATCTAGTTTGGTTGCCCAGGTATGAGACCAACTGGATGTCGCTAAAGAATTCATTACATTTAAGTCCCTCAACTTTTTGTAGCCTACTTAGCTTAGTTTTTTTTGCAGCGGATAGAAGTGACACCTGTCACAGTGGCGGTTAGTCCCAAGGAAATCAAGGTTATCAAGTGCAACGGCGTGGGCACCTGCAAAAAGAAAAAGCAGCTGTACACTCTACAACCGGATTACCTCTCCCACATCGTGGTTATAAGTAAGTCCCCAATTATTTGTCATTCAAGTTGTTTGTTCCAATGTTAGCATCACTTTTTTTATTAAACTTAGAGAAAGAAAAAGAATAAAAGCAAGCAAAAAGGCATGTAAAATAACTTTTATCTGCTCCCACTATAGTAAATAGACTATTAGGTAATACATTGTTTTTAAGGTGGACATATTCCTGGCCGAGAAATAGTGAAATTTCTGGTATTTTTAGGTACTGAAATCTTGAAAAGTAAAACATGTAGAACAAAAGTAAGCACAAAAATAAAATCCTTGATGTTTTGTTTATTTATTGTTACCATTTAAATTTACTCAAATAAAATAATAAGTAAAAAAAGGCGTTTGTAAAACATGCCTTTGCTGTTATCCTAACCCCACATTTTAAGAATTATTTTCACGTACTTATAAATAAAAGTAAACAATTTTATATGTAGGACTAAGCAAGTAAATGTTATAAGAATATTTACATGTGGAGTTATATATAAAACCTTGATGTTTGATCGTTTCTTGCACCTGTTTATTCGTTTTACTGCGGCGTCTTTGAAAATACTCAGGGGCATGACATAACATTTCTATTATTTGATAAGCTTTAGATTATCCAGTTATTAAATGTTTGAAATTATTTGTCTTTGCGGAAAACATTATTTAAAGAATATGGGGCCCTTAAAAACAAATCGTACATTGTACATATTCAAAAATCTATGCAACGTTTCGCTTTGCTTTGTACTATCTCTTTTATTTTATTTTTATACAGAGTGACCCTTAATTCGACTACTAAACTTCTTCCAAAGTGCTCATTGATTAAAATTATTACAAAGGGTTCAAATGCATCAACTCCTGCGAACATATATCAACTTAAAAATGACTTCTTAAAAACGTTTTTTGTTTTAATATGTTTTAAACCAATTGATATATCAATTCCAAATTTGGTGCACATTTTTGGCGGTCGATCTATCTTGGTCACTTGTAGAATATAATTTTTATAGCTTTTTATCTTGATTACACAATGTCACAAAAAAAATTAGTTATGTAGAATATAATTTTTATAGCTTTTTATATGGAAGTTAACGATTTTTTTTAGCTTCTTAAAAATTTCAAGTTTCCACTCTGTTCCACATGAGATTAATGGTTATTAGAAAAACTTATGTACTTGAAAATCTTGCAATTTGGTCGTGGTGTAGACTTGAGTACCTTTTTAAATTATATTACTTATCGTGTTTTATATTTCGTTTTTATTGTAATTGTAATTCGGTACTTGTATTTCTTAGACAAAGCAATAAGATGTGAATAAAACTAAAACGAAGTCATTAAAATTTACATTCTCGCGACGCGCCCAATTGCAAAATCTTACCTCGCTCCACATACGAATGGGCCTCCCCCAGCTTGTAAATCAGAACAAACACTTTATACGTTTTATACATTTTTATGCTTGGCTGGCTCCTGCAAGAAAAGCTCGCCTACCGACAGTCTGTTGCACTTTTTATTAGCCCGCAGCCCACTCCGCCCGATTCTCCGCAGAGACCACCAATATGTTTACGTTCAGCTGTTTTTAGGGGCGAGCGGCCTGAATTTTTTATCTCTTACCGTTTTATTGCAGCGGCAGCGTGCGGTTCTATCGAACCTTTCCTTTTAATTGGTTCCTCTGCGACAACAGAGCTATATAGTACGCCGTGTATCCACTAAAAAAAAAAGGAAAATAAACGTCGAAGTTGCCGTCCTGCGTCGCGTATTACTTTAATTGACGGAGAAAGATTCTAGAACGCGTTTGAAGCCCCCAAAAAACAACAGATGGTGCTTCCTCTTCCGTTTTTCTGGTCGTTGACTGAAAATTATACTGAAATTAGGAATTGCGTAGATGGATATTCACAGGAATATTTTCTTTTTCTAAACTAACAACTAGTCCTTATGGGATTCGGTTTTCTTTTTCAAAAAATTCGTGAAATACTACTACAACTAACTATTTTCAATGTGGCACTTCAAACATCAACCTTTCCTTATATTTGGATTAAAACCAAGATTTGCCTATTTTCAAGAAAAGTGAAAAATATTTCATTGAACATCAACTGAAACTGCTGTTACTTCTGGTGTACCTCCGGGACCAGTTTTTGGCCCGCTGTTATTCAGTACGTTCATTAATGATATTTTAGATTATGCATACGGCTGTTGTCGACTGATTGTGGACATAGTATTAATAATAAAAAATTTTTTCATACTTGAAAAACTAATATAAACACTATCGCAACGACGATAATACTAAAATCGGATTTCAGTATTCATAATCGCCTGGGGCCACATGAGTGAAAGACGCTAGAGACTACAGTAGCCCAACGATGTAAAGGTTGAAAATAGTACAACTTCAATAATTTTTTTCTCGGAAATGATAAGGATTTTACAAAAAATTTTTTACGATATTGACTCCATTTTTCATGACTAATCTATTCCCAATTTTTTTTGGAAATGTTGTGAATGGCCTTTTATAATTCAAACAGAATTTTAGTCACTTATTGATTTGTTTAACACTAGTGTTTGTAATATTAAGTTTAGTGTTTCAGGACGTCAAACGTGTCTAATAATAACAATAATCAGAATTGTATTTCAAGGTAGCTTATTTAAAAAAATAAATAAAATAAATGTATTTGTTTCCAGACAACCAGATACCGGATCGAAATTGTTCGTGCTGCGAGCAATGTTGCATGGACTACGAGGGCTGGCTGCAGTTCCAGCAGGGACTATACCAAATAGTGCGAGACCCCCTTTTCGAGCTCGCCATCACAGTATGTATCGTTCTCAACACGATGTTCCTGGCGATGGAGCATCACGGAATGAGCGAATCCGTGCTCAGGGCATTAGACGTAGGCAATAAAGTGAGTATTTGCAGAGTTATTACAATTTAAAAAAAAAATCAATTCTAACTTGCAACTGCTTCTGTTCTTCTGCAAAACTACGTGTCTTTAAATACAGGGTGTACTTATATTTCGTGTACATGGAGCTGCCACAATATTCTGCAATCAAAATAAGCAGATTTAACTAAACTACCCTTTACCTCTATACTAAGTTGCTTCGTTCAAGTATGGGCACTTTCAGAGGACAAATATTCCCCTCTAATTATCGCCTATGTACAATAAAATAACGTGAGACGAAGCTAAGGTATAGAAAATAAAAAAAAACGTGGATTTGTTTGTTAAATCAACAGGAAAATTTTAAAATCAGATAGCGAGTACTTAAAATTAAAATTAAGAGCTGAAGTTTGGTGAGAATTTTTTTTCCGATGTTTAGAACAATATTGGAGCGAAAAAATACAAGTGTACATTTCAAACGAAGCATCCTAAATTGTACACATTTAAAATACACACTGTACATATGTAACAAGGAACCGTATTCCTAAAACGACAGCAGAAACTTAATTTTCTTTAATTACACAAAAGCCGTCTTGCATTTCTTCAGCCATATTTTCCGAACACGTCCAGAAAAAAAAACCAACTGAATTCATTATTGGCATAAGTTATTGGCAACGACCAGAATAAAACCACTTATAAATCTCCTGCGTGGCAGCGTCTACTGGAAAAGTCGATTTATGTGCCGAAAGTTTTCAATTTTAAAGTTGCAAAGGGCGATCAATTGCTTGTAACACTTGTTGAGACGTCGCATTGAACTATGTTAAAGTAGTTGCAAGAGTAGAGGTAAAACATCGCATGGAACATTGGGAACGTGACGAAGTGACGTTTCTCTAACATTTCTTTGATTCATTGTTTTCAAGAAATAAGAAAATTAACGAATATTATTACTTAAAAGGTATAACATAAAAATACACGTGTAGCCTCTGACTAACATGTTAGGAAGACTTAATCTTATATTCTACAGAATAATTAGAAACTCTAATATACATGGTGGTCCGTAACAAAAGGGTCCTAGAGTAACTGTCGATTGTAGATATACATCAAAATAATAGGATACAGAGTGTCACAGTTTAATTTGAATTTGGAACTATTTAATAACAAAAAGCGAGTTTTTAAAAAATTCAACTGTTGCAATAATAAAGAAAATAGCACTTTCTCGTAAAACTGTACCAATATCAAAAAGTTATGCCTGTAAAAAATTATTGTTAAGTTGTTCTGTCTAGGGTGAACAGGACGCTAAAATGGGAATTATTCTCGTATACAATTGACCATAACTTTTGAAATGCCCTATATAACATAATTAAACCCTATATTGGAAGCATGGGAGAGATGAGCTTAATCTAAATTTGTAATAATATATAGGGTGTCCCATTTAAAAAATAATGTTTGGTTCACCCTGGTAATACGTAACGCCCTGTATATACAAAAATAATTTTGGAATGTGCAGTTTTAAGTTGGCTACAATTTTTGTAAATAACTTTTTTTAATATCTTCTGTAATATCGGAGATATCTTACTTCGACATACTAATGCCGCACCCTGTATATGTCTATATCTCAAAACGCTGTATATTGCTGTTGGTTGCATCGTGTGACATCATGTTTTCTGACTTCAAAATCTACACTTTTCTATAAAAAAAAATCTCAGTATAAAAAAGTTCTCTTATTCCGTCTATTTATGTCTTTCATGGACTAATAGTGAAAAATCCGAATCTGATCTTGATTCCTAGATATCTCGTAGAAATAGTTATGCATTGTTGCATAGTTATCTTTTTTAAGCAAAACCCCATCTGAGTTTTGAATAAATAATGAGAGACTGATTATTTTTTAAGGAAACAGGTATAAGTACTTGTTTCCCATCAGCCAGAAGACATTTTGATTTGTATTCAAATCAAAGGCAGCTAAATTATAACATTTTTCAGACTTTTTCTTTGACTAGGTGCAATAGGTGAATTTCGTTTTAAACGAAACGAAACAAAAATGGGAACTGTCAAGCAAGAAGAAATCCTGATACGTGTAGCGTAAAGGAAAATCCTCAAATAAGTACCAAAAACTTGCGAGTCGCAATAGGAGCAAATAAAACTACAATTTTTAAAATTCCTTACACTTTTTAACACGATAATCCAACAAAAGTGGACAGAGATAGAGCGAATATCCTTGGCTAGCTCGTAGCCCCGACCTCATTCCCTTAGAGTTTTACTTGCTAGGACCTTATGGGAAAGATTTACGCAATTGTTGAAAAGATGTGTAAATTATGGAACAAATTTGAACTATAAAATCAAACTAATGAACTACATCCTATTATTTTGACCCATTCATTACGGACCACCTTGTATTGTTGCTGTTGGCGTACTCCTCATTTTTACATATTTTATTAACACAGGTAGTGCCTTCAAATTATTATATTGTACCTTCTCTACAATGGAAAATAAAAGAGACGCATTTGTTTTAGAGCGAGAAAGAGAACAATCGATTTCTCCTCATATGCTCCAAACTGCCGCCCACATAATCCTCTGCAACGGGGATTATTAATTACAGCAATTAACGTGTTCCCCTTTGTTTCAGGTTTTTACTTCCATTTTTACATTTGAGTGTTGTTTGAAAATCATGGCGCTTAGCAAAGACTTTTTTTATTGCGGCTGGAACATATTCGATTTAATTATAGTTTCTGCCAGTTTGCTCGACCTCATTTTTGAGTTGGTGGATGGGCTGTCGGTGCTGCGAGGACTCCGTCTTGTGAGTATTCTAAATATTATTGTGTTTTCATTATTCTTCGATTTGTGTATTTTGTAGCTGCGAGTTCTGAAGTTAGCTCAGTCGTGGATCACAATGAAAGTTTTACTCAGCATCATCATAAGTACAATAGGCGCGCTGGGGAACCTTACCTTCGTATTAGTTATAGTTATTTATATATTCGCCGTCATCGGAATGCAGCTTTTCTCCAAGGACTACACCGAGGACAAATTTTTTCCTGACCCCGTTCCAAGGTAAGCCAAACAGCGAATTGTTAGTGAACATTCAAACAATCGGCTGTGATTCGTTCTCAGCAAAAGGTGAATGGGATTCCATGGGCGTATCATTTTAGAAGGTTCCAAAAATTGTTAAGTATATAGGTACCTCGATTTTGGTTGTCTTTACAACAAATTTACTATTTTAATATTTAAAGACAATGTTAATGTTAACATTCCCTAAAAATGTGTGATAAAAAGTCTTCACAAAACGTGGAATTTTAGCAATGGGGTATTGAATGCTCCTAGGCATGATTTCCGGGACGATATCGTGACGTTCTTATATTCCGCAAATCTCTGTAAACGACCACGTCCGCCAACTTAACGCCGGTTACACCATCGCCCTGGGACTACTGTCGTGACGCAACGGACTCGGCAATCCGACCCTCTCGTCCCGAAAGTAACGACAGAGGGCGTGACAGGTCCAATAAAATTTGATCCGATGTTACTGCAGCGAAAAAATTCAACAAATCGCAAAGAACCCCGTTAAAAATTTATTTTACTGCTAACACTGCGAACCCGTAACGTTTAAATGGGCAATAAAAGGGCCTTATCTCTTATTTACGTCTAAAGGGTCACGAATTGGTCACTTTCGAGCCAATAAAGTGACGAATTCATAAGTCATAATAAATTGATTTTATTTATATCTGTGCCTGTGCCAGAAAATTTCGTTATCTCAGTACATATTTAACTTTTAGGTGGAACTTTACGGATTTTTTTCATTCCTTTATGATGATTTTTCGAATCTTGTGTGGAGAATGGATAGAGCCATTATGGGACTGTATGAGAGCCGAACGTACAGAGGTATGATCTTTTCCTTAAAAAAAAATAATAATTCAATGTATAACTTACATCCTTTTATTGCTTTTATTTGAAAAGGAAGATTTATATTCCTACCACGACAGTATAAATTTCCTTTTCTATAGCATACAATCATTCAATAGTAATCTTTTCGACTACGTTCAGAATAAAACAAACTGAATTTACTATTGGCATAAATTATCACATCTTTTTGTTAAGTTTAATAAGGATTTACACATTTTTATTAATTGGTTTTAAACGGACAACTAATTTTAATCTTGATCAAGTCAATCACATTAAAAAGAGTTTATTCACTGTTCTATAGGTCTGCAAGTGTGGCGGGATTTTTAAATTTCTTAGAGCAATTATTTCTTTGTATCTTTACTGCAATTTACTTTGCAAAATAATGTAAAAGTTATTAAATATAGTCCAACCAAATGGTAAAGAGGCTTATAATAAACGAAAAAAAAAATAAAATAAATGCGTGAGCAGGGGCGGCGGAGGGTTGATTTCGGGGGCTGAAAAGTTGTGAAAAATTATATTCTTGGGATTTCTGGCGAAAGTAAACGTCAAACAAAAAAGTATCCAATGCGAAAGTTGTAGATCATGCAAAAATCTACAACTTTTGTAGAGGTCACTTCTTAAGATAACCTCAAAATTTCCGAGAAAAATGCGAAAAACTTTTTCTTTCTTATTTTTCGTTTTTTATTTCTCATTTCCGCAAAAATTAATTTAATTTTAAGGAAACTTGGTGAAAGTATACCTTTCTGTGTGTTAAATAACCACAATTTTTTTTTAAAATAAAAAATCAAGAAGTTTCCGAAATATTCACTTTTTCCGGTTTGAAACATTTTTTTTAAAGAAAAATTCTACTTAGAAAAATCATCGTACAAAGTTCTGCCGGCAATCATTATTATCGTTTTGACATATACTTTTTGGTGAAATAAAAAAAAAATCTGTAATCACAGTTCAAAAACATGCTCAAAAATGCAAAAAAAATGACGCAAAAGTGAATTTTTCAGTACTTGTTGATAATTTGTTTCAACTAAAAAAAAATCAAAAATGATTACACCATTCAATTCTATGGAAAAAAATAAAAAAAAACCTGTCTCATTGACCCAAAACTTTATTTTTGTACAGTATTGCTATAAAACTATAAACATCTAAGTCGAATTACAAATGCACAAATGATAAATTATCTCTGGATGATTTGAGATTTCAGCAATACAAAGTTAACTGCAGTCTACTGTTGACGCGAAACCCGAAAACCCGAAATTTTGCGAAATCGTTTTATTTTTTTCTGGCTTTATTTGAAAACGAATTTTAAAATAAATTGCATATTTACATTGCCACTTTTTTCGCTCTATCCAATGGCGTCAACATTTTTGCAATCCGACGTTTCGTCTTCGAGGGGCCATAATCACATTATTTTTTTTAAATATGTCGCTGCTATTTTTATGACAAAATCTAGTCATTTTTAATTCTGAATTAGATGATATTATAATAGTTTATAATCGCTTAAACAGGTTTTTGACTATCATTTAAAATTTTTCTTAAGTACGGCTCTGAACGCTTTCAAAATATCTATTGGATGAAGTCATAACAGTATAAAAGTCCAACAAAATATCCAACAATTTTTTTTTAATCAATAATTTAAAAAGTTGTACCTAATAAAAAAATAATACGAATTTATGAAATATTTTATTATTTCTAATTAGTATTGCTAATAGTAGTAAAAAAATTGTTGGATATGTTGTGCGGTATTGACTTTTATACTGTTATGACTTCATCCAATAGATATTTTGAAAGCGTTCAGAGCCGTACTCAGGAAAAATTTTAAATGATATTTAAAAACCTTTTTTTATTATAATAGTAATGTCATCTAATTCAGAATTAAAAATGACTAGATTTTGTCATAAAAATAGCAATATATTTAAAAAAATTAATCTGATGTGGCCCCTCAAAGACGAAACGTCGGATTGCAAAAATGTTGACGCCAATGGATAGAGCGAAAAAAGTGTCAATGTAAATATGCAATTTATTTTAAAATTCGTTTTCAAATAAAGCCAGAAAAAAAATAAAACGATTTTGCAAAATTTCCGGTTTTCTGGTTTCGCGTCAACAGTAGACTTTGCAGTTAATACTTTGTACTGCTGAAATCTCAAATCATCCAGAGATAATTTATCATTTGTGCATTTGTAATTCGACTTGGATGTTTATAACAATACTGTACAAAAATAAAGTTTTGGGTCAATGAGACAGGCTTTTTTTTATTTTTTTTCCATAGAATTGAATAGGGTAATCGTTTTTGATTTTTTTTAATTTAAACAAATTATCAACAATTACTGAAAAATTCATTGTTGCGTCATTTTTTTGCATTTTTGAGCATGTTTTTGAACTGTGATTACAGATTTTTTTATTTCACCAAAAAGTATATGTCAAAACGAAAAAAATGATTACCGGCAGAAATCTGTACGATGATATTTCTAAGTAGAATTTTTCTTTGAAAAAAAAGTGTTTCAAACCGGAAAAAATGAATATTTCGGAAACTTCTTGATTTTTTTATCTAAAAAAAATTGTGGTTATTTAACACACAGAAAGGTATACTTTCACCAAGTTTCGTTAAAATTAAATTATTTTTGCGGAAATGAGAAATAAAAAACGAAAAATCAGAAGAAAAACTGTTTTTCGCATTTCTCTCGGAAATTTTGAGGTTATCTTAAAAAGTGATCTCTACAAAAGTTGTAGATTTTTGCATGATTTACAACTGTTGTATTGGATACTTTTTTGTTTGACGTCAACTTTCGACAGAAATCTCAATAATTCAATTTTTCATCACTTTTCAACCCCCCAAGCCCCCAACCAAATTTTTTATTCATTTATTATAAGCTCCTTTACCATTTCCACTTATAAAAGTACAGGTAACAATTTTCTTTTTTTTTCCTCTCTAAATGAGTTATTTCGATCGGTCTAATATATTAACGGCGTATTCACGAACAGCTAAAACACAGATTATAAGGATGTAAAAAACACCGCCATGTTCTAAAGAAGTAGTAACTATTTCAGGGTCCCGGCACATGTTTGGCAGTGTTTCTTCCAACCCTAGTGATGGGTAACTTCATGGTGCTGAACTTGTTCTTGGCCTTATTGCTCAACAGCTTCAATTCCGAAGAACTGAAGACGAGGAAGGAGGTATTTGACGCTTGCCTAGCCGCGATGTATTTTTTATTTTTGCATGGATTATATATTCCCGTTAAATGTAGTGTGAGAAGACGGGTTACATTAAAAATTGTGACATTTATGTTGTTTCAATTGTATGAAACTCTTTGCATGCTTCTATTCATGGTGTTCGTATTACTAAAATGCCTATTTGCAAGCCAAAATAAGTGTGTTTTATGTATAGGCAACCCGTGGTAAGTAGTTTTTTGGATATTTATGTTAACACGACACCTATGGGAACCACACTGTATCTTCAAACAAAAAAAGGAAGATCAAGAAAGAAAATTACATTCTGAATCTAAATTGCAAATCATAGTTCAAAAAACTAATTTAAAAAAATATTTCTTCATTCTTCCTTATTACCAAATACTTGAGAATAAATATAATACCCTTGTTTGTATATTTATAGCAGTTTAGTAGTATAGTCTAACCTAATACTTAACTAAAATACTAGATGACAACTCTACTCTAAAAAATTCTTGTCACCCTTATTGTGCTGTTACCAGTGCCAAAATAGTAGGCGCGTAATGTGATTCCATAGGCGTATCAATTTAAAAGGATCCAAAAATTGATAATAAATATAGAACAACTAGATATGTTGATTTTACTAAAAATTGGATTCAACGATGGTCTGCTATCACCTTCGTACACTTGTTTCTTCTTTTTTTGTCCACTATTTTGGCACTGGCAGCGTGGCAAGGACTTTTTGGAGGTGTTGACATCTAATATGCTCATTTCAGAGTATGACTATAAATATATAATTAAGGGTAATACGCAAAAATTGTCTATTAAAGAAAACAATTTCTTTTAAATTTGAGTAATGAAAAATATACAATTTTTGCTTGTGATCTACATAAAACAACAATGCGATCATCAAAATCCACAAACATAGAATGTACACTATCACTTGTAGAAAAATACTTACCACATATAACATTTATTAATGGTACAGTACATGTAAATACACTGGAAAAAGTTTGCACCATCTAGTAAAATCGTACAATTTATGATGAAAGATCTGTAACCTTAGGGGTTATTTCTTGATTTATCTATCTACCGCTATGACCAGTATCATATCGGTATTAACTGACAAAAGAGTTTACTATTAACTTCTCGAAAGGAAGTTTATAAGTATCATTACACTTTAATTAATAAGTGGGAACTTAGAAATGCTGTACGTTCAAAAAATGAATTCCGGACACTTACCGTACGTCGCTCATGTATAAGATAATCCAGTGGTTGGTTGTATAGGGTGACACTTAAGTTGGAAGAACAAGAAAACACCAAAACTTTCCAGGAAGGGTTTTTAAAAACAATAAAACCAAAACAAACAAACAAAATAACGACACAACGGACTCGAAACATTATTAATTAATTTATTGACACGCGACAGCGCACCGAGATTCAAGGAATGCGCGATCCATAGCAAAATTTGGAATGACTATTCATTATTAAATTAACCCGAGACTCTAAAACTAAGTAGACTGCTCAATGTGGAACCCAAGGAAAAACTGCCTTTTTTTCGGAGATCTCTCCTGAATTCAACACTTCGCTTCGACACGCCCATTTCTTGGTCCAGACGTTTCTGCTCTTATCTTATTGGTGGGCACCCTGAATATCGGGGCGCTTTGGTATAACTATACTATGTTAATAATTACCTAATTAACTGGACTTACATTTATACAAATAATTCTGTGACTAACTGAACTTACAAATAACCCTAGCCTTCCTCTAGTGACTCCGTGTAGCAATACAGGGCGGATTAGTCAATCTCATTTAATCTATTCTTATAGCTTGGAAAATCCGCCTAAAAACCAGATATTTGATATATCTTTCTTTTCCAATTTATTATCAATTTAACAACTTATTCATGGAATTCCTACGTTCTTTGGAATGCATTTCTCGCGCTATTTGAAATATCGTTTTTTCTCTTTATACCAGATACTGAACACATGGCCCCGACAGTCTAAGTGAACTTGTTCAAAAATACTGTTAAATTTCATGAAGCCTTCTCCGGAAGGACGGTCTTGTGGCGACGCTAAACCTACTTGAAAACCCATAACTATTCGATAAATTAGTGTTGACTGAAACATTTTACTTTTTGGCCCATCCGTGCCGAGAACTAATAAATAAATTACCACGCGTCCCGGCTTTTGGTACAGATCTTATAGCAAGGAATATAGGAATATTCCATATTTGAAATATTACCTGTCTTTATAAAATTATTTACTCAAAAAAATTATACATAAGATGTTTCAAATAAACCTTTATTTCAAAAATTGAGAACATTGTAGATGACGCAAACTTTTAAAACTTATTGCAAGACCACAAACACGCATATAACGCACCCAGATATGATCATTCGAATTTAATAAGACAAAAAAAAGGAGTCTCTAACATCATGGTGATATCCAGGAGGTTGGCGACGTGTCGAAGTTGGCGCAGAGTTTCCAACGTATCCGAGACCTGGTGAGGAAGCGTCGGATGGCCGAACAAAGGCAGAACGAGAACAATTCGCGCCTGGAGCAGATAGTGAGGGAAGTTATGCAGCGACACGCCGAAGAAGAGGCGCTAAAAGCAGGTAAAGACACATTATTATTAGTTTTATACACAATTTTTTAATTCGTAACACCTTAGGAGAATTATCAACGAAATCAATGGTGGGCTTTCCAAGGGACAAGCGTAGTTACCAGGAGGCTATGAACAGGCCACTTTCTATTATAAGTTACGAACCTCCAGAGTACCAGGTACACAAAACCAGACAAACAGGCAAACCAATGTTTTAATGATTTGTTAACATTCCAGGAGAAAATTCCAGAAAGGAGTTCGAAAAACTACACAATATTATACAATGGTTCGCAGGATAGCGACACCAGTGAAAAAAAGAAGTGCGGTTCCAAATTACTGCATAACATGTCTTCAGGAGTAGAAACCACTACTAGTAGTAGAGGTAAGTCATCAATAGCAACGATTGACTGGAGGAAGAAAATAATTATTGTATTTTAACAGTATTAGAATAAACTTATAAATTCCCAAAGCAGTACAATTCACTCCACACCAGTCTCATGTTGGGAATCTAACCCTGTTAAAATCGAGGCTGAAGTGCCATCTTTTTCCCCTTCGAATATATTCTTTTATCAATTTGGCACTTTGCACTAGGGGCTTCTCCTATACTTGATGACCTATACCTTTTCCTTAAGAATCTCTTTAACTGTACAAATAATATACTTTAGACGAAAATACTGATACCGTGGACCCAAAAAGCAATAAACGATGTACTTCCACGGACTCGGATCCTAAGGAAGAAACCGTTCAAGAAAGGAAAAACTGTGATAAAACCAATGAACCAGGAGAAGGAGAGAAGCCCTGGCAGACGTTGGTTTCTTACGTAGATGAATTGACGGTGGGTGGTAGGAGGAACTCCAAGGGACATTTCATAGATGGGATGGGCAGCTTTCCAGGGTTCGGCAAGAAGAAACCTCCCAGGGTTGCCCCCGACTGCTTCCCAGCAAATTTTTATCAACGGTAAGACTAGAAATGTATGATTCCATCTTCCTCTCCATGCCAATTTCAAAACTTTATTCAATTAACGTTGGTTTCTCTTCTTAGGTGTGCCTGTTTGAATAAATGTACAAAAACCAAAGTAGGTAAAAAATGGTTGCAGTTAAGAAAAGTAGTATTAGAAGTTGTTGACACGTCAGCCTTCGAGTGGTTCATATTAGTGTTAATTTTCGCTTCAAGTGTCACGCTCTGCTTCGAAGATATCCATCTGGACGAGAATCCAGAACTGAAGAAAGTTCTGTACTGGACGAACTTGGCGTTCTCTGTCATATTTATAGTGGAAATGTTTCTCAAGTGGCTCGCTTTGGGTTTCCACAAATATTTTACCAGTTTTTGGACGCTACTGGACTTTTTAATTGTTTTTGTAAGTATAAAAACATTTCCATCATCGTAATGCACACCACTAATAATAAAATGTTAATAGAAATGGCAGAACTAGACTAAAGGTCTGTTGTGTTAATTTTAGGTATCCCTGTTCAGTTTGTTGATAGAAGAAAACGAAAATTTAAGAGTTCTCCGCTCTTTGCGGACCCTAAGGGCCCTCCGCCCTCTCAGAGCGATAAGCAGGTGGCAAGGCATGAGAATCGTAGTCAACGCCCTGATGTACGCCATACCCAGCATCTTCAACGTGCTGCTGGTGTGTCTAGTGTTCTGGTTGATTTTTTCCATCATGGGCGTGCAGTTTTTTAGCGGGAAGTTCTATAAATGCATAGACGAAGAAGGAGAGCGTTTGGAGACGAGTGTAAGCTTGTTTTTCCATCTTCTTGCTTCCATCGTTATTCCTCTGTATTTCTTCCAGGACGTGCAAGATAAGTGGGACTGTATAAGGATGAACTACACCTGGATCAATTCGAAAATATCGTTTGATCACGTAGGCATAGCCTACCTAGCATTGTTCCAAGTTGTAAGTAACCACGTGTTCAAATTAAAAAATGGTAAAGCATATCCGTTGTTCTAGGCTACTTTCGAGGGCTGGATGGAAGTCATGGCGGACGCGGTAGATGCCAGAGGAGTGGACTTGCAACCTCAAAGAGAAGCAAACCTTTACGCTTACATTTATTTCGTAATTTTCATAGTGTGCGGTTCTTTTTTTACTCTGAATTTGTTCATTGGAGTTATTATAGACAATTTCAATATGCTCAAGAAGAAGGTAAGCTCCTAGTTCGATCTCTAATGAAATATACTCACTTATTTTCCTTTGTAGTACGAAGGTGGTGTATTAGAAATGTTCCTCACCGAAAGCCAAAAGCACTACTACACGGCGATGAAGAAACTGGGGAGGAAAAAGCCTCAAAAAGTGATAAAAAGGCCGATGAATGCGTTCCTAGCGATGTTCTACGACTTGTCCAATTCCCGTCGCTTTGAAATAGCAATCTTCGTGCTGATCTTCCTCAACATGTTAACGATGGGTATCGAGCACTACGGCCAACCCCACGCCGTATTCTTCATTTTAGAAGTGAGCAACGCATTTTTTACAACGGTTTTTGGTCTAGGTATGCGCGATATACTAATTGTGGTTTGGTCTTGTAACTTTTTTTCAATTTTTAGAAGCAATAGTGAAGATAATAGGACTTAGGTACCACTATTTCACGGTACCGTGGAACGTGTTTGATTTTTTATTGGTCCTTGCCTCCATTCTCGGCATCCTCATGGAGGACATAATGATCGACTTTCCCGTATCGCCGACGCTTTTGCGGGTCGTCAGGGTATTCAGGATAGGGCGCATATTGAGGCTTATCAAGGCAAGAAACACTTCCCACAGTTCACTTCAAGATAACAATGAGTTTTGTTGTACAGGCGGCGAAAGGCATCAGAAAGCTCCTCTTCGCCCTGGTGGTGTCTCTACCCGCCTTGTTCAACATCGGAGCCCTCCTGGCACTGATCACCTTCATCTACGCCATCATAGGGATGTTCCTCTTCGGCCACGTGCGCCAGCAGGGGGCGCTCGACGATATGGTCAACTTCGAGACCTTCGGCAGGTCAATGCACCTCCTCTTTCGCCTGATCACCTCCGCGGGGTGGAACGACGTGCTGGAGTCGCTCATGATCGAGTACCCCGATTGCGACCCGCACTACAAGAACCAGAGCAACGGTGACTGCGGATACCCCTTGCTGGCGATAATCTACTTCACCAGCTTCATCATTATCAACTACATGATTGTGATCAACATGTACATCGCCATCATCCTCGAGAACTTCAACCAGGCCCACCAAGAAGAGGAGATCGGCATCGTGGAGGATGACCTGGAGATGTTTTACATTAGGTGGAGCAAGTAAGTAATTGTATCTCTACACAACAGGTAGAAAGCAAAACACGCCCGTTGTTTTTTCTGTAGATATGACCCCCACGCAACGCAGTTCATCCGCTTCTCTCAACTATCAGACTTTATAGCGTCACTAGATCCTCCCCTGGGTATATCCAAGCCGAACACGGTGGCCTTAGTAAGTTTCAATTTACCCATAGCCAGGGGTAATAAAATCCATTGCCTCGACATTCTCCACTCCCTGGTGAAGCACGTCCTTGGGCATGTCGAAGAGACGGAAAATTTCAGACAGGTACGTGTAGATCCTCGTCGGAAGACGTCCACTTTTAACTGTCCTTCTTTTAGTTGCAAGAGCAGATGAGCATCAAGTTCAAGAAACAATTTCCGACGAGGAAAGAGCTCGAGATCGTTTCGTCTACAAGGATATGGAAGAGGCAGGATAAGGCCGCTAGGCTTATTCAGAGGACCTACAGGGATTACGTTAGGTAAGAGGAATTAAACACACATTTGAGACATTTTATTACTTTTTCCTTTCTAAGTAAGATTATGGTATTCTGTCATTTTATTTTCTGACCATGGTTCGTACCATTCGAGTGCGAGATCTGTTTGCGTGGTAGCAACGACTGACCCCATGCAATATTTCAGGCGTAAGAGAGAAAAAGAGCGCGAGGCCGAGGAAATCGACGAAACGACCCAGACGTCCTCGCCAGGGGGAGGCTGGCAGGGGCGACTGTCGGCCTTCCTGCATGTACATCGAGGGAGTCGCGCCTCTTCTCGCAAGTCCTCTAGGGCGTCCGACGCGAGCGACCTCAGCGAACTAGGCGGCCCCTGGCTGAATCTGCCGCTGTTGTTGCTCTCCAGCGCCACTAACATGTCCCCAGAGGAGTTGGATTTGACGCGCGACGCCGCCGATGTCAGCATCAAGGTCAGCGAGGCCACTCCTGAGTCCGGTAAGTGCGGTTGTGGTCGATATCGATGCTCACTGTAAGCGAATGTCTAGTCGGGCACCCGTCTTATCCTTATTTTGTTTGTATACAGGACGTTTCTGAAAAAAATTATCATTTTCGTATCCTCTATCAGCCTTTTCAAGCAACGCACTTACCTTAGAAACACCCTGTATATTAATTCCAACTACATATTATTTCCGCTTAATTTCACTATGCTTCCGATCATCAAGGGGCTAGCAGTAACGTCTCTGGATGTCACCTTGGTAGATTATGTTTAACCTGTCAAACGACACAAATCTCGTGAATTCGGAACATCTCTTAAACTTTTCTATAATAGAATAGGAGAATACAACTCTATGTACAATATCTATAAATAATAACTGAAATTTTACCCGGGTTAAACACATTGAAGACATTTTTAAGTTTCATTACCACAAACGGTTAATAGGTTCCATAGATATCTAGGTTAGATAGAGTAAATGTTCACATAAAAATAACGAGCGTTCAAATAAAAACGTGATCGAAGTTGGCTCTGACACATTGGACGTAGGGAGTAGCTTATAGCGACCAACTTAACCTCATTTCTCAACGAGCTGTATAGCAGCTGTCAGTTATTTTAAAGAATAATCGTGATAACAATAACAAACAATTAAAGGAGCTGCGGAAAGTGTCCCCCTCCTTGTTATAACAATAAATTAAAGCAGCTGCTGAAAGTGTGCCCCTCCTTGTTCCAAGCACTTTTCACACCTGTTCCTCAAAGAATTAAAGACATTTTCTAAGATGCTCGGGGTATCGTTAATTTCACGAATATTGTCTATAAGTCGAGCCTGCAGATGGTTTAAATCAGGAGTAGGCAGTTCAAAAATGGTGTTTTTAAGGTAAGGCCACAAAAAGAAATCACACGGCGTAATATCACATGACCTCGGTGGAAATTCATGTTCAGCATTGAGACTTATTAGTCGATTTTGGAAAACTTCCCTCAACATATGTCCTTGTGCCATCTTGTTGAAAGTAAAAGTTTGTAATTTCGTTTTCTTCCAGCTGGTTAACAAAAGGAGCGATAATTTCTTCTCTATACCTTTGCGCAGTAAGAGTACCATTAAAAAAAATAGGTCCATAAATCCTCCTTCGATTGAGAGCACACCAAATTCCAATTTTTTGAGCGTGTAGAGGGCCCTCGACAAAAAAGTTATTTGTTTTTTCAGAAGACCACATTCTCATATTCTGTGAATTTACGTAACCACGTAAATGAAACCAGGCTTCATCAGAAAAAAAGGTGATATTATGAAGTTCACCGTAGTTGTTTAAAAACCATTCACAAAATACAGCCCGTCGCGGAAAATCAACTTCATGAAGTTCTTGCTGACAAGTTAAACGATAGGAGAACAAACGCAAATCTTTTTTTAACACTGTGTGGCAGGTACCGACTGATACTCCCACCATTTGTGATAAAACACGTACAGAATAAGTTCTTGGCGCATTTTCCATTATTTGTTGGACATTTTCTTTCAATTCTTCAGTCCACTTTTTAGGTCGTCCGCTTTCTTCTTTTCTTGTTACACTGCCCGTTTCACGAAAAACATTAACACAACGCTGAACTGCACTTTGAAACATTTTGTACTCAACAACGCCGGGAAATTGATTTTGAAATTCTATGAAACATTCCTCAATAGAATACTTCCATATTCCATCAATCTTGCGTCCATTTCTAAGTAGGACTCTATGATAAACACTTTTTGTTCTTGAGAAAACACCATTTTAAACGCTTTTTAAAACGAAAATATTCAAATTGATAGCGGCGATATAGCGCTTTGACAGAATGACGTTTAAGTTCATTTGCTATACGCTACGCCCTACGTCCAAATTTTCAGAACCAACTTGACCACGTTTTTATTTGAACGCTCGTTATGTTAGACTTGTGGTTGTAGTTTATACTTTTGAATGAAAAAGGATCTTGAGTCGAACATTTCTTCCCGTACACAGAAAAACTATTAATTGCGTCACTATTTTCACAAAAATAAAATACTCGACAATTTGGGCACCACACACAAAAGGAAATTGGTAACATTCATCTCAATTTTAAAGACAACATCATGATAAGATTTTCTGCGACTATGTCTGTTGTTTGCATATTTAAACACAAAGTTGTTTGACTACTGATATGACGTCACTGCTAGTGTCCTATTAGTTGTTAGCAAGCCTGTATTAAGTCAACATGAGGCTGTTTCAATCCAGTTGTGATTTCCTGTCCCCATTTTCACTTGTTAAAAATTATTCCCAGGACAATTAATTGAATTTTCCTGGGTATATTTCTTAACAATACGTCAATATGTAAAGATACCCATTCAATCCTGGAAGTTGACTTTTGCGCCTAAAAATTAAGAAATAAATATAAATAATCACAGTAGATCAGAAATTAGGTTCAAATTAAATTCACAATTCCTCAAATCTTCACTAACAGAATAGTAGACTACACCCTCACAAGCTTAGCAACACTGGCTTTCGTCGAAGGGAATGGAAATATGAATACATACCTGTTTGGTATTCGAAGAAGTTCTAATAATTATTTCGTATATAAGCATTGTATGAGAAAAATTATCCTCCGAATATCAACAATCGCCGGTGAAGAAAATCCAAAAATTCTTCTTTAGTAAAAGTCCTTAATAAAAATAATACAGGAACTTCACCCACAACCCAAAAGGCAACGCTTAACAACACAAAAAAGCACCATTGGTAATGTAAAATTAAAATGTAATTGGTAGAAATTGTTTTAGATGGACTTTTTGAATATCCATGGCCAACTTAAATTAATTTTTAATCTTACGATAAATACATTCTATTTGGAAAAATTGAAGGTGAGCCAAGAAAGATTACGAATTAAAAGTCACTAATTTGAAACAGCATTGTGTTTTTAGAATCTATATTTTTTAAACTGTTATTTTGCACCTTTTATTACTTCAATTTTTCTTTAAAGCACAACTATTTTTGTATCTTTCACTTACAAGCTAGTTTCTTATTTGTAAGATAAAATTAGCTGCCCATACCGATCTTTCAACTATTCTCGAGCCCCATGTAATCGCGAATGTTTGGCAACCAAACTCACACTAGTGGCAATGATTAACACAAAATTCCCTAGAAAGTCATTTTGCTTTACTTAAAAGCAAATAACAGTCAAATTAAGTGCAATTCCAGAACTGTTGAAAGCTCTGCTTAATAAATCAATAAATTAAGTATGTAAGTATATATTTGAGACTTAAAATACGGACTATTCGAAAATAAAAAATATGTATGACGGATATTTTTTTTGTAATTATTTACTATAGCGTAAAATTTCGCCTAGTTGCAAGACTGCTGAATATGAATCAGAAATTAGTTTTGAGCGGTTACGGAGATAATTTGTAAATTTTAATGTGAACATTTCTCCCAACATTCAATTCTCGCTGTTCACAAAACTGTACAGTCTATTCTTTAAAATGGCTGTTTAAATATGATATATACAAATAAATGCCGTTTTTTATTATTTTAACATTAGTGTGCTCTATAAATCGACGGATTTTACAATTTAACTACGTCATTTAAACGATACAGTGTCGTAACAATGATACCGAAAAATAGGTTCGGCTGTACATAAATAACTTCGATAACATCGAAAATAGGGAGCTAGACAAAATTTCGCGAGGCTTTGAAAGTTTTACGGCACAATACTAAATAATTATCATTTGTTTTATGAAGAAGTCCGAGATATAATTGGTCTATGAGGAGATTTTCAATTGTGACAAGACAGAAACTGTCCCCAGGTACCACCCCGGTAGCCGCAACGCCCCTAACGCAGCCTCGCCGGCGAAGCATCTACAACTTCCCCTTCTTCCTGCGTCACCAGGACGCGGTGGAAACCCCGGACGAAAGAACGTCGCCAGTTCCCGCCAGGAAAGAGCTGAAACCGAGCGGGACTTCCCAGAGCCTACACCCCGCCATGGCCGAGGACCCCAAACCGAAGCGAGGCAGCATCATCCGCAGGAAACGGGTGGGGTCCGTCAAAGCCAGGCCCACCTCCGTGGCGACGGGCTCTGGCTGTCAAAGGACTCAATCAGAGAAGTACAGCAGCTCCGACGTAAGTATACTAGTGACCGAGGCGTCACCAGAAAGTGCCGTGGTGAGACCCCCGTTGCACAGACAGAACAGTGAGGCGACGGTGGTGCAGGTTCTAGTACACAGGGAGAGCGAGGAGTACAACACCGAGGAAGAAAGTCCTCCCGCGGTAACTCAGAGTGCGCCCATCTCGAATGATAACGTTCCGACTGATGTAGTTTTAGACCTAAGCAGTACCAACGCGACCAGCTGATCTTAGCTGAACGATTTTTAGTGTAATTAGACTATAAGGGAACAGAGCATATTGTATTACTACTGTAGGTACAACGTTATCCGTACGGTGACAATCATTGTAGGTAAATGTGATTTCCTCAAAGCAGCACACTCAAGGTGTTATGGAAATGTAGATTTTCCTCCCTTATTTGATTTTTCTTGAAATGAACAACAATAAATTAGACAAATTTGTATTTACAACACCATTGTTCAATAACATCGAACGCACTATTCACAGTATAATACAAATCTACTTCTAGGGTTGCCAACTGTTTTGAATTTCGGTGGACGTCCAGCATTTGAATTAATTTTTCATTAACTTTCATTAACTGTCCTCTCTTTCAGTTATATTACGTTCGTTAGCATAGTTCTACTTGGAACATCGTTTCTTTAAAAAATACAACTTTATTCTTACATACAACCGGTCTTCTCGCATCTATCCAACATAACCTCTAAACTGAATCTCTCAAGAACACCAAACAAACACTCACAAAACATACACTGATCCCCAGATCTCCTCTTCTTCTTCTACGATGAACTACGTAAATTCGCGTGGAATTTAAACTTTGAAACAGGTTACATTAGTTATATTATGTATATTTTTATATTTACATTTTTAGTTGATTTAACTTGATTGATTTTTATTCTATATTTGTATTGTTTACAAGGAAAAAAACGTCTTTTTCCTTTGAAATAAGGATATAAAAGTTGGCAACCTTATCTACTTCCTTAAAACTTGGCGCTGATTGTTACAATTTTTGGGTGGATCGAGGTATAAATATAAATTGGTTGCGTAACTTCATTATAAAAAATAAAATATTCAATAAACCTGACAGTAATATTCGCTATTCCAAAGTTTTTGGTTCTCTTATTTTTGATTTCCTCTCATTAAAATTTTTTAACTTTTAAATTTTTTAGTATATAACAATTCTAAATCAATCGGGACCATAGTAGGCAAGCCCCCAGTCATTACCAAGTCATATCTAAAATGTTACGGGTCCAAGATTGCAGCCGCTGATAATTTATGTACAAAACAAACACCTTGAATGTGACTTGTACTAAAAAGGGATTGATTTTTCATCAGTGACAAGTGCCTATATGTTGAAAATGGTCTATATATGTCTAATACCAATCCTATACTTGTAACAAATTTACAAAATATCAGCTTTTCGCTTGCTAGGACTTAATGCTCAGCTTAGATTTTCAAAAAAACTTTGAATACCTAGAAAGGATAGTTTAAATATAATAATACATGAATATGTAAATTAGGTGCTTAAAATTTCATCCATGAAGACATTTTGAAAGACCACTCCTTTAAACATATCTGGGCAAATTATTATTATTTTGATTTAATTCAATGTAACATGAATTGGAAAATCAAGAATTTATATTCAAATTAAATTTTAAACACTGCGTCTTAAAAAAATGTTCCAAAGCGAAAACAAATTTTAAAACAAAATGAATAAATCGTTATACAGTATGCTCTTTTAGAAAACATTTAATTTTGTTAATGTCGGACTGTAATTTTCAGGTAATATTTTTGCTTCATATACCTAGCCGGATAGTCCTAGTCTTGTAAGTAAAAAGTCTCGATTCCAAACTTTAATCCAAAATGAGCTTAGGTTATTAAAACTTTTTACTTACGAGAATTTGTAAATAGGAAGCGAAACTGTTGCCCATGAAAATGCTCGTCGTTTTCGTTTAATTTGTACAAAGCTGTAGGTTAAATTCTAAAAAGAATATGAGAATGCTGTACGCATTTGGTTGTAAATAAATATTTATATTGAAGTTATAAAGTTATATACATCTAGTTAAAGTTGAGATATGATTTTTTTATTATATTGTTAAAAATATCAATAGATATAATATACAGGTTTAAGGTCAATTATTATAAAATTCATAACATTGTTAATTTCTATAAATTATAAAATAAATTGTACAATCATAAAAAATATTAGGGTTAGATACTTCTAATAATAATCACCTAATAAATAGTATATTAAAATTTAATCGGCTTTTGTTTTCTCGAGATTCAATTCACAACATTCTACGATTAAAATTATGACGAACTCTTGCAAAAATGTTTCTGGTGTTCTTTACTTCCTCACCTGCTACAAAAATTCTTCGACGAAGCATTTCCATACTATCAATAAGATTGGAATAAACAATATTTTTTAGATGACCCAATAAAAAGTAGTCAATGGGTGCGAGGTCCGGTAATCGCACAGGCCATTTGACGGGTGCATCATTCCCTTGACCTATCCAACTCCCATGAAAATTTAAATTTGGTCATTGCCTAACAGCTAATGTGTTATGAGCAAGACCTCCATTGTGAGCATACCACAAGTTTTCACGGACAGCTAGTGGCACCTCATTAAGCAATATTGGGAGTTGCTCATTTAAAAATCTGATATTCCGCTGCACCGAGACACTGAGGAAGAATAAATGGACCAATAAGATAAACTCCTATAGTTCGTGCCCATACTAAATCCGAAATACTAGTTTCTAAAATGAAAAATAACTCCCCAACGGTTGACTTTAGCCGTTTTCAATAAGTAGGTATACCTTTTTTGTTCAAAATGTCCAATATTTCATATTTTGTTACTAAAAGCTGTATACGAGGGCTGACAAAAAAGTTAATACATATTTAATGCATAACACTGACTGCAGAGAGTAAAAAAAAAGAAAGAAAAAATCTCTCCCACTAAAACTTTAGAAAATATTAAGGAAAAAACATTTTTTATTTTTCACTTTGACACCCTGTATCTTTATTATGTGGTTCCCACGGTTGACGTTCAGTCGCACCTACGGTAGATCACACGGGTGTCGGTTTTACGCGGCTTCCTGGACCCTAGCTGGATTCCATGTCTTTGGTTTCCAGCAACTTTTTCACCAACATGGAATAACCAGTTAAACGCCATACAGGGTGTGGCTAGGTCCGAAATTTGTTGTATTCGAGCATTTTTGAATTTCAGAAATTCGAACCTAATTTCGTATCGCATTGAGCTGCATCGAGGTGATTTGAGGTGCATAGAACGGTTTTTGGGTGGGACATTGTGAAAATTAGAAACATCGAAACACATTTATTTAAATTTCATTAAGCTATATAAATTTATTATTTTGTATCAATGGAATATTACCGAAATTACCCCGAGTTTAGACTTCATCTAATATCAGAATTTCTTGGGCCTTTCTATTCGAGAAATAATAAAACTTCATGTCAACAATAATTGTATTTATTTGGTTTGGAATAGCTAATAGGAAATACACAATACTATCACAGTTAAAATGTTCATATAATAGTAAAATAACTTCTATTGTCTGGTTACCATACAAACTACGTTTGTTCAATTGTAATTGTATATAAACATTGGCATTAGACTGACTAGAAGTTAAATATAATTCACAGTGATTAATATAAATATATATGTAATATATAAAATTTACTAATTTGTTCAATATCACAATTCCAAATACACATCAAAGTATTGATCTATAATATAGTACGATAATATTTTTGAAACGGATAACAACTTTTTGATAAAGCACAATGCATTGCATTAAAAATATACTGAGCCAAGCTCAATCTTAGAATAAAAAATGCCAAGTAAATGTTAATACTTGAAGACGGAGAACAATATTAAAGACAAAAAATTTAAAACTTCTACTCCCAACAATTCTGAAAAATTGACAATTTATATTTTTCGTGAAAATATAAAATTTAAAAAAAAATTACAAATAAACAGTCTAATGATTGTTAATATTATAACAGTCTGATATTTTGCCTTGAATATGCTAATATCACAAGAATACATTTTGAAATATACTATTGATCTCTATAAAACGAACACAATTAGACAGGGTGTTTCAGAAAGACCTCCCATAAATACAGGGGGTGATAGTACAACATAAAATAAGAAATAGTAATTAGTAATAATTAGTCATTACTACCTACAGTCACTAACAATCACTAAAATTTTGATATAAAGTTAATTAGAGTTTAAAATATTATTAAAAATGTATGCGCTATTTATGAGACATCCATCAATAAGTTTTGACATAAGCCTACTTTGAGAAAAGTCACTTAATTTTATAAATCGTAATATTATAAGAGTTTAATAAAAAGCATTTTTTCTCGAAAACCGTCCACATTAGGAAGTTCTGACAAGAGTACATTATTATTAGAAAATAAAATTGTGCATTAGAAATTGGAGCCCGAATGGAAAAAAATCTAACCTTGAAAAAATTTGAACTTAAATTGTAATAGGAATGTAGCATAACTAGCGGCCTCTATGAAATATCCAAAAAATAATTAGACCAGCGTATTTGGCATCATTAAAAACCCTGGAATACCAATTTTCATAAAAAATATTTCGCACCGTTTGCAAATTTTTGTAATAATTCTATTTAAAAAACGTTATTTTATCGCTCCATATCTCGAAAACAAGAGAAGATAGATATATAGTTCATAAGACAAATTTTTTTTTTTTTGTCGTACTATCACCCCGCGTATTTATGGGAGGTGTTTCTGAAACACCCTGTATAGTGCGAACCTTGCAGATTCGACGAACACGAAAACGGAATACATTAAACAAATAAAGAGATACATTAAAAAAAAAAGAAGCATAACTATTTATTCACTGGTATCTATTGTATTGTTATAACGTCATATTCTTTGAGAATCCCTGAGCATATTACATTTCCTGGCACAGATTTAATACAAAAAAAACGGGTATCTGACGATTTCTTCACTCGACAAAATAACTAGTAATAGTAGTCCAAATTTAAAAATAAACTCCTGGAGAAAATTAACACTCCACTAAAAAGTTGGTCTTTTTTTAATTATTAGTTCATTCCGTTTAGTAATGACGCAAAAGGTAGAAATCTCGATATTTTCCTCGGCATATACAAGTTTTTTTCCACAAAATTGGAAAAGTTGCATCAGTGACAATAGCAAATTTCTACTTGACCCAAAATCTGCAGCTCCACTTTTTCCGAATCTATCTCTGTCGTTCTGTTTTCCGATTTATATCATTATTTTTATTATTAATTGAAACACAATTAAATTTAAGCACACCACTTCACTATGTTTCAAATGGTTATAAAACACTCTGTAGAAAAACTCTGTGGAAATACTCTGGGAAAAAACTCCAGGGAAAAAGCCCGGGGGAAAACTCCGGAGAAAAAGTCTGGGGATACAGTCCGGGGAAAAACTCCTGAGAAAAAGTCCTGAGAAAGGTCCGGAGAAAAAGCCTGGGGGAAAACTCCGCGGATGAACTCCAGGGAAAAAGTCCGAGGGAAAAGTAAAAAATGGACCGTTTTTAGAATAAAATAGGATTTTTTTTCTTAGAATCACCAGAATGAGTTACAAGCAGTGACTTTATAATAAAATTTAGTAAATGTTTAATTTTAATCAGAAAAATTGTTAAATAAAATTTCATCAAAACTGAAATAAGAAATAATCGAAACATAAACAAAAACATCCTGCATATATGTTCTGAAAAATTCGTAAAATTCCTTAAAAACGGAGCCATAAAACTCCTAGGCTTATCCTGGAATTTTTTTGGAAGAAATTATGATTTTAAAACATTATAAAATAATTTATAGTCATATTAAAAAAAATTTTAAAAGACCCCGCACTATCCTTATGGAAAACCGGCCCCGGTCGAATGTTACGAAACTTTGCCGAATGACAGTCCTCAATGTGTCAATCAAAAAGGTCCATGGGACCTAGATCTGAAAAACTACTATTCTGAAGCTACAGCCTTCTGAAGTTATCAAATCCACGTGCTCGCTAACCATCAAGTCAAGTTTTTTGAAGGTGCTTCAGCTATTTTCTGAAGACTGGGGAATGCTGCAGGTATGCTGATAATGGATAAGTTTCAGCATGTGTAAAAAATAAAAGTACGTGTCGCTATCGGTGTTCTTCACTGATTTTCTGGTAAGTACCGATAAACAATTTTCTTGAAAAACAATATTTATATGTAAAAAATTCAGGAAATGACATATTTTTTATGTACAAAGTTTATTTTAATGAGAATCGAGTGTTTCAATTTACTTAAAATATAATGTAATTTAATGTTAAAAAATAATACTATTATGCATATTAGATCCAAAAACTCGATTCTCATTAAAATAAACTTTATACATGAAAAATGTCATTACCTGAATTTTTTTACATAAAAATATTGTTTTTTTAAGAAAATTGTTTATTTACCATTGTGAATAATTATTTCTGGAAAAAATGCAACAAACATTTTTTTTTACAGAATTAATAGTTTTACAAAATTAATAGTATAAGAAATTAATAATTAATTATTGCAAAATGGACCGTGCAGTTGTTATTATTTTCATGTGCTATCCGATTAAAAAAAAAAATGTTAAAATTGGTCCACAATTACCAGAGATATCGTAAAATTTTCGGGCAGTTAGGATTTGAAGTCTCGGAACGTTTCTGTTTTATTTTTCACATTCCAGGTGTAAAAATGTATTCGAGGACGTTTTTTAAAGGCTTAAAAATTACTATAAAATGCATTTTTTTTCGATATCTTTAACCGTTATTATGAAGTTTAAGGGTTGATTGATTTATTCCCGAAATTTCAAGTCTTAATGTTTATAAATGAACAAGTTATGAATTTAAAAAAAAAACGCTATCTCAGCTAAAAATGGCACTAGATCAATTTTTTTTTAAATTCGTGAAATATGACCAGGACTACGAATATCCAAGCGGCTTTAAAAAATATTAATTCTTCAGTTATTAACGAAAAACCTTATAAACAAATTACACTATTTGTTTATACGCCGTTTTGAGGAGGTTAGCCTATGAAATTACTAACGAGCGTTCAAATAAAAACGTGGTCGAAGTTGGCTCTGACACATTGGACGTAGGGAGTAGCTTATAGCGACCAACTTAACCTCATTTCTCAACGAGCTGTATAGCAGCTGTCAGTTTCATTAACGTTAATAACTATATAACTTTATTTTAAAGAATAATCGTGATAACAATAATAAACAATTAAAGGAGCTGCGGAAAGTGTCCCCCTCCTTGTTATAACGATAAATTAAAGCAGCTGCTGAAAGTGTCCCCCTCCTTGTTCCAAGCACTTTTCACACCTGTTCCTCAAAGAATTAAAGACATTTTCTAAGATGCTCGGGGTATCGTTAATTTCACGAATATTGTCTATAAGTCGAGCCTGCAGATGGTTTAAATCAGGAGTAGGCAGTTCAAAAATGGTGTTTTTAAGGTAAGGCCACAAAAAGAAATCACACGGCGTAATATCACATGACCTCGGTGGAAATTCATGTTCAGCATTGAGACTTATTAGTCGATTTTGGAAAACTTCCCTCAACATATGTCCTTGTGCCATCTTGTTGAAAGTAAAAGTTTGTAATTTCGTTTTCTTCCAGCTGGTTAACAAAAGGAGCGATAATTTCTTCTCTATACCTTTGCGCAGTAAGAGTACCATTAAAAAAAATAGGTCCATAAATCCTCCTTCGATTGAGAGCACACCAAATTCCAATTTTTTGAGCGTGTAGAGGGCCCTCGACAAAAAAGTTATTTGTTTTTTCAGAAGACCACATTCTCATATTCTGTGAATTTACGTAACCACGTAAATGAAACCAGGCTTCATCAGAAAAAAAGGTGATATTATGAAGTTCACCGTAGTTGTTTAAAAACCATTCACAAAATACAGCCCGTCGCGGAAAATCAACTTCATGAAGTTCTTGCTGACAAGTTAAACGATAGGAGAACAAACGCAAATCTTTTTTTAACACTGTGTGGCAGGTACCGACTGATACTCCCACCATTTGTGATAAAACACGTACAGAATAAGTTCTTGGCGCATTTTCCATTATTTGTTGGACATTTTCTTTCAATTCTTCAGTCCACTTTTTAGGTCGTCCGCTTTCTTCTTTTCTTGTTACACTGCCCGTTTCACGAAAAACATTAACACAACGCTGAACTGCACTTTGAAACATTTTGTACTCAACAACGCCGGGAAATTGATTTTGAAATTCTATGAAACATTCCTCAATAGAATACTTCCATATTCCATCAATCTTGCGTCCATTTCTAAGTAGGACTCTATGATAAACACTTTTTGTTCTTGAGAAAACACCATTTTAAACGTTTTTTAAAACGAAAATATTCAAATTGATAGCGGCGATATAGCGCTTTGACAGATGACGTTTAAGTTCATTTGCTATACGCTACGCCCTATGTCCAAATTTTCAGAAACAACTTGACCACATTTTTATTTGAACACTCGTTATTTCCAATTGCATATTTTGAAAATATAAGTCAAGACGAAACAAATGAGCCCTCATAAGGTCCTTTATTATAAAGCTAACAACTGCCTTTTTTGCAATTGAAAAAATGCTATTTCTAATAAGCAAATGCAAAAACTCGTAAACAAATAAATATTTTTTTACCAAATTTTCAGGGTTTCTTAAGCGTAACAAAATACAACTTTTACTGCAGTTTAGAGACGATTTATGCTCTTTTCTTCTATTTATAGCAAATTCAAATTGCGCTGGTTTTTTGCAATTGTTTAAACAAATTGTTAATGGATTTTATTAGCAGGCCTCAAATGAAGCGTTTTTTGAAAAGCTATAAGTATAAACAAAAGCAAAAACTCCTGTTGGAGAGCGCTTTTTAATACAGCTAAAAAAATTCATTTTTTGTAATTTTTACATTATAATCATTGTTTAAACAATGATCTTGTTTTAAACCCATACATTTTGGGAAATATTATTTCTTTTTGCCTAAACTAATGATTAAACCAAGTTTCAATCTGAAACAAATTTTTTTACACATTTTTTTTCATTTACTGGGCTAAAGGTTAATTTTATTCAGGAGTTTAGCTTTATCTGAAAATTATATAACACTTTTATACTTCCCGGCTCCCATTTTCTTCATTTAAAAAACTAAATATCACAATTTAAAGTATTTTTCTCAATTTAGTACCCGCATTATTAATTACATCAAATCATGGGATTTTTAAACTTTTATAAAATAAATAGTTAAAAAAATAGAAGACACTAAATTCATTATTTGGGGAGAAAAACGACTACAGCAACACATCCGGCAGGAAAGTATCCCGTTTCGGTAAGACTATAATAATGGCGACGGCCATGATCATGTGCCAGAGACTGTGCAGGTATTTATAGTTCCCTTCGGTTTGTAAGAAAGCGTACATGATCAGACCGACAACAACCAACGTGCTCCCGACTGGTATGTTAATGTAAATATATCTCTTATTCACGAACCTCTGCTTGATTTTCCTGTACTTCAAGTACCAGCTCACGCACCATATGGCGATACCCAGCGATACGGGAAACGCGAAAATCCACAGAGCCTGTCTGTCGATGCTCGTGCAAAAGGCTAGGATAATCGCCCCTAACATGTGACATATGGACGTGATCACGGGCGGGAGATCCGCTACCGCGATAATAGTGACCCAAATCGCCAGAAGGGCGCAAAAAAAGTCTGCGAACTGTAGTGCACTCCATCGTACCAAGCAGTAACTGATTATGTTTTCACCTGCATCGCACGCGTGGTAGAAAGTCGAGAAGAAACATATCGCGAAGTAAGTTATGGATTCTATGTAGTACTTCCTTCTGAAAGCGACGTACACTGCAGGTAAGAACATGAGATTGCTCAGCACTAGAAGAAGCAATTCCAGTACTACCATACAGTATGGGGTTGCCTGAGAACCATCGGTACAGGACCAGCCTAAAAAAAAAGAATATTAGTAAGTGTAAAGCGCTTTCATTAATATTATACAGGTTTTCTTGTGAAGATGTGCACTTTTCCGAAAAATAAGCCTCCAAATTTTCTTTTCATATTTAAAAAACAGCTTCTCAATATTTGTTATGGTAAAATTTAGTTTTTATCAGAACTATGATAATAATTATAAATTTCAATTATCAGTGTTATAGATATGGAAGGTCATCTTTGTTAAATTTCAGTTGGCCTATTTTTAAATATCTCTGTACTGTGTAAAAACAAGTTTGGAAAAAAAAATTATCAAGTAATAGTAGCTCCAGTATTACAAAAGAATTTTAATTAATAAGTTATTAATTAGGTATAAGGCAGTGGCAAATGAAATTAGAAATTAAGTTTAAAATAAGATAACAGTGAAGTTTTTTTAATAAAAAATAATGTTATATTTGCAATCCGCTGGCAGACACTAAGAGGATTTTTTGAAATTATAATCTGAGATTAGATCAGTTACAGCTCATGAAAATTAATATGGGATTAACACATTCAAGGGGATGATTTTTAGACCCACTTAGAGAACTTCTGTAAAAAAAAAATGGATCACTGTAGGCTGTTTTTGGATTTTAAATTATTTTTGTGTAGCAATTAAGGACATGTAAAATTTAACATATTAAAACTTTACTAAAAACCGTTTTCATATTCTTTTTTAAATAAATCAGTTTACTTTTCAAATGACGAAATCAGTGATTTTACTAATCGGATTTCACTTATTTATGCTGACAATGCTATGTTGTATCGACATATTTTCTTATGTTTAGTTCCGTGTATCTTTCATGTACATTTTCAAACCGAGGTTCGTATATATCTTTTTTATTTATTTTTACCAGAGAAATTTACCCTTAAAATTTGTGCACATCGTCCACCTTGTATACAGGGTGTCCGGTAAATATTTACTTAACTCTCTGTAGTGTATAGTGGAGATTAAAATAAGACTACTGCTCCCTATAACTTTTCTTCCTAACATTCCTCCTAAGAGAAATATCAGAGGTTCCTGGAGATTTACGTTTTGGGTTCCAACTACTTTAAGACTACCTTGTATGTTTTGATAAAATCTTGGTACGGTGTATTACAGAGAAGTGTCCATGGTTTAACATTAAAACCAGTCTTTTGCTATTACAAGAAATTCAGAAACAAAATAGCTTCAATACTATTTTTTCAAAATTTTGATAGATATTGAACTGAAAATATTAATTTTAGGTACTTTCAACATTTTTCTTCAGAAAAAGTAGTACTCATTTATTTCCAAAAAATTATTTTTCAGTGGAGTCATCCAAAAGGATTCACTTACTCAAAACCCGTAAATACTACAAAAGATTGTAATATTATGTAAATATTTACTTTTAACGATAGAAAAATTGCGGGAATTTATTATTATTATACAAACTTGAGTAATATTTGAATAATACTTCAGTAGTATTTGAGTATTAAACAATTATGTACGACGCATGCATGCGCCATCTTCCCCCTCTCTATAGTCTCTTTCTCTTGACTGAGGAGAATATTTTAATCTACAAATTTTAATCAGTAGTTTCCTCTTTGATTTTTAATTTTCAACAGGTTTCGCTTAGTTAATGACATATTCAAAATTTTTTGTACTCCGACAAAGCTAAATAAAGTAAATACATGGAGTAATTTGTAAACAAACTTAATTCGTTTGCTGTGTGTTTCAAAAACCGATTTATCTTGAAAACAGTTCATGTTATCGGAATAAATGAAATGTATCTTTTTTAAAAATGTTCCTACTACCTAAAATAGTTATTTTTGTATCTAGAACGCGAAAATAACTTTTGCTTGTTTAATTTATATTTGATGTCGTTTGACCTGTGTTTGAATCAGACGGTTTAGGCGCGGTGATTATCATAACGATAGCAACCTAATAAACAATAAATATTAGTTGTTTGAAAAAGTAGTGTCAGAATTACACATTGTAATTCATATTCTAAGAGTGTTTAATCCAAAATGAGCTCGAAAAGTGAAGACGAGCATTTACCAGGGGAAGTGTTCGAAGCGGTACAAAGTGCTACTTCACAATTAATCCCCAAAAAATCGGCGAGACAGCACACGATTGCCTACAATTTTAAAGGGTGGTGCAGCTCAAAGAAAATTTAAAAAGTGTCCAAAGCGGCATTACTGGCATATTTCGAACATAAAATTAATTAAATTAAACCTTTGACGATATGATCAGTATATTCCATATTAAAAAGTACAGTGAATCCAAAAAAAATGTAAATTTCCAAAACTAATGCCATATTTGAAAAGCAAATCTGTTGGATACCGTCCCAAAAAGTCCAGAATTTTAACGAAAGACGAAATTGAGAGATTTTTACAAGAACCACCAGATGATAAATTTCTTCTAGAAAAGGTAATTGAAATCAATATCAAACGATCGATTTATCTAATTTTGGACAACCTTTCAGGTCATTTTAATAATTGGTGTTTGTGGAGCGTTGAGAAGAGATGAGCTACTAAAATAATATTTTCAGTTCGATAGTTCGATATTTTTCAAAATTTTAAAGAGTGTTTATTCCAGTCCATTTCTGGTTACCTCGTTATATTAAAAAACTAGTTTTAACATAAATATTATACACTATTCCAAAATGGTATCAAAATATACAAGGTGGTTTTAAAATTAAAACCGTAAACTTAAATCTTTAGGAACCTCTTTGGAGATATATCTCTGTTGGAGGAGCAGCAGGAGAAAAATTTTAGAAGGTTCTCATAGTGTTTTGAGCTCGTCTACAAGCTCTCAAAAGATTAGCAAATACTTACCAGACACTCTCTAAAACTGCTTAAATTATAAGTCAAAGATCAACTAACCTCTATACCTGTTCGAACAGACACAAGTCGAGAACACAACCCCATCGGAGATCATAAACATACACCTCCCATTCGGCGAGCACTGCCCCAAAACGCAAGGTTTTGACCCGATATCAAAAATAACGCTACTGTTGCACGTAACGTTGCTCGTTTTGCAAGGCCCGTCGCAATCACAGCCCTCACAGTTCTCCGAGTCTAGGACGGTTCTTTTGCATTCCTCCAAACAAGAAGTGCAATTCTCATCGTTCATGCAGTCCAACTCGCACGAGAGCGAACATTCCTTGTACTGCCGCTGACAGTCATCCGAACAATTACACGGTTCGCATTTACCGCAGAACAACTTGAAAGAGGCGTACCAAGTCCCACTTTCAGGGAAAGGTATCAAGATGGACGAATTATCTACCGTTTTGTTTAATATTAACCGTGCTGGCCTCTCGACTCCATTTGACACACAGGAGCTAGGCCAAGTTGGTATTTCAATCGCCCCACGTCGTATACACGCTATTACGACGTGATCCTCGGGTTCGTCCTCGAAAACGACAATCCTCGAGTTCCTTCTAGATACTTTCGGCTTGAAAGCTATTATAAACTGAAGAGTTCCTCCTATGTCAGTACCCTCGCGAATATCGAATTTCAAAAGTGAAAAATGTTTATTGGTTATATTAACCGGTATTGCACGATTTGCGTCCATTTCTTTCACTAATTCGTAAGAAAATACGAAGCTTTCAGTACTCGCCTCCCTTAACAAATCGTATTGTATGTACGGAATAACATCGGTAATGTTGTTATTGTAAAAGGTCCTAAATATGGAATTATTACACACAGTATCGTTCTCGATCAAACCGAACGTTTCTGGTTCTTCTAATAAAACATTTGAAAGATATCGTAGACTGAATCTTAATTTAGAGGTTCCTTCCAGCACACTTTTAATAGATTCATTTCGAAATATAACTTCTATATAATGCCACGAATCGGGCTTCACAAAAAACTGAACGGATGCAGATGATACGTTGGGAAAAAATATCTCCTCTACCTGAAAAACTTGCTCTGAAGGGGGTCTATTTGCCTCTACTCGAATAACCAAATCGTCTGCATCGCCGGCAAAGGAAATTTCTTCTATTATAATCACACCTCGATCGTTCAGACTTGGTACAAAAAATTTGATATACCTGTTTTCGTTCGTGAAAGGTGTTAGCTCAATAACCTCATTTTCCGATACTATAATTGGCATCGCAGCCCTCTCTGTAGATAAAACGGCCTCCACACTGGCATAACAAGAAGGACTCAACCCTACAAAATATATTCATCATGTCACTTTCAGAATAAGCAGGATAAGTTATTAAACAATATGCAAATTTTCTACTCACCCTGTTGCGTTATTGCATTTTGTCTTGGATCCGTATAAGACAGAAATGTTGCAGCATAATACGATCCAGGTTTCGGTGAAGTAATGTTAATATAAACATCCGTTTTGTCCGTTTGAAATTCATAATTATATAATTTACTTCTAGTTATATTTTTGAAAGTTTTCGGAAATGGAGATCCATCGGGATTTATAACAGGAGGTCCGCCGTGTTTCATGAATAGTGAAACATTTCTTGTTGAACAAGCTTCAATACGGTAACGAAAGTAAATAAATACATTAAACGGATATAAAAAAAAGACTTACCAAAAACTGACATCCGTGTTTCATCTGCAGTAAACTTAAACGAAGCAAACAAAGTATCCTGAGGCACTTTAAAATGTATTATAACTATATTGTTGTAACCTTGATACCGTTCTAAGAAAGATGTTCGAGTCCTCAATATTATATTGAGATCACTAGAACTTAATATAACTGTGTTGAAGATTATTAATATTAAAAATTTGTATATCATTCTACAAAATCCTTCAAAGCACTTGAATAAAATAAAAATTAACTTCCTTTAATGTAAAAGGACTATAATAATTTACCCAAGAATTTCATATATAATCAAAATCATTTTTTAAAACTTCATATTCACTGTGGACAAATTAAGCATGTAGGTAGGTGCTGGTAATTGATTTTTAGTCACATTAAGTTAATTAAATAATACCATAAACAAGGATAATACTCGTGTCACAGATAAAAAGATTATCTCCATAGCTACACCCACTGTTACTTATAATTTAAAGCCGGGAAAAAACTGTTCATATAATTTGTCCTTGCCTTAATTTGTCATCACATTTCAAAGGAATTTTAACAGGAACAGGATTCAGTTGAATTAAATAATCGTATATATTCATTCAATCAACCGCTGAATCTAATTATGCAAAAATTTCTTATCATGAATAAAAGACCTAGATAATATACTGATACAATACATAATACATATACAAGATGTATATACAAGATACAAGTGAGGTAGGTTTAGTATCATTTATCTAGGGGTAGGTTAAGGAACCCGCACACTGCCACACAGATCAAAAAAAATCAGCAGCAGTAGTGACTACTGACTAGTGATTCCATTTCAAAATGATAGTTACGTTACAAATATTGGAAATTCCGTACTCTTAATCTACTGACTGGTAACTGATAACAATTTTAATACAAATGCGCTGTCGATAATATTTTGATGGGCACGTTTTTTTCCCAAATAAAAAGATCTAAACTCCGCCTTTAGATTAGAATTTAAATTGTCGTTCACATCCGTGCAAAAGGGGCGGAGTTTATTTCTATTCCTACAGCATACTGAGCATACTGCATACTAACTACTGGGGGCAACGGGCAACGTCCCAGTGGCCGAGAGTATAGCGGAGGTTTAGAGAGAGAGAGGGGTATAGGAGTGTATATGCTATCTCTCTAAAAACATGCAATCGCGTGCTGCTAGAGAGAGATAGCAAATCCCCCTCTATACCTCTTTCTCTAAACCTCCGCTACACTCTCAAGTAGTATATGCTCTAAGATCTATTCTATTTGGGAAAAAAATTTCTTATTATTGTAACTTTTCGAGGTTAATGTATATTCTTACTTTTCCACACTTAAAATAACCAAATAAAATGATCTTCGTTAACACATTCAATATGAAACAAAATCAGTCGCTGTTTTGTATACCATAATTTGAAATTCAAACATAACCGCACTGAATTAACCTCACACCCTAGATTAGCCTCACTAATATTCCCAATAATAGATGCTAGTTGCTACTCTCTTTACAATTTATGCTACGCTACAAACATATATTTTTATGTAGCTGTTACTAGATTATTTTCTTCATCGACACTAATTTTTATTTCTAGATTTACAAAACGTAAGAAAATCCATCTGCGATTATTACAATGACCACTTTAGGAAACATGTCTAGGCATATAGGCCCTTTTATAAAAAAAACAGAGTTCAGCTTTAAAAGTAAGTGAAATTGAGACACATCTACTGTGGTTCATTATATACATTTTAGGATTGGTCAGCAGCATATCGGAAGAGTCTAAACGACAGAATGATTTGTTCATTACCGAACAAAAACGGCAAAAAGAATTGGTTGGGCGCATAGAAAAAATCGAGATATCTTACGAAGGAGCTCCAGAAAATGTAACTTTAGTCATGAATAAAAATTTATCTACTCCGTATGACTGTGCAAAACGTTAGAATAGTTTATATTGTTTTACAATTATCTTTGTACAACCCTTCCTTTACAGATTTAGGCGACAATGTGCGGAATAAAGTGGTAGTTGCTCTATTAAATCATGAGACTTTATGGCATATGCATAAACCATTGCCTGGTCCTTGCAAATTGGAACTTCTACACTATCACTTGCCAAACCCAGCGTCTGTTAATAAAACATTTTGGAGAAGTTGTAATTTTATTCTAGGTGCTGTTATTTCAAATGCCTTCAAAGACGATGTTAGTCTGTATTTGCACAGTTTCCCCAGTCCTAACGGTAACACTGTTTCATATATGTAAATCGATAAACTAATTCTTCAATTTGCAGTAAAATCGGGTAGTTTTGTGTACGATGTACAATTGACTTTAGACAACTGGATACCAACCACGTCAGAACTAAAAGTATTATCAATTGAAATGATCAAATTTTGTCAGCAAGAACACCCAATTCACTGTCTAGACGTTGACAAAGATCTCGCTTTGGATATTTTCAGGAGTAATCCGCACAAAACAAAACAAATACCCGACATCGCCGCACATAATAGCGACAAGGTTACTCTTTTCAAAGCTGGTACACATGTGGATATATCGAGGGGACCCATGATCCCTAATACCAGTCATATGGGAAGAGTATCTATCGCTAACGTTATAAAATTAGATACCGATATTCCTGGAGGCCCGATTTATAGATTTCAAGGGGTGGCCCTGCCGAAAGTTATTACATTAAATCATTTTGCTTACAGTCTATTAGAAGATAGGGCGAGAACTTTGGTGAGTGAATTTATATTAATATGGGAGTGTACACAATTTTTTTAAATTGCCACTGAATATCATGTCACTGAAAAGTAAATTTGCTACTACTACTACTAATTTTACCGCATCTATCTGCTTCCGTCGTATGTTTGTTATTTGACTGTCACAATGAATTGGTTTATCCTATCAATATTCCCGTTCCCGTTATTTTATTCTTCATTGAACTATGTCTAATTTACAGTGCAAAGCAGAGATCTTGAAAACTATTATATACATGTATAGAAAACTTTCATGATATTTAAAAAAAGGTATTAAATATCATATCATTTGTTTGATACTACAATAAACAATTAGGTACTTCTCTTCAAGTAAAATCACAATCTGGCATCCATAGAAAAAAAAAAAGAGACAAACTGGGCCAATAAAAAGAACGCAATAAAATTACATCAAAGTACTCCAAGAATTATTTTAATTAGACTACAAAATGATGCTACAACTAAATTTTGAGTGTTGAGAATTTTTGTTTACTTTTATAAAATTCAAACGAAGAACATGTATTTTTTTTCAGTATATCTAATAGTTCCTGAAATCTCTGTAGTGATAATCAAAACTGATTTTCCTTGTATATAAATATGTGAGCTGTGAAGTTGAGACAAATAATTAATTTTTTTTGTAAGATTTTTAGAGAAAAGTTTACTTAATAATTTTTGCTTGACAGAATATTTTAGAAAATCCAATATACTAGTTAATTTTTAATTTAGAAAAAATGGTGTTATTATAATTGGCCAAAACTAAAATTAACATACATTTTTAACAAAATTTTTACTAAATTTCTTTTAAAAAACATTTTTGAATCTGTCTGAATTAGATTAACACCTTTAAAATACTGCAAAAAATGCACAAGTGAAGAATAAAATATATTTTATTTATTCTGATAAAAATAGACGGATTGAAAAATTTGACAGAAGGCCAATGGATAACAAAAAATAAGAACGATAAAATTGCTCCTAGAAAAGTGAAACAAAAACATAACATCCGATCGACTTTTTTTCACTCCAAATCCGTTTTGGACAAACACAAATTCTAATGGTTGGTATAAAAATGTTCTACTAGGAATTAATACTAAATCTACATGGACAAAAGAATCTGCAGCTAAAATTGGACTGGACAAATAATAAAATTACCAACCAATCAAACCGTGCCAGTACAGTTTCTCACTTAAACAAAGCAGGGATAAGTGACCAATAACTGATAAAGACCTACCTTCAAATTGACGCTGAACATCATGATTCATGAAACTTATTAGTAACTTACGAATCTCGGATAGAATAAGTGAAAAGGAATATTCAACATTCAACAGAAACTAGACAAGAAAATATTTAAATCAGTACACCAAATCAAACAATTTATAATAGCTGTGTATTTAATAATCATTTCTTCAAATAATTTGAATAAATAGAAATAATGGTTGTTATTCGTTCACATAAAATAAAGATAATTCATTTTTGTTGTTCATTCACATATTTGATTATTAATTTATCTTGCCAAAAGCTACACAAGCGGTTCGTTTCATGGATAAATTTCTTTTTAACTCAAAATTTTGTTAATCGGTAATTTTACTCGAAAAATTGGCAAAATCACTTGGCTTTTGAACTCGGGATTTTTTTCATGTCAGTTTTCTCGTGAAATTACTAATTGACAAAGTTATGTCATTTTCACCTAATCCAAAAATCACCGGGTATATCTAGATTGCCCTTATTTATTAATCGGACAAGCAGAAATTAGAGGAAAAAGGTTTTCTGAAATCATAATTAAAAATAAAAAAATTTATAGCCGCCTCTGTATCGTTTTTGAAATAATTATTCTTTGTTAAATATTTATGGGGAGATATCAACAAAAGATATAGCAAATACCAATGGCCATAGATATAGAGCCATTATCTTCACAAACTGGAAAAGTCTTACTGGGAGATCTGGAAATATATTTAAATGGTTATTTGGTTTTTCATTTGACCATAGTATTTTTTATTTTTTTTTAGAACTCTGGAAGGATACCTGGTACTCAAGGTATAGATAATGAAGATAACAGTTTCATAGCTCGTGTGACCAGCTAAAAATCAAATGGTTATGTTACGGATCTAGAAATGTATTATTTAGTATCAAAAATAAAGTTATTGTTTTAGTAATTTTTTATTTTCCCGGGCGTAATTTGACCATTTCACCCAGTATAGCCTCACTCAACTAGTTTCTGTCTCTAAAATTACTAATATATCTTACAATTGAAAAATATAAATAAAATTTATAAGGAATTTGTTTGGGACGCTCTGTAGATATACTGTATTTTGGGCTTGATTCAGGTAAAGACTTTTGCCTACACTACACCCCTAGCTATTACATAGGGGTGCAACCAGGTATTAAATGGAAAGAAGTTTTGATAAGAACGCCTGTTAATTTTATCAAAACTTACTGCCACAGGCCAAACCATTATCCAATATCAGCTGAGGAGGGTCAACAAAGGTTGTTTGGATTTCTAAAAGAGATAATACATGCTGGGTAAAATTTAAATTTATACTGTTGTCTAGTTGCAGTCAATTTAAGAAAGGCAGTAAATATTTTATCTGAACTGCAGTAAAAATGGGGGTAATTTTTGCCCTGCTGTTCTTCATAGGAGCTGTAACAACAGGTATGTAAGGTTTTTGTAATATGCATAAATGCTAGATGTGCATAAACTCTTCTTTGTTTAGCTCTAGGTAAGCCAAACGTAGATGCCCCTATTTGGAGCGAAACTTATGCAGTAAAAGGAATTTTACACATTCCCTACGCAGAAATTCACGAACCTTTCTACGCTTGGTAAGTTATATTATTTCATATAAAATAAAAAATGTACTGTAACGTTGTTATTGTAAATTTACTTCCATGTTTATAAAATATATGAAGTGATAACATACCGGGGTTATCCTTATTTAAACATTCATTTATGGAAATCTGAAACCAAGTTATTTACAAACAAAGTAATGTTTACATACTGTTGATAATTTGTATTTCATGAACAATATGCTTCTAAATTTCATATAAATTTATTCTTTCGATTTGCAATCCTTTTTTTACATTTAGGTATGATGCCCCCTCAAAGCAGTCTCGAATTGACTACTACGGAGACATGGTTAAGACATATCAGTTGGGCAGTTCAGGATACGGCACCAGCTTGAAAATAGCCCCTATTACAACAGAAACAGAAGAAAACGCAATCACTTGTCTGCAAGTGAACGGGACTGAAGAAAACAAAATAGTCCCGCAAACGATCCTGCCATCTTTGGTTGGTTTTGAATGTGCAGGTAAGTATTTTAGGAAAACAATATTCGCTCGATCCCGTCCACCATTAGCGCATTACCGTTCAAATCTCGCATTATCTCTTAAATGTATAACCTGCCACTTTTAACGATGTTGACCATTGGAAACAAAGTTCATTTGGAATTTAATAACGATTAAAAACATTCAAATTCACAGTTAGCTGTACTGTCTCTAAATGCGGAGCAACAACTGCCCCCTTCCTTTAGTCACCATCAAATATTTATTTCATTTTAAAAAAAGAATTATTAATTAACATTTGTTTTTGTTCATAAATTCTGTCCTGTAAATAGATTTGTTATTCTGATGAACAAATAAATTGTACTTGATTTGATTTAAGTAATTTTTTTCTTGGAACAGGTTCCGAAACGATTGATGGAGTACTGACAGAAAAATGGGCACTAACGCAAACTGTTGGACAAAAAGTGAACAAATACACAATGTGGATTTTCTACAAACCCGATCCCAACAACGAAAACATTAAATTAGCCGTACCAAAAAGGTTTGTACATAAAAAAAAACACAGATGCAACTAAAAACCTTCATTCGATTGACTTTTTAGATACGAAATGAGAGGATTCAACTCTCTGCTAGGCAGCCACTACGACCACTACTTCCTGGAATACGACTTTTACGACATTAATGAAATCCCAAAGGACACATTCGAAATTGACCCCAGTATGTACCAGTTTCATAGATTTTATTTATTTCCTCTACTTTTCGCCAATTAACATACAATTAGTGGTCGCATTTATGTTACTGAACGCTTTACCTTTTGCAGACATGACATGCAGCTCATTTCCGGGACCCGGAGACAAGCACATCTACACTTTCAACCCCATGGCGGAATTCATCCACCCCGTACAAACCGGACACGTCGACTTTGAATTTAACAAGTTCATGCACAAACACAGGAAGCAGTACGGCAACGAGAGAGAGTTAAACCTTCGCAAGGAAATCTTCAGACAGAATATCAGATTTATTCACGCCGTGAATCGTCAAAATAGAGGTCAGTTATTTTTTTCTCGGCAGGCGTGATTTACTACTTGCTTTTCTGTTTTTAAAGGTTATTCGTTGACTGTAAACCACCTAGCTGATAAGACCGAGTTGGAATTGAAGGCTTTAAGGGGGAAGACGTATTCCGGCGAATATAACGGCGGCCAACCATTCCCATACAAAAACATCGACGGAGATAGCTTACCAACTCAGTTTGACTGGAGAATATTCGGTGCTGTGACTCCCGTAAAAGGTATAAACAATTCTATAACTTTTTTCTTTCTTGTTGTAGGTCAGACATAACGACATAACCTACAAAATATGTGCATCTTAAATGACATTGCTACTCAATGCCTACTGGCACAGAATATTACTTTGTACCTACCACTTTGCCAGTAGGTACAAAGTAATAGTGTGTGTCAGTAGGCATTGAGTAACAATGACATTTAGAAATGATACATACTTTGTAGGTTATACATGTCGGTAAATTTTTTGTTGATCCTCTCATCTATGATATATTTACAAGTTTGAACCTGTCTATATTTGGTGATTCTGCTGATGAATGCTCTTAGCTGTTTAGTAGATATTATGGCAGTAATTCAATGCTAGACAGGGCTTCTAGCCCAGAGAGAAGTTGTTTCCCAGTTGTTAGTATAAAAATTTCCAAATGTTTATACTTCTGTTTAGATCAGTCTGTATGTGGCTCGTGCTGGTCTTTCGGTACGGTAGGAACCGTAGAAGGTGCATACTTTTTGAAAAATGGTGGAAATCTCGTCCGTCTTTCCCAACAAGCGCTAATCGATTGCTCATGGGGGTATGTTTAAATGAATTGACATTTAATCTTCACAATTTTTATCCCGTCGCATATTTCAGATACGGTAATAATGGATGTGACGGTGGAGAAGATTTCCGGGCTTACAAATGGATGCTTAAACATGGAGGAATTCCCACCGAGGAAGATTACGGCCCCTATTTAGGACAGGTAGTCGATTAATATAAAATACACTACACTAATATGATTGTACTTTTGTTTTCTTGTTTTAGGATGGATACTGTCATGCCGAAAAAGTTTCCAAAGTCGCCAAAATCACGGGCTGGGTCAACGTGACAGCTAACGACGAAAATGCTCTAAGACTGGCCATAGTTAAACATGGACCTATTAGCGTTGCCATCGACGCTTCTCATCGTACGTTCAGTTTCTATTCCAATGGGGTTTACTATGAACCGCAATGGTAAGAATTACCGTAAATGTTGTTGTTCTATATTTGAAAACTCTTTGTTTTAGTGGTAACAAAGAGGATCAGTTGGATCATGCCGTGTTAGCTGTAGGGTATGGTTCGATTAACGGAAAAGATTACTGGTTAATCAAAAATAGTTGGTCGAACTACTGGGGAAATGATGGATATGTCTTAATGGCTGCCAAAGACAACAACTGTGGTGTTATGACCACTCCAACTTATGTTACCATGTAATTGTTCTATTCCACATTTTTAGCACATATCGTAATCTAGTTATTAGTTCGAATATTGCAAATTTTAAAGCTCTCTAAAATTTTTGCTCAAGGCTGTTCGTTTATATTAGGCACAAAACGTAAATTTTAATAAAACATATGAAAATATAGTTGTTTTATTAAATTTAAGGATTACTATAGTACATACCTTCAAAACCACAACCTCTATGTATTAACACTGTCGAACTTTTAAAAACTATAAAATAGCAGTGTCGAAATGTTTATAATCACTAAATTGATCTCGTAGTTATAATTATTCTTATCCGTTTTAGTCACGCTGCAATTAAAAAAAAAAATATAATATTTTTGTACATATATTTGACAAGTGATTTTAAATGAATCATACCTTTCAAAATCGAGTAATTTTTTGATTGTCAACAATCTCAACTGTTTCTTCCATATCACGGGAAATTTAAATTTCGTTGATAACCTTAGAGTTTAGAGCATATACTACTTGGAGGAAGCACCGCGTGTTAAAAAGTCTAGACGCCGTAGAGAGAAAGAGCGATAGTTAGGGTACTCTCTCTCTCTTTCTTTAGCCAATCATGGGCATGCAAGAGAGAGAAAAATTGTATCCAATATTTCTCTTTCTCTCTCTGACAACAACAAAAGAACTTGATCTATTTTTTTTTCTTTTGATTACATTTAAAAATTTCACATGACCACTGCAATTTTTAATATAATATTTGCATCGAGAGCAGTTTGATTTAGTGAATTTTCTAGACGATGTTAATAATTAATTATTTGTATTCATTTGTATAACAATATTTTAACGTTCCCCTTTAGTACTGGCAACCCTGTTTATTTGTTGTTATAAATGTAACCTCAAAAATACAAATTTGTTTACAATTTACATTTCAAAAAAGGAAATGCACATAATTGTATTTTATATCTCTGCATTTATTTTAACGTATAACTTATCGTATAGCGACACAGTGTGTTACAAAGATGACGTTAAGTGCTCAGAAAAGGATCAAGCAAGGTAGGAATCCAGAAAGATTATTTTTTAATAAACATATATTTGTGTAGATATTTATTTTATGAAGTAAACGCTCCGGAAGGTTTCAATTTACGCAGAGATGTGTATATGCGTTTTGCCGTTCTGCTCCATCATATGCAAAAATCTAAAAATCCTTCCCTGAATAAATTTAAGTTGGTTCTGCCACCATGGTCTCATTTAGTACATTGGGAATACAGAGAATATCCTGAGAAAATTCCTTGGGGTTTATACTTTGATCTGGACAGTCTGAAAAGGTTTGCGCCAGTTGTAGAAATGCATGAATTTTTCAATGGTTAGTCTTAAAAAATTTAAATTCATATTGTAATAAAATAAATGGTTTCAATACGTTTAAGGATACAAGAATAAATACGTGAAAGTGGTCATAGATGAAGTGTACACTTTGCAGCACTTTGAGGATATGTTTGAGACGGGGAACTTTGAGGACAGGATGAAAATTGAGAAGTGCCAGAAAAGAAATGATGTTACATTTTTCTTTTACGATAACGTGACATCTAGTAATATTCAGTGTTTATCGTACCACGGCCCTGCAACAAAACTCGCAGATTTATTTTTAAATACTTCAGCTAGGTAAATATTACTAAGTAAATTATGTTGTCCTCACAACATTCATTGCAATCAAATTGTTTTACTAGCACAATTTTAATAAACCATGCTGAAGTAGCTCTACACGAGTTTTTTGGTAATAAATTATACTGGCAAGCTCGAAGGAGCATGAGATTTAACAACAAATTGAAGAAAATCGGTGCTGACTTCCGTAAAATATTTCTAAATTCTACCGACGAAGAGGATAATACAGTTTTGCCAGCAAACTGGATAGATGAAAAGGTAAAATGCACACCTTTTCTTAATGTTAGCCAGATTATATTAATTACAATAGAATACAATACTTTATCTTAGCCCAGGAGAAACGCATTTGGTGGTCCATATCTAGCGGTACATCTTAGAAGACGTGATTTCGTAAGGAATAGACCGAATGAGGCTCCCCATTTAGATATCGTGGCACACCAAATCATTAAGACATTGAATCGAATTAATTTAGACACCATATTCATAGCAAGTGATGGAACGACTGAGGGTATGTTATTAAGAGAAATTAAAATAAAATATTTATTGCAGTATTGTAGAAATCAAAACTTTGACAAAGAAGCTCTCTAAATACAAAGTGTTTAAATACACGCCAACATCTGAAGTTAAGGAAAAATTTAAAGAAGGCGGAATAGCTATTATAGACCAAATAATTTGTTCACATGCAAGACACTTCGTTGGCACCCAGGAGAGTACTTTCTCGTTCCGCATTCAAGAAGAACGGGAGATTTTGGGGTTTCCCATCGAAAGTACATTTAATAGTTTTTGCAGTAATGAGAACAAGTGTAGCAAACCTTCCATTTGGCAGATAGTTTATTAAATGTTCTGTGATCCTGGCAAAAAAGCTTTAACGATCAGTGAAAATTTACATTTAAAAGGGTCAAGCTGTATTTAATGATTAAAATTAATAATTGTTGAAATTACTCTTAATACATCGATTATATTTTTGCTTAAAAAAATTATTTCAGATTAGCAATCTGGGAACACAACTTTTACCCCTAAAAAACCTTGCATGTAAAATAAAGAAAACAAATCTGTGTTTAAATCTTTTTATTATAGAAAGGCTTAATATTAACGGACATAAATTTAAATAGTATTTTCCAAATTTTGCTTTTCTTCCTGGTACTTATAATGCAAATCGTTGCAATCGTTATCGTCGATGTGTATCCATCCTGTAGCTTTCATGTGATACACCCTCACGATACCCCCGGAATAAGCATCTCTGTGAGTGGCATGATAAATCGCCCTACGACCAAGATCGTAGGCTTCCTCGTCTGTCAGATCCCATTTGTAGCCCGAGTCTAATACACCGAAAGCATAAATGGAACCGGAACCGACACTGAAAACTTTACCGGGTGTGCGGGTACCTTCTGAATCCACATAATAAAGTTGAGGACCCTACAATATTAGTTTCGATAATTTAACTAGAAAAATTGAAATCAAAAACGAATCTTACCCTTTTATCCCATCCTGCCAACATCATTCCCATTGACAAGCCCATTCCTTTATAATTGTACACCATATTTGCCATTAATTTAGAGGCAGCTGCTACTGAAATCCGCTCTCTATTTCGTAATTCGTACATTCTACACTGTTTTGCCAAAACACGATCCCAATAAACGCAGTCTGCTGCGCCTCCAGCCAAGGTTCCTTAAAAAATTTTTATGAAGACTCGTTAAGTTAAGAATAATACATTTACCTAATAAGAAATCATTGATTTCGACGATCTTCTTCATAGTCTGTGAACCAATAAATTGGCCTCCGGTAGCCCTTGAATCCACAGCTAAAACTACGCCACCTTTATACATAAAACCTAAAGTGGTAGTTCCATGATCAAATTTGATATTAATTTCACGACCCCCTTCGTCTCTAGCAAACTTTGCCAAGTTTTGGGCAGGCTGAAATTAAGTGTGATTTATACCAGTCTTTCCGCAAAGAAAGAACTTACGTTCGAGAACGGCGGTACTCCCAATTCCAAATTATTTGTGAAATTCATACACGACTTGCTCACATCGTTTTCATAAATACTGCGAGATGTGTAAGAATCAAAATCTTGCATACCACATACTTCGGCTAAACTCATTTTTATTAAATAAATTCACATAAAACTACACAAGTGACAATGCAAATATACAATTAAATGAATTTACAAAATTACTGTCAACTGTCAAACCTCAATATTATTCTTCTTCTTCTTGTATTTATATCGTTAACTATCAACCGTGGTAACCTTAGTACAAATAGGCAGGTAGCTCTAATGTTTTGTGCCTATAACCCATGCTCTAGTAGAGATAACATGGTTCATGCACGTAACTTCTAGGTTTAAATGCCGATAATAACCAATGTAAGGAATTTAAGTAAAAAATTTGTAGATATTTAACAAAAATTAAACACTGCCTCATTGGTATTGGTACTGTTATTAAAAATTTTGTATAGTTATTCTAATATCTAACGCAGCTAGCAATAAAAAATGGTACTTCGCTTTAAAAATTTATTTCCATTAGTACATAGGCAACCTACGTGTAAAATTTCTGTGTAATGAAATCTTTGGATTCTTTTTAGGAATGTTTGGAATTAGAAAAAGAATCTCTTGCAATTTTGTTACTGTATCGAATTGATTTTATTTCGTTAAGCTTATCTCCTTGAGTTGAGTGCCTATTTGCCACGTTCTCCTTTACATATAATTTTGAATATTCCACAATATTTTTCCAGTTCGGTAGTCCACTGGTACTTTTGTTTTTAAAATGTTCATCAGAATTTGCTTTACCTGCTCCTGATCTCAGAGTATTGCTGTTCAACTCCTTTGATTTGGTACTAACAGAAGAGGTAGAATATAAAGAATTCTTTCTGATAGGATTCACTGATAGTACCTTTATATTTTCTGTATTATCCAATCCATGTATAGAGGATAGTAACTTAGAAACACTGTTGTGCGAACTTATATCACTCCCGTACTTTTTCAATAGCTTTTCATTCTTATCTTTCCACGATAGTATTTCAAAATTGGTGACAAGTTTTTTTTGCTTTGATAACTTCTCTAACTGAGACTTTGTGAAAGATTTTTGGATTTTTTTCCTCGCTTCATTGATAATTTTTTCTCTTTCCCTCGGCCAAAGCTTACTGTAGATGCCGTACTTGTGCTTTGGAATTTTATCGCTGTCGCCATATTTCGAGGCTCTAAAAACGTCCGTATGTCAAACTAATTCGAGATGAGATCAAATTAATTACCTATATTGATTTCCTAGCCTCCACAACCAGCTCTCCAACTTTTCCAGCCAAATCTGTTGCTGTCCGATAACCGATCCTGGTCTGCAAATTCTCATCCAAGCTATGGCTTCCTTTGCAGACATATGGTAGTGCTTGATAAGGTATGCTCCGATCAGAGACCCAGTTCTACCGAGTCCTGCCTATTCGTTTGTACAAAATGCTTAATGAAATTTTCAATACGAATATTTTATACTACCTTGCAATGCACAGCGATGGCAGCTGAAGCCATTTCGGAAATGCTTAGAAATCTTAACAAAATGTCTTTAGGGGGCGTAGTTCCATCCGGAAATATGAGATCGTAGTGTTGAATGCCTACTTGGGTGAATCTGAGTTTTTGAAATATTAATGTTATTACTTATTTTCTAGCGTGAGAGGTAGTAGTACTTACACTGCGGCATCATAAATGATAGTATTGAGGCGGATGACGGTCTTGATGTCATTTTTCAAAAAATACTTCAAGTAGAATTCGGGAGGGTGTGCCGTTCTGTTATCTGCCGGTCCGATAAACGCTAAAAATTTTCTGGGAACCAACCAGTTCATATCGCCATACTGTAATTTATCATGCAAGTCGTACTCGGCTACGTTGAAGTCATCAAAATTGAAAAAATTAAATGTTATTGCTTTCGTTAGAGCATGCAGGCAATCCACTATTTTTAGAGTAAATCCGCAAGGAAATTGAGAAGCGTCAAGGAATGGTCTGTAAAAGGTGAGGGGATATCGGCAAATGTTTGGAGCAGCTAATAAAATAAATAAGTACTTACTTGTACGGCCCGACTTCTTGTAACATTTTCCACACGTCCTTTGGATGAAATTTTAAATAAATAATACAAAATAATCCCATCAGACAGGCGGCGTTGGTTTTCTTCTCCGGGTAGTTGGAAGTGTAATGTACTACACGTTTCAGACCTTTTGCATACTGAAGATATTTCTTCAGCTTACAGCAGTATTTGTATAAACAGGAAATATTCAACGGCCCAAAATCGCAGTAGTAATTTTCGTATATAAAGTCATCGTCGATGGAAAAAAAGAATGTATCCATTGTACTTTTTAATTTAGTTGTATATTTGCTCTTGACTACAGCAAAGTATAACTGCTTATTCAATATTTCGACGTAACTGTAAATGTCTGAAGGGACATTTACGATTTTATCCATGTTTATGAAATTCTTACGGAAATAGGTAGCACGGCTTCACAGAATCTTTGCAAAAGAATAAATAAGTAAGAAACTGGAGGGAATAATTTACTACAATTGCCAAAACGAAATTCAGTGCTCGGAAAGCAGTCCTGTTCATTTTTTGAATTTAGCTTTTTCAAAATTGTCAGCCATATTTTTGACAAATACACTTCACTAAAACATTAACGCCATTATTTTGTTTTATATCATTGTTCAGGGCGTCATTTTTATAATTTCCAAGGAAATGGCATTTCTAAAACCAGTTTGGTGAATTTTGCAAAAGAACTTTGCATCGTAGGTACTGGTTTTATAAGATATTAATCCTTTATTTTGATTGTAAATTATAAAAAAATAGAGGAGGAAATTTGTGAAAGTACCCTGTAGAAGTGACAACATTTTCTTATTTAAAATATGCATGTTTTTTACGATAAGTATAATTACATAAAAAACCTTGAGATGTAAGTAGAAATATATGTCTGCTTTAGATTCTGTAAACATTTTCTTGCATATTTACACTACCATTTTTTTCGCTTTATCCAATGGCATCAACATTTTTGCAATCCGACGTATTGTCTTCGAGGGGCCATCGTCAGGTTAATTTTTTTAAATACGTCGCTCCTATTTTTATGACAAAATCTTCTCATTTTTAATTCTGAATTAGATGATATTACTATTGTAATCGGGTAAAAGGTTTTTAGCTATCATATAAAATTTTTCCCGAGTACAGCACAAAATATCCAACAATTAATATGAATTTATGAAATGTTTTATTATTTCTAATTAGTATTGCTAATAATGGTAAAAAGACTTGTTGGATATTTTGTGCAGTATTGACTTTTACACTGTTATGAATGAATTGAATGGTGTAATAAGTTTTTGAATTTTTTTTAATTTAAACAAATTATCAACAATTACTGAAAAATACATTGTTGCAAGTATTTTTTTATTTTCTTGCATTTTTGACTATGTTTTTGAACTGTGATTACAGATTTTTTTATTTCACCAAAAAGAATATGTCAAAGGGAAAAAAATGATCACCGGCAGAACTCTGTACGATGATTTTCCTAAGTAGAATTTTTCTTTGAAAAAAAAGTGTCAGAAAGGTATACTTTCACCAAGTTGCGTCAAAATTAAATTATTTTTGCGGAAATGAGAAAAAACTAAAAATAAGAAAAAAACCGGTCTTTCGCATTTTTCTTGAAAATTTTGAGATTATCTTAAAAAGTTACCTCTACAAAAGTTGTAGATTTTTGCACGATCTACAACTTTTGTATTGGATACCTTTTTTGTTTGACGTCAACTTTCGCCAGAAATCCCAATGATACAATTTTTCGCAACTTTACAACCCCCTCAAATCAACCCTCCGCCGCCCCTGCTCACGCATTTATTCTTTTTTTCATTTATTATAAATAAGCCTCTTTACCATTTCCACTTATAAAAGTCCAGGCAAAATTATTTTTCTCCCTCTAAATGAGTCATTTTGATCAATCTAATATGTATACAGTGCAATCTCTTTAATCCGAACACCACATTGCCAGGCATTGTTCGTATTATCGAATCGTTTGGATTATCGAACGTACTATAAAGATTTGTAGATATGTATATTATGTAAGTACATACAGATTTTATTATAATATAAATCATAAAAGACACATAAAATTTATATAACGTAAAACATAAACATGGAGTTACATATACATATATGTATTATTTTACGCTTTCCACATTTTTCATTTTTCTTATTTCAAAAAAAACTCCAAAATTGTCACAAAACGCGACACGCAACAGGTTCTTCGCTATCGGCAAACAAACTCACATTGGACGGACAGGCGCGAATGACTGCAACTACGCGCGTACGCGCAAAGCGATCTAGTCTTTTCTTGTCATTGTTCGGATTAGCATGTGATCGGATTAACGTGTGTTCGGATTAAAGAGGTTGCACAAAATATTTTTTTACAGTTAGCTATTTCTTGTGCAGATTTTACCTTACACACAAATATTTTAGTTGAATCGTTAACAGTTCAATATTTTCTTCAGTAATTGAAGTGTCTTGCAAAAAATCGCACAACTGAAAAAAGCTCCAACTATGACAAATTTTTTTTTAAATGTATTGTTTTGTGGAAAATAATGTCAAAATTAAGTACATTTTTTATTGCACGCCTCAATATCTCCCAAACTAAAATTTCTATTTTCTTATTCCAAAAATCGGTATGTCAAAGATGATTTAATTGGAATATCTGATGTTTTCCACAAAGAATTCAAAACGATACGATTTTTATAACAATTAAACGATTTAATATCATAAATGCATAATCTTGATATATTTGTAGGAATTTTAAGTCATACATTTGAATTACACATGATTAACTATAAAATACGTGAACTTACATACTTTTCCTATTATAACCATGAAAAACGATATGTAAAATTACCGATACCTACTTAGCGTCGAGCTTCTCCATTTCCCCCGCGTCTTCCGGATTCAATTTAATGCCCTTATAGACATCCCTGTCCCCATCGGGAGACTCCATCCGCAGTTTCAGATGCGTCAGAGTGTTATTGAAGTGTTTCGTTATCTGCTCCGCCTCGTCCGAACTTTCCAAGTTGGTCAACTCGTCACGGATCTTCTTAATGAGCTGATTCAGTATTTCGACGTCCACTTGATCGTTCCCCTTTTCGAAGAAGTAGATGTAGTGGTTGAGCAACTCGACAAACAGCTGCACCTGTACGCTGATATCCATGCACTGTTTCGCTATCCTCAGCCCCTTTTTCAGACACTCCACCACCCGTTTCCCGTCGTGGGTCTCTTCTCCCTTGCTGGCGAGGCTTTTGCCGCTCCAGAACAGATGCGAGCAAGTGGCGACGCCACGGCACTGATCTGGCTTCTTCAATAATTTACTCGCCGCTAAAGCGCACTGGGTACGTAACGGGTCGGAATTTTCTTCCGAGAAACAACTGATTTGTTCTAACGTGCCAACGATCAGAGTTATGGCGGCTAACTGCGCCTTGGAATCGGAGATTTCGTCTTCGTACAAGGAGAACGCTTGCGACATGAATTCGTACGCTACGGTCTCGTGGTTCTCGAACCCGATTTGATCGATGGCTAGCGCCCCTTGCAGGAAGAGACGTAAGGGCAATTCTGCTAGTTCCGCTTTCACCAAGGCCGTGATGGTCTGGTGGCAGAATTGGAATATTTTTGTGCACTTTTTCTCCCACTTGGCGTCTTTTAAGTCTCTGTATTTGTACGCCAGTTGATAGGCCTGGAATATCAGCGGTGGGAGGGTGTATTTTATTCGCAAGGATCCCCCGGAAGCCAAAATCTGGAAAAAAAATGTATTGTGATTTGAAATAAATCAGAAACTTCAACAAACCCAAAAAACTAAAAAAAACATACCTTTCTGGCAGCAGTAAGTATAAGATATTGATCGTCTGGTACGTTGGACCTCAGTTGATGTATGAACCTCGCCAACAAACACTGCTCCTCGGCCAACTCCTCCATATCGAGGTCGCCGATGGGGTGTTCGTTTTTATCCGTGACCAAAGTGTTCAGTAGCGTCAAGGCCTGTTCGGCTTCTTCCGAAGTGGGTATAACAGTTTCGTATTCCAAAGCATTGTTTAGAACGTAAATGCTGAGCGCCTTGCGGCCAAAGTAGTCGAGATGCTGCATCAGCCCAGCGTAATGCTTCAACTTTAGGACCATCAGGAGGCTGTTATAGTTGTCGAGGGGTATTTTCAATAATTTCTGCAGTTCTTTCGCCACGGAGGTATGAGATTCTAGGTGTTCAAGGCCTAAACGTTGGAGCACCTGAAAATAAAACAAGTTTCACGTCATTTCGCAACCAAAAATCTTTCACTAATTTTTGCTCTTACCTCGACACTAGACAGCATAACTTTATCGATATAGTCTATTCTGTCAGGATAACACTTCAAAGCGAGATTAACCAAAGCTACTTGAAGAGCGACCATATCCTCGGGCGGCAAGTATTCTCTGTTGGCGATAATAGACGAAATCTGATTGGAAAACACCTCAAACAGCTGAACTTCTTGCAGAATGTTGGCACCTAAAGAAAAATAAGAGAACGTGGGTTAATTTGCCTTATTCCTAGATTCAAACGTTTACCTTCGGTGCCCAACGCATCAGATCTTTGACTGAAAGCAGCCAGACGTTCTATTAAACTGATAACGATGTTCTTAACGTTAACTCCGGCCTCTAGCTCGGCGCATGACTTCAAGAACGGATTCAAGGTCTGTATATGAAATTCGTCTGGAAAAACTTGGATTATACACTCCATCAAATATTCTTGAGCGATTGCGTCTCTACAGCTCACAACCTAAAAAACATTCAAATAAAACTGAACAGACAATAAAAATATACACATATACGGAATTATACCATCAGCACAGCACAGCAAACAAAAAAATGTATGCTGAGAACTCGCCTAAATCAAACAGAAAGTATTACATATTCATGTTCAGCAAAAAAGTTGTCGAAATTGAATCAAAAGAAAATACAAAGTAGCTAGAAATCTAAACTGAATATATATAACGGATACAATTATTACTAAAACTGAAATATGGCACATTAGTGTCTTTAAACTAAAAAAAATCTGTTAAATTGGATTTACCTGCTCTAAGATTCCCGGCAGAACAGATTTTTGATACTTCTCCAACGTGACAGACTCCAGCTGGCTCAACCTCACCAAGTTCGTACCAACCAATATCCTCAATTCTTCTCTTTCCCTCTCACGGTTCTGCCTATCTCTCGAATGGCCCTGATGCTGCATTCTCACCCACAGTTTGTTCATCTCGGCGAAATTCATTAGAACGAAATCTATGGAATCCTTTACCGTACCTTCTGGACAATCCGTATCAATGTCCGGTGTGTCGGGCAAAACATTTCTTGTGCACTGGAGAAGGTAGTTACGTAGAAATAATCCACGTAACGGATGTTGAACTCCTAGATTTATATAATGAAAAAAATATACTTATTTAATATGTAGTTCTAAATTGATGATATCGTACCTCTGCACATTTCTACTAAATCCTTTAATAAATCTCTCCTTAAAGATGTGTTGGTTTTAATATAGACTAAACCAACAGTAATTAACAAATACAGCCTAGGCACAATGTTTCCTGCGTACTGTACTAATTCGTAGAGATCAGGAACCTTTCTTCCCTTCTGGAATTCATCCACTAAATACAATTCCATATGCCTCAATTCGTCCGTTATAGCCATATCTAAAATACAGTTTTTTTATCGATACTAACAAATAATAAGGGTTTCTTTCAATTACTTACATAATTCATAATAACTCTTCGGCGAGAGTAATGACGTCCTGAGCTCTGCAAGCATAGCACTGGCATTCTTCAGAGCATCCATAAGCTTGTTTTTATCCAGTGCTCTCTTCATGTGAAAAGCTTGGGCTTTAACGACGCCCAAGGCATCGTGAAGATATTTCTCTTGTTCCTCCACAGGCGATATCTGGGGAGGAGTGGTAGGCTAAAAAGAATAATAAAACTATTAAAAAGTTCGAAAATTTTTAAGTGTAGGTACCTCATATACATTATAGTAAAACGTTAAATTATTGTAATGAAAGTGCTATAATTACAGAATAGCTACCATAATAGCTATTAAATTGAAATACAAATTAAATAAATTTACAGTAACTTACACCCACTTACCATTTTGATTTTTTATATTCGACTCGGCGAATCTGACAATCTGACGTAGGTAAGGCTGTCAACCATAGATTAATAATCTTTTTCTATGCTGTCAACACAAAATACATAGAAACACATCTAATACATAGAAAATATAGTACTAACGACTATATTTTCTATGTATCTAATAGGGTTTTCCATTGACAATTTTAAGTGTAACACTGGCATTAACCTCGTTTTCAAGAAAACTGTTCTGGTGTAAGAAAAGTGCAACTTCAGTGGAACACAAAATTGCACTTGAATTGAACTTGATTTTGAACTATACTATGAACATATGAAAATTATTTAATCATATTTTTTCCTAAACCTTTACAAAAAAACTCTTATACCTGATAATCAGTTGAGTTATGAACTACATCACTACATAGGTATAGAGTTTCTAATTTTTGGAATGGTATTTTTTTTTTAATTACTTTGGAAATAATAATATCCTCATCACTGCTGCTCGAAGAGGATATTTCAATAAAAAATGTCGCCTTTTCTAAGTCACTCTCTATTTGTAAATTTAAGCTATAAACATATTTTTTTTCCGGTATACTCATAAAACATGATGCATATTTTACAATAATTATCATCATATAAAAAATGAGAAATCTTACCTACTTCTAACCCACGGTAACCTACCTTTGTTTGGTTGTTTATATACCATATATTCAATATTTGCCGCCAGTTTTTTGACAGTGTATAGTTCCACGACTTCCAGGAGCTTGGTGCAAAAATAACGCACGCGTTCATCCATACAACATAAAACTGCACTCACTGAGCACCAGAGGGGCTTTCGTTTTGGCAAAATTAGTACCTATTAGCAACTAATATCAGTTCAGAGTAACTCTGAATAGCTATTAGCTACTAATATAGTTACTATTTTTGCCAAATCGAAAGGCCCTCAGTTGTACCAGTGGAAAAACCTATAATATATTATAGCCCTTTTCTTTTATTCATGATTTCGGAATCATAACGCGTTACGATCCGATGGAAACCAATCAAGTTGCTAGATTTCGGATCGTAACGCGTTGTGATTCTGAAATCATGAATAAAAAAAAGAGCTCCTATGTCAAATTATCTAAAAATAGGCGTTTTCCTGTTTAGATTACTCCATATGACTCCATACCCGTATCCATAAAGGGTATTCAATATTCAATCGCCATTAATTGTGAGGTGCCGATATAAGAGCCAGGGGGGCTTTGATTTTGGCAAAAATAATATTTATTAGCAACTAATATCAGTTCAGTAACTCTAAGTTACTATTAGCTACTATTTTTGCCAAATCGAAAGGCTCTCAGGTATCGATCAGGTGCTGCTCTAAGTACTCCAGACTTTTGACAGTCCTCTGTCCTGTGCTTTAGTACGGGAACGCGTTAATATAATAAGTGCACCAATGATTCAAATTTTAATTCTAATAGCCCTAAAAATTATAAGGCTGTTAATAGCCTAGATAAATGATACTAGTTAACAGTAGTTAAGGTCAGTAATATGTGGCTGTTAAGCATGTATCTTGCGTCGGTTTTTGTGCAAGTACATCCTCGAGAAAAAAATCGAAAATCTCAAAAACTAGAGCGGAACTGAATGCAGTTTTGGATTGATCAACACCTTTGTGGTACACCGGATTTTTTCAGATTTTTCCGAAACNATAGTTACTATTTTTGCCAAATCGAAAGGCCCTCAGTTGTACCAGTGGAAAAACCTATAATATATTATAGCCCTTTTCTTTTATTCATGATTTCGGAATCATAACGCGTTACGATCCGATGGAAACCAATCAAGTTGCTAGATTTCGGATAGTAACGCGTTATGATTCTGAAATCATGAATAAAAAAAAGAGCTCCTATGTCAAATTATCTAAAAATAGGCGTTTTCCTGTTTAGATTACTCCATATGACTCCATACCCGTATCCATAAAGGGTATTCAATATTCAATCGCCATTAATTGTGAGGTGCCGATATAAGAGCCAGGGGGGCTTTGATTTTGACAAAAATAATATTTATTAGCAACTAATATCAGTTCAGTAACTCTAAGTTACTATTAGCTACTATTTTTGCCAAATCGAAAGGCTCTCAGGTATCGATCAGGTGCTGCTCTAAGTACTCCAGACTTTTGACAGTCCTCTGTCCTGTGCTTTAGTACGGGAACGCGTTAATATAATAAGTGCACCAATGATTCAAATTTTAATTCTAATAGCCCTAAAAATTATAAGGCTGTTAATAGCCTAGATAAATGATACTAGTTAACAGTAGTTAAGGTCAGTAATATGTGGCTGTTAAGCATGTATCTTGCGTCGGTTTTTGTGCAAGTACATCCTCGAGAAAAAAATCGAAAATCTCAAAAACTAGAGCGGAACTGAATGCAGTTTTGGATTGATCAACACCTTTGTGGTACACCGGATTTTTTCAGATTTTTCCGAAACAATCTGAAAATTTAAAAAAAAATTGAAGTACTTTTTTAAAATTTTGTGTCAACTTTTTCTTATAATACGCTGAACTTATTGGTAGACCGAGAACAATAATGACACCACAACTAGAAGAAGCAATCCTACAAGAAGTGGAAGCTAATCCGTCAAGCAGCAAGCGAAGATTATCTGAACAGTTTAACATAAGTCATCAAAGTGTTTGGAGGGTTTTGCACACAAATTTACTTTATCCGTACCACATTCAACGTGTGCAACCACTGTTGCTAAGAGATTTTCCTGCACGGTTAGATTATTGTCGATGGTTTCTCCAAAAAACTGCTCAGAATCCCAACTTTACGTCTAAAATTCTGTTCACAGATGAGGCAACTTTTTCACGGGATGCCATCATAAACTTCCACAATAATCATTTTTGGAACTATGAAAATCCCCATGTTATTGGAGAACGTGGATTTCAGCAGCAGTTTTCGGTGAATGTGTGGGCCAGAATTATTGGTGATCATGTCATCGGACCGCATTTTCTTCCTCCTCGACTGAATGGTGAGACTTACAGACAGTTTCTAGCTGAAACATTGACTGGTCTATTAGAAGATGTACTACTAGCAACCAGAAATGACATGTGGTTTATGCACGACGGGGCACCTGCTCATTTCAGTCTTGCTGCTTGCCAACATCTTAATGACACTTTTGCTCAGCGATGGATAGGTCGGGGAGGATCCCAGCCGTGGCCAGCACGATCTCCAGACCTAAATCCTCTGGACTATTTCTTTTGGGGACATCTGAAGTCACTTGTTTATGCAACGCCAGTTGTAGATGAAAATGATTTAAGAAACAGAATTGTAAATTCTTGTAATGTCATACGCAACACTCCAGGAATTTTGGAACGTGTGCGACAGTCGATGACCAGAAGATTACATGCTTGTATTGACAGTGGCGGTTCTAATTTTGAGCATTTAATTTAATTCAATTTTTATGATATTTCCAGCTCAAGTAAGTTTAAATGCGTTTTTCATGGAAACGGTTGCTCCTAGCTACTTCATTATTGGCGCCCTCAAAAAAATACACCTAAATTGACCACAGATTTGAATTTGTCATTCCAAAAAAACCCAGTGTATGAAATTTCATTAAATTATTTCGAATCAGTCGAAAGATATTTAAGAAAATGCGATTTATTTTCCCAACTTTGACACCCTGTATCTCGGTAACGAAGCACTTGCGGACCGATGTTCATATGCACTTTTTTGCTTAAAATATGACAAGGAATCACACCTTGAAATTAAAGTCATCACTTAAGATACACCCTGTATAATGGAATGTAATGTACACATTACTGTCATATTTAGTTTAGTTGCCCAATATTTGCAATCAAAATTTAAATTTCCATGTGTTCTATATCAACTATAAGTAAATAAGAAAGAAAATAAAGTATATATCAATTTTAAATTTCTATCTATTTATTTATTACTAAAATTAAGCATATAAAAATTACTGTATATAAAATATTATAATATTAATTAGTAAGTAAATAGAAATTATATAAAATTAAACCAAATTAGTAACTATGTGTATTTGGCTGGTTAATGTAAAAATACAACATTTTTTATAAATTTATTATTTCCAAATAATCACAATTAATCAGTTAACAGTGCACCACTACTAATAAAATTTTATTTGTAAACGATAATACTTTTTTTTGTAACAACAGTGCATGCGGTGCTCCCATCACATTTTTATTATACTTTGGTTAGATATGTATTTAATACCACAGAAAATCGTTGATTTTATAATAATTTCTTTAAACTATCAATTTTAAAAGTAAGTTCCTGCAGATCCACTTTTAGCAATATTTTTAACACAATTAAGGCGCCACTAAAATGGATTTCTAGTTCGAAATTGATTTTGTCGCTAACAGCTAATCAGATTTTAATCTTTTTATTATAGGTTTGTTCCTCACTAAAGATAGTATGATTATTATTATTATAAATTGATGTTTCAGTTTACTGTAAAAAATTGCAAGAAATTGAAGCAGCACAATAATAGGCAAAAAAAAGTCTATTACAAGTGGATAGACACCTTAGAAACGAGGATAATAACAGAAAACATGCTTAGAAAAACGTGAAACAATGTTAATCAAGATAAGACAAACATCTGGTTTTAAGTATTTTCTTCTGTAATTTTTGTCATTGTTTTTGTTCTTTTTTGTCACGATTTGTTTTATTTATATTTCTGTAATTTTTTAAACTTTCACAAACTAGTGCTCTACGATTTAATTGCTTCTCAATAACAGAGGTAATGTTGAAAATCATAAAGTTGTTAAAAGGTCTACAATTTTATTCAGGTAGGCATCATTATTTTAGCCGGCACACATTACAGGGTGTTTCAAATTTCGAGGAGAAAATTATTTTCTTTCACAGTATATACAGGGTGTCGCAAATTGTTGTTCAGATAATTCTACGGCTGTTTATAGGAATTTTTTTTCGTATTTTTCGATGTAGAACCTGCTCTAGAATTCTCTGTAGACATTTTGCAACACCCTGTACATGCTGAAAATTGAAATTTGAATAAAAATTTCAGGCTTAGTGTCGATAATGAAGAATAAACCTATAATTTAAAGAAATAAAGGATTCCGGCTTATTTTTAGTCGCATGTAAATTTTGATGAGATGTGCACTTTTTGCATTGGAAATGGTGTCTATTTGTATATTTTATGTTCCAGGGAATAATGTTGTAAAGGTAAGAACGTTCTCAATGTGTCTTCGAGAATTTTCACGATATTCACACACATAAAAAGAAAACAACATACACGAACGTCCTTTTCAAAACACAAAAAGAAAACGTTTTTCTGAATTTTCTCAGTTTTCACGCTATCCAAGCAGAATGCCGCATTTTGTAAATATTACTTTTGTAAATGTTAAAATATTTAAAGTATTTAAGAGTATTTTTGACAAAATTGGAGAATTGCCATCATTTTCAATAAATATCCCAAGTTCTTTAATTTTATAACAAGTATATCACATAAAACGTAAATTCGTAAGTCCTTCACGTTTGTCCCCATTTGATAATGAAAATTCTCGAAAAATAAATTCTCGAACATTGTACTATACACACAACAACCAATACAGCAAAGAACTATGTAGACCAGGAAAATTAGCGAAAAAAAAGAGAAACTCAAAAAAATTCCTTTCTGCGATATTATTGTAAAATTGTCTAAAGGAACATAATACAAGACATTTCTCATCTCGTGAGTCAAAAAATGTTTTTAGGTAACTTTTCTATTTAAACAAATAAGTGAGGAAAACAGTTTTTTTCACTTTCCAGGGAAAACCATTAATTTTAGCGAAAAGTGACTCACAGACACCTTGTAGGGAGTAAAATTATCTACAAAATGAGACTTGTTAAATTAAAATCGGGTAAGAAAATTGTCTAAAGGAACATACCTTTAGACAATTTTACAATAATCTCGCGGATAGGAATTTTTTTGAGTAAAAATTTTATTTACTTGGCCTAATGGTGCTTCCTACAAATTTGAAAGAAAAACCGGAACTACCGTTCGCAACACTATTTCTTGAATTTTAAGTAGACAAACGAGCAACGTACATTTCAGTAAAGTAACATAAAATATATAAAACAAGTACCTGTTTAAAATACACAAAAATATTTCTAATACCGTGCGATCGCGTACAAACCAATCCCGTTAGATTAATTCCTAGGTTGGTAGTAGTATCCACCACATACGGAACAAGACATTTTCCTAGAAGGAGACGACGCAGAATGTATTCTCCTTTTGTCGGCCCTCTCTGCGTCCTGTTGATATTCATATATCTTCTTCGTCAACCAACATCGGAAAAACGTTAACAACTCCCGTAACGCCAACTCCGTAAGGTGCGTTCCCGTATAATACATATTAACGGCGTCTGTAAAAAACTTCACCGCCCTCTTCGTTTGTTTCACGTCTATGTGTCGGAACAGGGGATTGTAGTAGCTGTCGTCGCCGGTCTCGATCCAGTTCTTGTACAGCTCCTCTAAGTGTCCCGCCGCTTTGGCAAAAAAATTGATCACCACTTCCATGACGTAGATGTACTTGGACTGATTAGGGAATATCTGGTCTAGAAGTAGTCGAATGGGATCCGGCAGATTAGCCAGGAGCATATGTAGGGCGTTAATGATCTTTGATTGTATATCGCCATCACAGAAACTCAACAATCTCAATGTAATGTTTGTGATGGACTCTATGTCTCTAATGGAGAAATCGGTTAAAATATTGGAGACCATGGACCGGGTAGACGCGGTGTCGACCGGCACGCGTTCCGATTGTGGCAAATTTGACAGGAAGGATGAGGCTTCTTTTTTGTTCATAGCCGCGAATTCGTTAAAATCTATACTTACTCCGTTCAGTACTATTTCTCCTCCGGAAGCGGATATTCTGATACCCTTTTTGTTCATGTCTTTGTTCGATCTAGTTAAGACGGCGAAAACTTCGTCTTTATTTTGTATGTTCCGAATCGCGGAGATGACCTCTGCTCTACCCTGAGCCTCATTCAGGTTATTTTGGCGAATGGTCTCCTTCACCAGTTTTGTGAATGTTTTCCTAAAAACAGTCTGAGTTATTTAAAATGAAATATTAATCAATTTATTGAAAAATTTCACGTGGATGCTTTTTAAAAAATTATTGAAATGGTGCCACGATATCTACATTCGAGCTTAACCAGTCGAGCACGGAGGCTTGTTGCCACCTTCCATCTCTTCTTCTCTACCACCTCGGCGATCGGAGTTGTATGTTACAATGTTGCATTTCATAATAAATTAAAAACATTGGTCATATGCAAGTGCACGAGTTTTTGTTTTTAACTGGTGTATATGTGAAGTTTTTCTTAAGAATTTTTGTGAGACGATCATAATTAATTAGTGATTATTTTCATTTTACTCTGGTACGTACAAACATAAACTCAACAACTTCTTTAGTTGGATGGACAATGGACATTGTAGATTATTTATTATTAAAAGGATTTAGTACTCTCAGAAATGGAGACCAACACCTTTGCCGTCTTTAGTTGAAGCGGGCGAAAAACAAAATAGGGGATTTAACGATAATAATTATAGAAAAAAACAACTGGCTAACTGCATCAACTATTCGAAATAAATTATACTGCTGGCAATGTTTATTTTTCACTAATGATAATTTATCGCTTTGGGGCAGTGTTGGTTTTAACAATTTAAAAAATTTAACGAGAGGATTCGAAAGACTCGAAAAATTGCAAGAACGTAAGTATTTCATAGCGTATTAAATCTGAAATGTTCGGTAAACAGAATATTGTAAACGCTTTAGATTCTGTTCACAAAACGGGAATACAACATTATAATGAGGAAATAGTGATATTTTAAATAGACTTATCGATGTAGTCATATTTTTATCGTCTCAAGAAATTTCTTTTCGCAGACATGATGAAAAAGTGGATTCTGCTAATCGAGGGAACTTTAAAGAGTTAATAAATTTATTATAAACACGATTCAAAATTGCAGAATTTCTTAGATAATGCCACTGTTTTTTGGGGAACCTCTAAAACCATTCAAAACGATTTAATTGAGAGTTCAATTAACAAAAGTAAAATTTATGACGAATTAAATAATTGTGAATGTTTCTCCTGGCAAGTTGATGAAACCAAGGATATTACTTGTAAGTCTCAATTATCGGTAAATTTTAGATAGATGTCGCTCCTCAAGATTATTTTAATCAATGTTACGCACATAAATTAAATTTAGTTGTAAGTAAAGCTTGCAACGGTATTAAAGTGAGAATTTTTTTCAAATCTTCCTGGATTTTCGTCATTTTTTTTCCAAATTTACTAAAATATCTCACGTATTAAATAAAATAATGCAACACAGAATTCCAAGTAATGCTCCCACTTGTTGGAATTTTTCTTCTAGAGCTGTTTTTACGGTCACAACTTATAGAAAGAAACTTATTGAGATTTTTTATTTCAAATCGGATAGTGAGGATTTTTTGAATGATCAACAAACTTTAGGATTCGTTTATGGATTAAAACAATTGTTAGACAAAAATTTCATTTTTGAACAAACTTGTGTTCCAAATTTTGCAGAATAAATTAACTGACGTAACACTTTCTAAAAAGAGAATTAATTCACTTTTATCAAAATTAAAAGAATTCCGTAATAATGAGATACATTTCAACATATTGTATGCAATTTTCTTAGAAGACATTGACGAAACCTTTAACGATGACCCGCCCTCAAAGAAAAGAAAGACAAGTTTAAAGTTTCATTCATTTCAAGCCTCCTCTACCAAAGATACCATGAGCAGCCACTGACTGGTACGTACGTTGAGAAATATTTTAGGGGTGTCGATTACAGAACATGCTTTCAGTAATTGTTCGTCAAAAATTATCAAGAAATTAGATTAAAAATAGTATACATTTTTATATGCATATATTATCAGTATTTTTACCGTAAGAATCAAATATTATTTCATATCTAACAAATACCTGTGTCTGTTGCTCCTCAGGGACTCCTGATAACTCTGCAAAGTCCTCATCTGAGTCTCCTCTATGATGGTGGAGCAAGTCCTGAAATTATAAACGGCGTTTCCGAAGAATAGAATCGACGAAGTCAGCTGAACCATGGTGAGCAACGACGGCGACTGATTTTCATTCACCCACTTATCGATAACCTCATACCCAGAATTTACCACGGCCACGCCGCTGGCGCCAATATTAACAAACGCGATGGCGTCCACAGCCGCCCTAGCGCCCTAAAAAACGAGGAAAAATATTTAATTTTTACTCCCCTCTGTATTCGAGTAAGTAACAACACCGAATTTGGACCCAAACTCATAATAAATAAAAATATTATCTACCGTTCCGATGTTCACACCCCTCGCTGCAAATTGGGTCACCGCCATGTTAGCACCGGCTCCTACGAACCCTAGAGCACCAGCCAAAATGTTGATGTACGCACCTCTCGCCTCAGAATTAGCGAAACTTAATGTCTAAAAAAATTCCAATGTGTACATATCTAACTTTGGTTACAGTTATCTAAGTGTGTGTGAGATATAACCTACAAAGTAACGAGCGTTCAAATAAAAACGTGGTCAAATTGGTTCTGAAAATTTGGACGTAGGGCATAGCACATAGCAAATGAACTTAAACGTCATCTGTCAAGGCGCTATATCGCCGCTATCAATTTGAATATTTTCGTTTTAAAAAGCGTTTAAAATGGTGTTTTCTCAAGAACAAAAAGTGTTTATCATAGAGTCCTACTTTAGAAATGGACGCAAGATTGATGGAATATGGAAGTATTCTATTGAGGAATGTTTCATAGAATTTCAAAATCAATTTCCCGGCGTTGTTGAGTACAAAATTTTTCAAAGTGCAGTTCAGCGATGTGTTAATGTTTTTCATGAAACGGGCAGTGTAACAACAAAAGAAGGAAGCGGCCGACCTAAAAAGCGGACTGAAGAATTAAAAGAAAATGTCCAACAAATAATGGAAAATGCACCAAGAACTTCTGTACGTGTTTTATCACAAATGGTGGGAGTATCAGTCGGTACCTGCCACACAGTGTTAAAAAAAGATTTGCGTTTGTTCTCCTATCGTTTAACTTGTCAGCAAGAACTTCATGAAGTTGATTTTCCGCGACGGGCTGTATTTTGTGAATGGTTTTTAAACAACTACGGTGAACTTCATAATATCACCTTTTTTTCTGATGAAGCCTGGTTTCATTTAAGTGGTTACGTAAACTCACAGAATATGAGAATGTAGTCTTCTGAAAAACCAGATAACTTTTTTGTCGAGGGCACACTGAACGCTCAAAAAATTGGAGTTTGGTGTGCTCTCAATCGAAGGAGGATTTATAGACCTATTTTTTTTAATGGTACTCTTACTGCGCAAAGGTATAGAGAAGAAATTATCGCTCCTTTTGTTAACCAGCTGGAAGAAAACAAATTACAAACTTTTACTTTCAACAAGATGGCGCAAGGGCACATACGGCAGGCGAGACGATGAATATGTTGTGGGAAGTTTTCCAAAATCGATTAATAAGTCTCAATGCTGAACATGAATTTCCATCGAGGTCATGTGATATTACGCCGTGTGATTTCTTTTTGTGGCTTTACCTTAAAAACGCTATTTTTGAACTGCCTATTCCTGATTTAAACCATCTGCAGGCTCGACTTATAGATAAGATTCGTGAAATTAACAATACCCCGAGCATCTTAGAAAATGTCTTTAATTCTTTGAGGAACAGGTGTGAAAAGTGCTTGGAACAATGAGGGGGACACTTTCAGCAGCTGCTTTAATTTATTGTCATAACAAGGAGGGGGACACTTTCCGCAGCTCCTTTAATTGTTTGTTATTGTTATCACGATTATTCTTTAAAATAAAGTTATATAGTCATTAACGTTATTGAAACTGACAGCTGCTATACAGCTCGTTGAGAAATGAGGTTAAGTTGGTCGCTATAAGCTACTCCCTACGTCCAATGTGTCAGAGCCAACTTCGACCACGTTTTTATTTGAACGCTCGTTATATTCTATATCTTATATGTCATTGATACACAATGCCTACTAACACAAAACATCACTTTGTACCTACTGTGGCATCTGCAGATGCCATGAAAGCACAAGTTGTTTCACGACAGGCGAATCAACTGTTTTAACTGATCATATTATAGAAAACAACTACTCCAGCATCGAATATAGCTCGCAGAGTAATTGTTTTCCACAATATCATTAGTAAAAAAGTTGTGTTTTTTAGAACTATTTTGTGGATTAGGTGAATGGTACTAATGTTGTATATATTAAATTAAGCACATTTTTTAAAAAGCAAATTAGCTAATAGTCCAGTCATTATGGACATAAAATAGCCTGTTTCAGGAAAAGAATACTATTAGAAGTTTTTCTGCGGAATATTGTTCGGCAACGTGTTATAAACAAAATACCAAAAAATCGACTGGAGACTAGTTGGGAAACTTTATTTAAACAATGATCAGTTATAGAAAAGTGGTTTTTTGACTCGCATAAAAAAACTGTTATTCATAGCGAAAAGAGGTTTATACAAAAAAGGTAGGTAGGTATTAAATAAGCCTATAAAATGAGAAAAGTCCGATTAAATTCCGATAATTTGTTTATGCACAAGAGCTCAAAAATGGTCGAAAATGGCAGTTTTTTCAATTGCTAATAATTAATAGCAGTATATTGACTTTTCCTTGTATATATATATNTCATATTTGGTATTTCCCAAATTGATTCCTGTAAGCCATACTTTATTAGTAACAATATATTAACTTTTCCTTGCATCTATATATATAAATGTATTCTACAAATTGCCAAAAATAAAAGTTATTATGAACGTAATTCTGATAGTCACAATTACCCAACCAGATATGGTAATCTCTTGCGCATTCCTAACCATACCTCAAGTTTGTTTGAAAAAGCGCCTTATTATATGGGCATTAAGTTAATAAACATCTTACCAGTCGATATTAAACAAGAAAGCAATTTTAACTCATTCAAATTCAAAGTAAAAAAATACCTTATAAACAAATGTTTTTTTTTTCAAATTTTCGCTCTAATTTACCGATAATATATTTTTTAAATAATTCTGATATGATTATTGTAAGTGTTTTTATTAAACACAAATAAAAATATTTTTATTTGATAATTAAAACAAAATAATACAAAATGCAAAAACTTGTAATCGAGTGTTTCTTTCACAAAAATTTCCTATAATCACAAAAAAAGAAGACAAAAAAAAATTGGACTAAATTTTTTTTTATACTGAAAAAAAAACAGAACAGTAAATTTCCACTGAATAATCAGATGGATTGAGGTTCGATAAAGACGTAATCTACAAAATGGAATGTATGTATTTTTTATGTAAATTGTGTTATCAAGAATTATTTGAATTGTGTTATCGAGAATAGTGATTATTTAAAATAATTTTCATGACATTTACAAGTTTCTGAACTTCATTAAACATTTTAGGTGATGATATTGTGGGAAACAACTATTCCACGGGCTATATGACCCGACTGACATTGAATTATACCCTCTAATATGTAGTAAATAGCATCAGGAGAATGATCAGACATAGAATAGGCTAGTTTCCAACTTTATCGTACCGCCTACAGATTAGTAGAGATCACTTTGTCAGTAGACTTAAGTAGCACTGACATTTAAAAATATGACATATGACATGACATATGCTTTGTAGGTTATATCTCACCAATTAAATATTATCCCAGTTTTATTATCAAATAATTCAAAATTTTTGTATCGAAAATGCTTCAATGATTGCTAATAAAATAATTGTTTATGAAGAAACGGTTCACAATATGAAAAATTTACAGGAAAAAAAAATTGAAAGATGGAGCGAAAGAAAAATTGAGGTTGTAGGGTTCAGTCGTTTTCGAATTATTACTTGCAAAAAAATTATGAACATATTTGTTTCCATCTGCTTTAAATATCAAAAAGTGACAAATAATTTTTTTTTTCAGCTTTGATACCCTCGATATGCGGTTAAAGGAACAACTTTGAATAAAAGTGTTGTTTTTCTTTACTCTTACGAGTTTATTGTCACTTATAACGTTTCTACTCTATCTTAAATTTAACATTATTTCAAAAAGATCCCAAAAATTGCAGATAAATATAGTTTACTTGTAATACCGGCACGAACTAAAATTAATTTGAATGCAGAGTTAATCGTGTTTTTCAATATTATTAAATTGAATTCTTAAAACTCAGATAAGAAAAGATGCGTAAAGTACTTTACAAATACAAAAAAAATTAAGGTTATAATGTTAGCTAAACAGGAAAATATGTTTAAAAACAGTTCGTCAAGAAAAAATATCTTACCTGTTTGTGCCTGTTCCTGTCATATAATGTATAAGCACTGCGAGCTATAGAGTAAATCCCTACGCTAACCCCCGTGACAACTCCACCAATAAGGAGTGCCGGCGTGACGGCTATACCCGGAATGGCAGCAGCTACAAATATTCCTCCTGAGATTAATCCTCCTGCCATACTGGCATAATCAGCGCCTTGTAATACTTTCACGTCTATTCCGCAAGCAGGGGACAAATGTCTTTCTAGAAGTACGTTACCGTTGTTGTCGTATTCATATCTAAAAGAAATTTGAACTTTTTAATCATACCGGCTGTTTATCGGGCATCAGGCAAAAATTGTACAGTCAACAAGTTTAGATCCAGTGAATTAAAGATCGTCTCAGCAGTTCTCCAAGGATCTTATTTGAGTCCTTTACTGTTTAATTCTTTTGAGGCCACCGAATATTTTGGAAAGTTCCATTATTAACAGAACTCCATTTTATAGAAAAATGAATAATTTTCAAGTTATTAACTTTAAAATTAAAATAAATGTGCAAATAATCAATAATAACTCCAAAACTATGCTTTTGAAACAAATTACTCCCATAAATAAATACATGTATGCAAATTTTTTTAGACAACTTAATATTTACCGTCCATTTAGAGGGAGAACCATTTCACATTCGTGCAGTTTGTTCCTATTTTTGTACTCCTCCCACGTTTCGTAAATGCGGCCCATATGGTCTATGAAAAGCCTGCAAGGGTTACTGCTTCTGTGGCATTTTCTCAATACAAAAATAGGAACTGGCATCAAATCCGTGTTGGGATTATAATCCTCATATTTTTTAGCTCGTTCCATCTTTTCCGATGGTAAAGGTTCCGTACAATTGTAAATAAATGAAATTTCTACCCGATCTCTATCCTGCGCTATTAGATCTAAAACAAATGTACAAAATTTGTATTTGTGTTAAAAATTAAATTAAAACATTGAAAAAGACGTAACTCAACCGAGTATATTAATGTAAGTTGTGCACATTTACAAAAAGATAATTAAACTTACTGCTATTTTTTAGAATTGTGTCAAATAAACCTCCAACTTGCTCCATCTCTTTCTTATCATAGCCGTCCCCTTTTTCTGTCTTGGGTTGCCCGTACAACGCAAAAGCAATTTTTTTCTTCAAAAGATCATGCTGATCATATTCGAAACCATCATAGTCTCTATCCCCTAGCATGTCCACCATGAGCTGTTGGTAATTGACCGAGTTCATGTCATTCTCGTTGCCCTTTTCCCTCTCAAGCTCCTCCAAGTCTTTTTCTTTTTGATTTTCAATAATAAGAAACTTCTCGGCATTTGACAAAGTTGATAAAAGATCTTTATCGGAAATATTTGCCGTAAGACAAGAAAATACAGTTACCGAATCTTTAATAGGCACTATACATAAGGCTGTGGATACGTCGCATCTTATTACATCAGCGATGTTGGACAAATCACTGCATTCTTTTAATGCTTTCAGTAAGGCACGTTGGTATCTAGGTTCTTCCACATCCCAACCGAGAATGAAAAAATTTCTCTGTAACATCTCGATGACTTCGGGTTTTTTAAGATTCTCCATGAATTTATATGAAAATTTATCGTTACATTTATGGAGGTACAGTAACAAAATTTTTCTCTAAAAAGTTGATATCAAATTATTATACAAGTTATTTGCTAAAAGTTATATTCTGATAGGTATGTGAAAACTACAATGACTTACTTCTTCCAATGGTACCAAACATGCGTCTGCAATAGCACTCATTAGCCTGCATGTATTAAATTTTATAGAGCTGTTTACGTTATAGTTATTTGAAATTTTTCTAACAAAACTGTTTGCAGCTTCTATCTCCAAATCTAAAATGAAACTTAATACAAGATTTCTGTAAAAACCTTATTAAAAGCTTTTTATTTATATCAAAGAAATGTTTACATTGATAAATAAACGATATAATAATAAATAAACTACTGTACAGCCTTATAAATCCTAATAACTTTTAAAACAATTTATCTTTTATCTGAAAAAATGTAATAGCTTACTATTAATGCAAATTAAATAAACTAGAACAATATTTGCAAAAGATTAGTGATAACATTTTTATCGATTTATGGCTGCAGGCAGGAATTCTGATAAAGAGCTTTGGGTGGTTCCCCTAACAACCTGGCAAAAAAAAGTAAAACTGCAATATATGGTCCCAACAACTAAATATATTACATATAAAATTAGCTGATTCCACCTGATAAATATCAATTAACTGTTTCTCAATACATTAATGATAATTATTATGTACCTTTAACAGGACTAATGTCCAAATTGTCTTGATATCCACTTTCATCTTTTACTTCTAGACAATTAATGGTATTTAACTTTGCACAGACATTTAACACAGTATTTTCACATTCTGGGCTAACAGTCCAACCACTTATTGTCTGTTTATGGGGCGGTATATCAAAGCGATTATGAATTTCTATTTTCAAAAGTTCTGAAATATAAAAGTGGGAAGGTACATTAAAATTACTAATGATTTTTAATTTGACTTACCAACTGTATCGAACTCAAAGAGTTCTACTAGGCCTTCACGGTCTCCATCAGTAATAAAAAAAATCAATTTGTTTTCTTCTACCTCCATTTTGCCTGTTCAAAATTTATACTGCTCCACAATCCAGACGAAAATTTATAATATATGTCGTACCTGCATATCCCTTCCATTTATCTAATGTTATCATAAATTTGCATTTTTATTTATAGACATAAGGCTTCTTTTCGCGAGTGAAGTCGTATGTTGTAGTATGTGTAGTATGAGTGAATATTACGTTTTTGCGAGAATAGTCAGTAAGGGTTTTTTGGCGAGCCAAACCACATCAAACCCGGTTAGCTCGAGTTTGATTGTGTTAAGAGTTTGAGTTAACATTTGACAGAACTCGCAAAAATTCTTTTGGTTTGGATATCTAATCAATAATAAAATCGTAACCTATAATCTATGATAGTGCTCGTAGTTCAAGTTGTTTGATTATTTCTTATATACTATAATTGTTATTCCTAATNTTCATCTTTTACTTCTAGACAATTAATGGTATTTAACTTTGCACAGACATTTAACACAGTATTTTCACATTCTGGGCTAACAGTCCAACCACTTATTGTCTGTTTATGGGGCGGTATATCAAAGCGATTATGAATTTCTATTTTCAAAAGTTCTGAAATATAAAAGTGGGAAGGTACATTAAAATTACTAATGATTTTTAATTTGACTTACCAACTGTATCGAACTCAAAGAGTTCTACTAGGCCTTCACGGTCTCCATGAGTAATAAAAAAAATCAATTTGTTCTCTTCTACCTCCATTTTGCCTGTTCAAAATTTATACTGCTCCACAATCCAGACGAAAATTTATAATATATGTCGTACCTGCATATCCCTTCCATTTATCTAATGTTATCATAAATTTGCATTTTTATTTATAGACATACTTTTATAGACAGGAAACCACAAAGTATACTACTACATAGAGTGAAAATCTAGTAGTAAGTTTGTTTAAAAGTTTCAGCGCTCGCAGTGCGTGGACCAGGAACTATTTTTTTATTGAGCATTGAGCTTATTGATGAGCTCTTCATATTCAGGATTTTTCATTTTTATGTAAAATTAATATTACCAATAAAATAGATATTGTGCAGAATATTAGTTATTAAATAATAATGATCGAATAATTAGAAAATTATTTATTTTCAAACCAGACCCACTACACACGAAACGTAAATGAAACGTTGCAAATGAGATGTTTTACT